ACTTGCGAACTGGTAGTAAATGTACATTTACAATTAATTTAACTTCTTTTTTGACGTTCATAAGTGTACTAGTTTACTTATATGAATAAAGATAGTTTGAGTTTGTTATAGACTATAGATGATTGTGTCACGTGTGTCTCTTAAACACTATTAATAATCTAAGACATTTAAGTATTGTCATGTCTTTCACCGTATTAATTATAGAAATATAAATGACAACGTAGACGGACTATGGTATAGACCAGGCATCAGAATACAGCGTGTGAGATAGCGAATGATCGACATATGTCATATTTACAGTTTTAATTCATTGAAGATTGCTTATTATTGACCAAAATACACATTCGAATGAATATTTCTTGAACAAAGTTACTGAGTCGTGACAAAATAAGCTACTTACCGATGAAAGATGTTTGGTTCTTTACATTCACTATAGCTTTTACAGCCAATTATGCAACAATTCACCACGACTGACACTTTAAATGCACCTCTTATAAGGATAAAGTCTTAAAATATGGGTTTGACTTGGGTTTCACCGATTTATCAGTAAGCGGTGAAAACTTGTTTACCACCAAGGGCTCGGTGGTAAACGAATAAAACCCGGTAGGCAAATAGAGGCAGAAAAACTGATACTCTGTTTCGCTCGCACTTAAGTATTTCACGTTAATGCCTTCTCTCTTTAGTTATTATTGTTATTTTAGAAGCTCATCTAGTGGTCTAAGATCCCGATATACAACGACCTTCACCGAGATGCTTATTTAATGAAACGTATTTTATATTTAATTTAATATGTCAATAAATATAATCCATATGGGTTGCCTAGCAAATTTCAGTCCAGAGTATTTTTATTAATATTAAAAAAAATATATTTTTTTAAACATTTCACCGGTATGATTATTAGATAAATTCTATACCAATCGAAAGTATGAAGCCCATAGAATATGCAAACGTTAGGTTGTTTTTAATCAATTAATTATTTATGTGTATATTTTTTATGTGACACTAAAGTATATAAACATCTTTAGTAAAAAAGAAAGTTATAGTGATACATATATAATACTACCCTGATTAAAAATATTGATTGAAAAAATTTTAAAAAATTTACTACATGCAAATTATAAAAAATATTTTTTTTTTAAATATTAATTAACAATTTACTACATGCAAATTATAAAAAATATTTTTTTTTAAATATTAATTAAACATACTCTGGACTGAAATTTGCTAGGCAACCCATATGGATTATATTTATTGATATATTAAATTAAATATAAAATGCGTTTCATTAAATAAGCATCTCGGTGAAGGTCGTTGTATATCGGGATCTTATACTATAGTTCTATACTCTATCTACGATGCACAGCCTATCTTCAACCGTACTTTATGCACTCAATAGGAAAATATTGGTTAAAAAAAAAACTCAAAAATCGGCCAAATTTTTAATACAACCTTATTACTGAATCAATATAGTTGTTATGACATAACCATACATTAGTGGCAGTGATGTTGATATCGATGCTTACATTTCTATACAATCTACACGCAATTATAAAATAAAAAATACAATTGAAAAGAAATCAATTCGGACAAAAAAGCAAATTTATGATATTATTATAACTCGCTTCGCCTTTCACTAACCACAAAAAATAAATTCACGTTTTTATCAGTTAAACATATTTAAATGTGAAACGTAGACATAAAGCGCGGATCCAGCCATCAAAAATGGTCGCAGCCTTTCTTACATATCAAATGACACTGAAAAACATACAAAATATGATAATCTACCATTTACTTTGGATATACCAGCTGTGACTTCAACGCTGGATTCGAGCTGGTCATGAATTTAGCAGACAACCAGTAACATGTTTACGAAATTAAAAAAAAAGATATTGGTTCTAATTTTGATCCAAGTCGTGAAATATTAAACACAGATAAATCGATTTTTTAAATGCTCATAAGCAAAGATGGAATCGTATATTGGTGCTATGTAGATGTTTCTAGACTAGTTCTGGAAGATATATCACACGAAGGACAACCTAATCTGGTTAAACATTGTCAATTCCTTAACTTCAAAGCAAATTTAACACCAATGCCTGCCATAAAACGCCCATTAATATTTACATTCGCGAATTCGTTAATTAGTGTTAGGAAAAACTAAAGTGTAGATTATATTTAAAAACGTTAAAAGAATTAGCCTGTGCAAGAGCTTAGCACGCACTCAGTTCCAGTGCACTTAAGTAAGCAAAGATTTGGCTAAGTCTAAGTAAGCTTTATAGGTTACATATAAAAAAAAATGAAAAACTGTCAATATAAGCTTATAGGTACACATTTATTTATAATAGGGGAAAATGGAAATACAGAGAAAATATAAAACGGCACACATATTACTGTTCTCCAAGAAATCTTGCGTTAAATCTTTTTCAGCCAATGTCAGTCATTCGAGTATTTACTATATAACTAAATTATTGAATACATTATAAACAATTTTAGCAATTAAATAAATTTGAATGGGACAAACTATAAATGACCATATGACAGGTGATAATAAATACAATATCGAAGCAAGTTTTATTTACAATACTATTATAGACTTATCACAGACCAGTGCCACGGGCTATCTACAATTGGTTTGAACTATTATATGGAAAATCTTAAGTAAACCGAAGCCCTTATTGTGTAACTTCAAAAATCCTGACACTTGTATATATTTAAGGAAAATATTGGTGAAAAATCTCAAAAATCATTACACAATAAATTCGGTAGTTATGTTACAAACTAGCTTAATTAGCCGTTCAATTAACAGCCTAGCCGTTTAACTAGCGGCCTGAAAGATGTTCAGCCAGTTGATTAAACAGCTAGGCAAATGACTTGGATCGATGACGTTTCATTACTTGCCTAGCCTGTTGACTGTTAATTTAAATTTAATTCCACTTTCTGCCACTCTCAAACTCGAAACGAAACTCTTTAAACTGTCAATATGGCGTCAGCAAACCACAACTTTGATGGTGTTTTCCAAATTTTCATGAAAAAAAATACGTACAATGGAAGGGTGTAGTGACAATATTAATGTGAATTTGACATAAGCAATTTAATGTTAAAAGAAATATTTTTTATGTCATGTTTATTTTTTTTATTTCTGCCAAATAATGAATCTATTGTAAGAATTACCTAAGTATTAGCCAGCCAGTTTATAAAATGTAACAAACGCTACGGCTGAATATCTTTCAGATCGTTAGTTAAACGGCGCCGTTTAGTTAAAAGGCTAGACTGTTAATAGAACGGCTAATAAAGCTAGTTGGCTGCGACAGTTATATGACAACCATACATTAGTGGCAGTGCTTTTGAAATTTTTGCTCACATTTCTTTCGCTCTCAATCTGTGTCAATCACTTTGGAATCGCGGAATCACACTTTATAGGAAGTTACAAAGTAAGAGCTTTGGAATTTAATACGTACGAACTATTTTTGTATGTGTTCTTGTATTGTCGTATTGGAACTTGGGGTTTTCAACAATTTAACCACTGCCAAATTTGTTTTCCTGTGATTTGATCCCAGGATTTAATTTAGAATAAGTACGTATTAAATGTTTGCAAAACACTTATTAAAAACGTAAAAATTCGTTATCAAGTCGACTTAATTAAATGGTAAGTAAAATTACAACTAGACGATAAGTAACGTGCTCCAAACCGACCCCGGTCGGATAGGTTTATGGCACTTTGCCTTCTGTCAAAATATTTCAGAGTATACACATTTTGAATGCTTTGGACGGCTTTGGATTTGTTTCAACTACATAACAACCAACAGGAATAAATATTGAACTATTGTCTTTTTGATAATTGTCATTTTGACAGAAGGCAGACCCAATGCGCGATAAATATATAGAAAATAGAATTCCACACGGGATGATCACGGGTAGGTAACGGGCTTATTTACTACCAAAATCGATATACTCAAAATTATTTTATGACTTTAAATAGTAAGGAATATCAATATTTGTAAGCTAAGTGTTGCTAGCGATAAAACTACCCTCCATTTAACATTTTTTTAAAGAAAATAATTAGAAACACACACATAGGTTATTACCGCATGGAACGAAATTACCAATTGATTATACCAAATTATTATTAACACAGTAAAGTAGAATGTCACTGCATTATTTTGCATACCTTGGTACGGAACTTATAAAAAAACGAAAACTTATTTTCTCTTCAATTTATTAAACATATGAAGTAATATAGCTTTTTATATTAAGTATTGAGGGTACTCAAAATTGTAGAAAAAATCCAACCAAAAATTGAGGGTACTTTATTGTACCCTCATTTTTTACATTGGAACCAAAACATGTAGCAAAATTTTATTTATTTAAGGGTAAATGCGCAATTTTGAATGGAAATTGAGAGAAAAAAATAATAATTTTTAAACCTACCTTCATTCTTCATCTTAATTCACATTTGTACTCACGCAATCTTATAATAAAGAAAATAAATAATTCGATATTCGAAGCAAGCCTATTCTAGAGTTTCATTGTAAAAGGAAAACCAATAGAGTTATTGCATTTCACTTGAATTTTAGAATTAAAATTGTGTCACACAGTTTGTGTATCTTTGTGTATCTTGTAGAGAAAAGTATGTTTATGACATGAGGTAGATGATATGTTACTAGAATATAAACAACGTTTGCAAAACCCCAAACATATCTGTTAAAATAAAACCTATGGCCCAGAACTGTTAATTTGGGTTCATGGCCTACTAGATATCTTTAAAAAAAAGTGTTTTGCAAAATGTCATTGTCTGGAGTATTAAAAAAAAAAAGAATCAAATCATTAATTTAATACTTAAAAGCTGTCTTTGTACACTTTAATTTGCAATTGTTGGTAATAACATACCAACATTGCATAACACACACGTTGAATGTATTCAGTAACTCTATTGATTGGTCCTTCTACAAAAATTTTTACCGACAGGTCGGTAAAGCAGTCAACCAGTACAATACAAATCGGCTCTACTTCTTCGCTAACTGGATATATCTAGTAACAACGTTATGCAATTCGTGTGGCAGTTTCGTTCTATCATATTTATCGCTATATAATTGTATCGTGTGATTGAGCTGTGAATATAAATCTAAGAGCGCCTCGAAGCCGATAGCGCGAAGAGATTTCGCGTTCTTATACAGAATGTTATCTAATTCAGTCTTGTTTATCAGTAGTTTTTCAGCATCTGAAAAAATAAATTAAGATAAATTCTCCTTTATTTATACAAAAAAAATCAGTCCAATAGTTGTTTCTCTTTTCATCATTGCATAAATTTGAGAGAGAGAAATTGTTGGCGAAGTTCAGAGGAGTTGTTCGGAGCTGCAGCTGGGTTTCATCATCATGTGTGTTGTGGAACGACGGACGTCGAGGTTCTACGGGTGGAATTTCGGAATCCCGCCTCGACGTCCGTTGTTGCACAACTGAGCGTTTCTTAAGGCAATTTTTGCCACGCATCACCACTATGTGGAACCAGCTGCCCACCGATGTATTTTCGAACTAAATTGATTTAGGGTTCTTCAAGAAAAGGGCCTACCAATTCCTAAAAGGCCGGCAACGCACTTGCGAGACCTCTGGATATGTGAGTGTCTATGGGCGGCTATCACTTAACATCAGATGAGCCTCCTACCCGTTTGCCCCCTGTTATATATGATAATTGATATGAATTTAATTTGCTCTACTAAAGAGTGTTTTTTTAATAATTACCATCTAATACCAATAGGTATTATAATTTTTTTTTACGACGGAATCGTTCCTCATTACCTGAAGTCAGGGACCTTTTCAGGTTGCGTTAAATCTTAGTTTTTCTTGTGTCAAACAAACACGATTTATTACAATATGAGCTATGACCACTATTAGCAAATTGACTTAAAATTTTCGTAAATACCCTCTTTTTTTGTAATTTAGGGAGAAAAAACTTATAATGACGTCATATGAGCTTTGATGTTAATTTTGTTTGAATTCAATAATTTTGTATGATGATTTTGGCTTCCAAGCACATGTACAACATTTCATACATCTGTATATGTTTGTCCACAAATTTCTTCGATACTATATGGAGACGGCTCTTATGTCTCTAATTAGGACTTAGGACTGCTGATATTGCGGTGCTAAAAGTAATGGACGGCACTTCTCCGCAACAAGAGCTTAAATGACGTCATCGACACCGAGTTTAAAAAGAGTTAATGTCCTTAAAAGATCTTACAAATACACACCTCCACTAGATGCATCTTGACCGGAATTTCTTTTCTTTGGTGAAGATTTTGTAATTTTTTCCGACGTCTTCGGTGTGCTGTAATCATATTTAAAGATTTAAAATAAACTTCAATATTTATACTAAAAAAGAGCAGTGTTGGCCTAATGCTTTCAACGTGCGACTCATTCCTGCAGTCATAGGTTCGATTTGCGGCTGTGCATAAAGTCTTTGTGCGCAACCCTCGCTCGTACGGTGAAGGAAAACTTCGTGAGCAAACAGGCTTGCCTTAGACCCAAAGGTTGCATTTGACAGGTACAGAAGATCGATCGCCTAATTGCCTATTTGAAATGATCACGAAACAGATGAATGAGAACAGAAATCTGAGGCCCAGACCTAAAAGGTTGTGGCACCACTGGTATATCTACACTAAAAACGAAAAAAAAACTAAAGCAAAGAACAGAAATCGAAACGTAATTTTATATTGAAATAATCCGTTGATAAAAATCGAATATACAGTAACCTGTTTATAACAAAACTCATCCCTCATTCTTTATTGCGTCACACACGTCACACTCTCTATAACGAAGAAATATTGTCATATTTAGATATCAACAACATAGTTAAGTGTAATTGTTTTAGCCGTCTCGCGTTTGTTATTGTTAATTGAATTAACACGTCTGCCATTATTCTTAGATTGCATTGCCTTTAGGGAATTTTGGTCTCAGTTACTAAACGCACCACGTATCGTGTATTATTAGTCGTAAACAAACTTTGAAACTAATATATGTTTAGAATCATTTACCTATTGATAGTAAAACAATTAAAAATTTGATTGTGTTTTCTCTCTTCTCCCTATAACGAAAGCTGTCTAACGAATAAAAATGCTCCCTTGAAAATCGTTATAAAGAGTTAACACTGTATATTCGATTTTTATAAACGGATTATCTCAATATAAGATTACTTTTCGATTTCTTTCCTCTGGTTTCGTTCTTTTTTCGTTTTTAGTGTAGAATAATTAATATAATTTATAAAATACTGTTTTCATGTCAAAAGGAAGAGACTGGCTGCCCACAACACAGGGAATCCTAGTGTGGGGGCCAGTGCACTTTGCTTTATCTAAATATCTTGTATATTGTGCATAATAAAGTTTTTTCTTTTCTTTTCTTTTCAGATATACCAGTGGTGCCACAACCTTTTAAGTCATGGCCTCAGATTTCTGTTCTCATTCATCTGTTCCGTGATCATTTCAAATAGACAAGTAGGCAATCAACCTTCTGTACCTGTCACATGCAACCTTTGGTTCTAAGGCAAGCCGTCAAAATTCATCCAAATCAGTTCAGTAGTTTTTGAAACTAATTTCTGGACGTGTATATAATATAGGTGTCAGTAAATGTTAAGTTTTCTTTAAAATACCTGATCAAAGTGTTATCCGTTTGCGCCAACTGCAGTGAGTCATCAGCAGGCCTTCGCAGAGGCACGTCATCTTCAGAGCACGAAGAGGACGCGTCTCCATTTGGCAGAGGAGTGGAAGTGATCGGTTTGTTCTCTTTGCATTCCTCGTCTGTTATCGCTGTGGGACTGTCTTTGAAATTCTGGAAATAAATTTAATATTGCATCAGATTTATGGACCAAACCACGCTGGAGCCATAATCGGACCAGAGTGAACACATATGGGAAAAGGAATACATATACACTCTGATGTGGAATAAATAAATAAATAATTTTTAATTCCGTAGATAGCTATCATTTTTTGACAATGACAATTCAGGGATCGCAAACCTTTTTGGCACATTTTTCAATTTCAATACGAGTCAGATATTTGTAAATATGTGAGGAACATGTATACTAACTTTTATAGTAGTTTTATTCTAAGAGTATATCACATATAATTATTAAACTAATGTAAACAAAATATTGTAAAGCTATTTTAAAAGAGTAAGTGTGGAGTTTCTTGCCCATTCTTCTCCACACGAAACCTTTTGGAAGGGGCAACTAGAATCATCTTTATATTTTATTTGACGTTCAAAAGTGCCATTTTAGGAGGTCTAATTGAAATAAATGATTTTTAATTCCGTAGACAGACAGCTATCATTTTTTGACATGTCAGAGATTGCAAACCTTTTCCGGGCACATTTTTCAATTTCAATACGAGTCAGATATTTGTAAATATGTGAGGAACATGTACTAACTTTTTATATAGTAGTTTTATTCTAAGAGTACATTGTCTTCACATATAATTATTTAACTAATGTAAACAAAATATTGTAAACCTATTTTAAAAGAGTAAGTGTGGAGTTTCTTGCCCATTCTTCTCCACACGAAACCTTTTGGAAGGGGCAACTAGAATCATCTTTATATTTTATTTGACGTTCAAAAGTGCCATTTTAGGAGGTCTAATTGAAATAAATGATTTTTAATTCCGTAGACAGACAGCTATCATTTTTTGACATGTCAGAGATTGCAAACCTTTTCCGGGCACATTTTTCAATTTCAATACGAGTCAGATATTTGTAAATATGTGAGGAACATGTATACTAACTTTTATAGTAGTTTTATTCTAAGAGTATATCACATATAATTATTAAACTAATGTAAACAAAATATTGTAAAGCTATTTTAAAAGAGTAAGTGTGGAGTTTCTTGCCCATTCTTCTCCACACGAAACCTTTTGGAAGGGGCAACTAGAATCATCTTTATATTTTATTTGACGTTCAAAAGTGCCATTTTAGGAGGTCTAATTGAAATAAATGATTTTTAATTCCGTAGACAGACAGCTATCATTTTTTGACATGTCAGAGATTGCAAACCTTTTCCGGGCACATTTTTCAATTTCAATACGAGTCAGATATTTGTAAATATGTGAGGAACATGTATACTAACTTTTATAGTAGTTTTATTCTAAGAGTATATCACATATAATTATTAAACTAATGTAAACAAAATATTGTAAAGCTATTTTAAAAGAGTAAGTGTGGAGTTTCTTGCCCATTCTTCTCCACACGAAACCTTTTGGAAGGGGCAACTAGAATCATCTTTATATTTTATTTGACGTTCAAAAGTGCCATTTTAGGAGGTCTAATTGAAATAAATGATTTTTAATTCCGTAGACAGACAGCTATCATTTTTTGACATGTCAGAGATTGCAAACCTTTTCCGGGCACATTTTTCAATTTCAATACGAGTCAGATATTTGTAAATATGTGAGGAACATGTATACTAACTTTTATAGTAGTTTTATTCTAAGAGTATATCACATATAATTATTAAACTAATGTAAACAAAATATTGTAAAGCTATTTTAAAAGAGTAAGTGTGGAGTTTCTTGCCCATTCTTCTCCACACGAAACCTTTTGGAAGGGGCAACTAGAATCATCTTTATATTTTATTTGACGTTCAAAAGTGCCATTTTAGGAGGTCTAATTGAAATAAATGATTTTTAATTCCGTAGACAGACAGCTATCATTTTTTGACATGTCAGAGATTGCAAACCTTTTCCGGGCACATTTTTCAATTTCAATACGAGTCAGATATTTGTAAATATGTGAGGAACATGTATACTAACTTTTATAGTAGTTTTATTCTAAGAGTATATCACATATAATTATTAAACTAATGTAAACAAAATATTGTAAAGCTATTTTAAAAGAGTAAGTGTGGAGTTTCTTGCCCATTCTTCTCCACACGAAACCTTTTGGAAGGGGCAACTAGAATCATCTTTATATTTTATTTGACGTTCAAAAGTGCCATTTTAGGAGGTCTAATTGAAATAAATGATTTTTAATTCCGTAGACAGACAGCTATCATTTTTTGACATGTCAGAGATTGCAAACCTTTTCCGGGCACATTTTTCAATTTCAATACGAGTCAGATATTTGTAAATATGTGAGGAACATGTACTAACTTTTTATATAGTAGGTTTATTCTAAGAGTACATTGTCTTCACATATAATTATTTAACTAATGTAAACAAAATATTGTAAAGCTATTTTAAAAGAGTAAGTGTGGAGTTTCTTGCCCATTCTTCTCCACACGAAACAACCTTTTGGAAGGGGCAACTAGAATCATCTTTATATTTTATTTGACGTTCAAAAGTGCCATTTTAGGAGGTCTAATTGAAATAAATGATTTTTAATTCCGTAGACAGACAGCTATCATTTTTTGACATGTCAGAGATTGCAAACCTTTTCCGGGCACATTTTTCAATTTCAATACGAGTCAGATATTTGTAAATATGTGAGGAACATGTACTAACTTTTTATATAGTAGTTTTATTCTAAGAGTACATTGTCTTCACATATAATTATTTAACATAATGTAAACAAAATATTGTAAACCTATTTTAAAAGAGTAAGTGTGGAGTTTCTTGCCCATTCTTCTCCACACGAAACTACCTTTTGGAAGGGGCAACTAGAATCATCTTTCCATTTTATTTGACGTTTAAAAGTGCCATTTTAGGTGGTCTAATTAGAATAAATGATTTGACTTTGTCTTTGAGTCTTAACATATTGCAAATGTTCGTTACTTAAAATAGAACTATTTTTAGCTTTTCATGGCGTTCATCGACTTATAAGACTCAATCACGTCAATAATATGTATTTCGAAAAATCTGCTAATAGTCATCAATTGGTTAGACTTTGGAGAAGAGAAATATAGTTGAGAGTGCAACATATTGACGGCTCAGGTCATTGGTCTAGTGGTAAGTACCCCTGACTGCGAATCCATGGCTCCCGGGTTCGATCCCCGGCTGAGACAAACATCGATGTGATAAGCATTTGGTGTTGTGCTTAGGTTTTGGGTGTTTAAATATGTATTTATATGTCTAGCTATAATATATATGTATATCCGTTGCCTAGTACCCATAACACAAGCTTCACCAGCTTAGCATAGGACTAGGTCAATTGGTGTGAATTGTCCAATCATAAAAAAAAAAAAAAAAAAAAATATTAAGTTTGTATGATCAAGGAAGTATACCTTTTGTGAGGTCCTTGGTCGTTTAGCCAGCAATCCCTTGGACCACGCATTAATCCGTCTTCTCTTACGCTTCGCGCTTTGCGATTCGCTCTTTTCTCCATTTTGCGGAGTCCGCATAGATTTGCTGTCATTGTGAGATGAATCGAAACCGGCTGCAATTTATATAGCAAGGTTTACTTTAGTATTATGTCGTGCAACCCTGAGGTCACGCGCGTTCAATCCCCGGCCTTTTTTTATAATTCTACTAGCAGACCGGCCAAGCGTTGCTGTGGCTAAGGTTTTAGTTATATTACATAGCATAGGTAGGAGAACACCAGTCATGGGGACCACCATGCTTTTTTGGTGGTTATGCCACTAAATTGTAGCTTTCAATACAGCGCCATCTGTTAGAATTGTGACTATCAAATAATTAACAAATAATTTGAAAAAAAAAAAATATTGCGGGTATAAATTGAGATGTAAGCTATCCTATATTTTAAGTTAGATCAAACTGCACACGGTGTGCAAATTTGATTGAAATCGATTTGGTAGTTTAGGAGTCCATAGCGGACAAACAACGTGACACGTAATTTATATATATTAAGATGTATTAAAAACTTGGTCATACTGTGAAGGTAAATATTGTGAGGAGGCGGCACGTTTTTATCTCTACCAGAGTGCTTGTAGGCTTATCACCTAGTTATGGAGCCTTCAAGTATTACGTAACGCAATTTTTGGAGATTTGTGAAGCCCCCCTCCCATGTAACGCGCTGTAACGGTTACTGTCAACTTAGTAAAACGTTACGTGACCACCAACTTTCCACCCATGTAACGCATCGAAACGTTTTACAAAACCCCACCCTCATAAAAACAAGTACATTTTTTTTTATAGAACAGGGGGCAAACGGGCAGGAGGTTTATCTGACGTTAAGTGATACCGCCGCCCATGGATACTCTCAATGCCAGAGGGCTCGCGAGTGCGTTGCCGGCCTTTTTAGAATTGGTACGCTCTTTTCTTGAACCTAAGTCGAATTGGTTAGAATATTTTTTATTTTTAAAAATTTGAAACTGTATTGTTTTTTCAGGAAACACGATGGTACACGTTAGACTGTAATCGATCAGTATTTACATACAATCTCAAAAATTCTGTTTACTTACGCAAAGTAGTAGCTGTATATATGAAATCTGGTAAGTCCGTATCATTATTGCCATCTTCCTGCCTCCGTCTCGCTATTTCCTGGCACTCCAACTCAAAATCACTGTCCATTTCTACGTCTATCAACGCGTGCGCGTGATCGCGTAACGAACACGCCTCGTGGCGTATCTGCTTATCTGATGATGTCCTGGTATATGATTATCAACATTAATTTGGGTCTTTATTTAAAAAAATCAAAACAAGCTACATATAATATTAATTAAGGGCTAAAAATATTTGTTATGATTAATTAAATATAAATCAATTTCAATATTAAAAATTGTACTGTTCACTTAAGAAACTTAAATGATATAAAAAAAATCAAATCCCAAATAATTAAAAAAAAAAATTTGGTCCCCCTTAACAATCAATATTTCCCTGTGGGACGTGGGCCCCACGTTAGGAAAACAGTCAGTACTCCCTTATGATAAAGTCATAAATATCTCTAGTTTTGTGTTAATTACAAAATCTCTTCAAAGATACATACTCGGTAACTCCAAATAATGAATGAAATTCCGAATTTATGTACCGCACGATTTCAAGATTGCGTACGCGCTACAGTTATTCAGAGAAATACATCGAAATTACAAACATTATAATATAGCTATTGGAAATTACAAAGTACTTAGGGAGCGTTCAAGTATTACGTCACGCAATTTTTGGAGATTATTGACCCCCCCCCCCCATGTAACGCACAGTAACAAGTTTTCTGTACCCAATAGTAAAACGTTTCGTGACCACCCAGTGACTCTTTACACCTAAAAGTTACAATTATGTGGTGGAAAGTACTGGAACGTCGAAAATAATATTAAAAATAACGCGTAATTCAATCCCCGCCCCGCATCGTAACGTTTTACAAAAGGACCCCCCCCCCCTAAATTCGTTACGTAATACTTGAACGCTCTCTTAGCCCTCGAATACTGAAAGTCTAGTTAACTTAAATATTATTTAAATTACAAATTATTCTAAGATAGTTTGGAATGTAAAACATATGTATTAAACTGTACTACACACATCACATACAATGATATTTACATATAACCGTATACCCAAATATATACATGAAAGATATAAGCGAATGTTATACAAAAGGTTAGAGGATGTAAATACATAGACTAATACAAATTATACTTTACAATTAACATATATATCTTTAATAATATAAGCATTGTTCATACCTACAAACCCCTCTAGCCCTTTGAGCGGCAGCGACAGTATGAAAGAAAAACAATGTTATGAGTGGTTCAAAGCGATGGTATTAGTGGGAGCATCAGGGACTTGCCGTAGAATTTTGACATTTCATAAGTGTTGCTACTAAAAAAGTTCTCCACCGAAAAAGAGAAAAATTTGACCCATTTAAAGGCAATAAAAAATTAATGCGACTTATTTTTTATGTTCTATCTAAAAAGAGGTAAATCTAAATATTTACTTAGTCAAGTGACCTAATACAAAAATAACAAATATTTCAATATATCGAATTAACTTTAATAACTTTATTTTATTCTTTAGCTGGCATCACTGCCTACTAATTCCAGGTTTAGTAAACCTTTAAAAAAAAATATTTTATCTTTGCTTTTGAGTTTTTGAACGTTAGTGATGAAAAGGAACGTAATTATCACTCGCCGTAAAATCACTTTTTATGTGGACCACCGCACTTAATAAAATGGATACATTCACTAACAAATAAAATGTATGAAAAGACCTAGATGTTCGAATCGTATTGAAATTGAAAAATGTGCCTGGTCAAAAGGTTTGTCATCTCTGACTCGTCAAAAAATGATAGCTGTCAGAATTCTAGGCCCTAGTATCTAGGGAATAAAAAATCAGAGTATAGACATTGACACGGAATAGATAAAGGCAAGGCACCGCAAACGTGCCGCAGGTATACAGCATGATGTTTTACTTCATAGATTTTACCTTTATTTATTTCGATAACAAAAGTGAGAAGAATTTGATGCTAAGAAAAGGTGTTTATTAACAAAAGAAAGTAACAGTGAATGAATACTAGGTGATGTGAATTTCTTAACGAAATACAGTTTTAAGGATTGAAACTTTCAGAAAAAAAATTTTTTTAATTTTATATTGATCAAAATTTTTCAAGCCAAATTATATTTTTTACATCAAGTGTGTTTTAATCTGGTAAACTGTATTTTTTTATAAGAAAATAATAATAACTAACGTTATAAAAGTTCATCAACATTTCTTATACCTAAATAACGAGAGGCGCTAAGATTTTTTATACAAGATGTACCAACGCATATTTTCTACTAGTATTGAGACGCGAATCATTTGAATTTTCAAGGTAAAAGTGGTAAAGTGGTAAGGTGTAAAGTGACTGGTTATACAAAAACGTAAAAGTCACAAAGAATAAATATAACTATCCAGTAATTGAATTCCATCATTGGAATTGGCTATATGTCGATCAATAATAGTATAGATTTATATTATGGAGTACGGATGGTATACAGTTCCTCCAATTAGGGAGGATCCTCAACCTCTACTGACTTGTCCAAAAGCCTCAGTGGTATGAAGTCATAGTAGCGATTTGTAGGCACAGATTCTACGCTTGATAAAGCAAATACAATACCTTAGCATTACTTAGTTTGAATTTAGTTTGAAAAAAATGTATATAAACATATGTATTTATGTAACATATACAACTATACAGCTATACTCAGATTTTTAATTCCGTAGGATTCTGACAGCTATCATTTTTTGACATGTCAGAGATGACAAACCTTTTTGGCCGGGCACATTTTTCAATTTTAATGCTAGTCTGAACATCTGAGTATGTATCCATTTATTAAGCGCAGTGCATACATTAAAAGTGGTTTAACGGCGAGTGATAATTACGTCCATTTACATCACAAACAGTAAAAAACGCAAAAGCAAAGATAACATTTTTATTTTTTTAAAAGGTTTACTAAACCTGGAATTAGTAGGCAGTGATGCCAGCTAAAGAATAAAATAAAGTAAGTAAAGTTAATTCGATATATTGTTCGTTATATTTAAATATTTGTTATTTTTGTATTAGGTCAGTTGACTAAGTAAATATTTAGATTTACCTTTTTATAGGTAAAACATAAAAATACGTAGCATTTAATTTTTTCAAATGGGTCAAATTTGTACCTTTTTCGGTGGAGTACTTTTTTAGTAGCAACACTAATGAAATGTCAGAATTCTATAGAATGAAAAATCGGAGTATATGTACGTAATTAAAAAAAAGGGTGCGTGTACTATGTACGCGCGTAAGAAGTTATACTTCTTTGGCTTTCTTTATTTTTTTTAAATATAATTAATTAATATTTAACGTAAACAATTTAATAATATTTAGTATATTATTCAATTATTAATTAATATTAATAACAATTATTATTATTATTTATTATTTTATTATATTATTCATTCAATTTAATAACTACGTATGTTTCATAACCTTTTAACTAAGTAACAATAGGTCTTTGTGAAAAAGCATGGCTAAATTTCTTTGAAAAAATAATTAAAACTCCTTTATTTGTTTAAAAGGTACTACAAAGGTCATTATGGTCATTCAAAATTCTTGGCATAGCTGCTAACTTCACGCATATTCTATTTCTTTTTACTTGTAGGTTGTCTTATTCCCATCTCGATCGCGCACGCTATAATCACACTGACAACTTTGTGTCTCAGGTGCGCGCACATCGTAAAATTTCACTCTCATCAATTTTTCATAACTCGCCTAAAGAAGGATAACTTCAAAAATGTTTCCGATTTAACAACATCTCAAGAGAATTGAAACTCCGCCAGTTAAATCGCCAATTTTATAACACGACGCATTGAAAACCATGTTGACACATTATTTGTATGAAAAATCTTGCGCTTGACTAACACAAAACAGTTAATACTCACTTATCGGGATTATACTCAAGAGCATTGGCACAAATGAGGTCGACATCGTCCAGGAACTCCTTGGCGCAGTTGTATTTGTGCATGTCGACTTTGGTCATCATAGTCTCGAGGTCCATTGGCTGTTTGATTATTTCCAAGTAATCTGTCACCTACAATATATATCTTTGTTTATTTATTCAAAAGGAAACATGGCAGACGCATCACAAATATATGTAAAAAAAGAAAAGAATAAAGTAGTGTCCTTGAATTGTTTCAAAAATATTTTTTTTTATATAAAAAGTGAACTTTATAATTAATAAAAAAAAGTAACAGCAACTTAACCGAAATAAAAAGAATTATACTAAAAATAGGCACGAAAAAATATAAAAAATTCCTCTGTTTTTTATAGTCGGTCAAAAACATGTATTTCAAATTATTTTATATGTATACATATTTTATATATATTTTATTCGTAGATGTACTCTTTGCTTTTTTACAGTTTTGGATATCTGTTATGTATTGATATAACTTTCTAATATTTTGTAAAAAAATATACATTATTTAAAGTAACAACAAAAGCGTTTGGAAAATAATTATGTTAAAAATTTGTTAAATTATTTTAAAAAATATAGAAATTCTTGGCGGTATTCCGGACCGAAGGACTAAAAGTGTTTTCTGATAAGTTTATTTTAGTAATCTGCTTTTATTGTCAACTATCAAAATGACAATTTAAAATATGGCAATCTACTGCATTTCTTTTTAATAAAAATATCTCATGCATAACTACCTCTTCTAAATCCACAGGTTTGGTAAACTTATAAAACCGCCTATTCGACGCTAGTTTCCTGCAAATATCTCGTAGAAATATCCTTAATTCCCGCAACTTGTAATCCTCCTTTCTCTTCCTTCTAGATATCTCTTCTTTACTCTCTCTGGGCGGTGGAGGGGGCGGAGCTAGAATATAGATTAATATGAGAACGTACACAAAAGTATGACTATTTATAACACAGTTAGGCCTTTTTACTATTGTAAATCATAGACATATAAACTTTTGAATAAAAATTTGCTTATTTAAGATATACAAATTATTTACTTTATTTTCAAATTGCAAAGTAACCCTGCTGTTAATATTTACCTCGAGGCAACGGAGGCGGCGGCTCATTATTTTCGAGAATTGGCGGATGTAAGGGAATCTCAGTTATAATTGGTTTAAAAAAGTTGATAACTTCATTCGCGTTTGGTTCTCGCACTCTGTATATACAGTCTTTGTAGTCGGGGAATATTTCACGCAGCTGAAATTAAATATATATGAATAATTAAAGTTATGGCCTGGTTCTCCTGTTACTGAATATCTAAAGTCTTGTCACTTAATATGCATTTAGATAAAACATTATTTTATTTTTCAGCATTAACATAATCAGAGATCAAACAAAATTTAAGTTTGGTTTTGAGTTATATTGTATTTCGGTTAAAATTATATTTAAATATCTAAGTCTTAGGGTCTGTTTCACAATGTACGGATAAGTTCTACATAAGTTCCAAATTAGCTATTTATTACTTATTGGTAGGATAAACACTATTGTTGCGTTTCACGACTGTCAGATAGCGCTATTCGTCACATAAAGTCCATCATAAGTTATGAGTCCGTTGAAATGTTAAATAGCACAATTTATCTTCCAAATAATTTATGTATTGCATATCTATTTGGTACTTTATCCATACATTGTGAAACAGACCCCTAATTCTCGTTTCTGAATTTCACCGTTAAACTGAATATTGCAAGATAAACGGGTTTAAAAATAATATGAACTAATGGTATTTGGACTTTTAATTCTGACCTGTGACTTGTATCGTTAATATACAATATTATATGATAACCAATATTACCTCATCAGGCAAATCACAATGCCTAGTAGTGGCCAGCAACAACGTGTTATCTCCAGCTGCCTTCGCCCTCCACATCTGCACCAACAGAGCTGTCCCGGGACCTCGTAAGGCCTCCCACACTTCTAAAATACCCCGGATGAAGAGAACACAGCCACGGTCAGCACGACGACATTCCGAGAACAGCTAGGATTTGTAAAAAAATATTGATAGAAAAAAATAATTTTATCTTGAATATAATATAGTTTTCAAACACCATTTAACAGACTTAACACATGCATATATGACATTTTGTTCTGTAACTGCGAGACAACTTTCTTAGTTAAAAAAAAGTTAAATATATAATATAACTTGTTTACGCTAAAATTTTGGATGGCACGATTTGTTATACGAAAATAATACTTTTTATTATTGAAGTGAAACTTCTTTATCGACGTATGGGAGAAATTTTGTAGCAAATCGTCACGTTTTTCAATGATAGTAATAATTCTATTACAATTAATGAAATTCTATAATAATCTTCGTAGTAATAAGGTAAAATGAAATATTTGTATTCATGTCTATGATAATAAAAGCCTTTTGTTTAACTTTATCTAATTTAACGAATTTCTGTAAAGTTGCATATAGTAGATCATTTTTCGAAAAATAAGATCATAAAGAAGTTTCACTTCTTACGTGTGTACACCTAGTACACGCACAATTTTTATTTTTTATTTCTCGCCATAATTTCCGTCAGGCGTGCAGTAATTGCACGCATACATTGAAGGAAGTCCGGATTCCACATTAAACACTTACCTATTTTTTCTACTGCTATTTTGTAACCTAACATTAGTAAAATTAGAAGCGTACAAAAATGGTTAACAATTATCGCAAGCTCCAAAGAAAGTGTCATTTAAATTTATGAACCCTTAGATACGCCAAGTTTGTTTTTGTTAGCGACGCAGCGACGCGACCCTCTACCCCTAATTTCATGTTAGTCCACACATATCACAATCACAATCTTTCTATAATTTTTAAAAAATATATTATATGTGATCATTTGTATTAGTCTAACAATAGAAAACCTTACACACATTTAAAATACTATTTAGTTAAATACGTCTTCAATTTAAAGGCAATCTACCCTCACTAATCTTCAAATTAATTTATCCCAAACGACATTATCTTTCGATTTTATATAAAATATTTTCAAGTTACCGAAATAAGCGCCTGTTCCTGCGTGAAGGCAAGCGCTGAATGCAGTGTTGCCAGACTTAATTCTTTAACTGTGAGATTTTCCAACTCCGCAAGCAACGCAGGAGCGATGTGTGTGTCCGCACATTCCCCACTTATTAACAACACGTTCGATGATTGCAGCTCTTTTAACCTGAAAATTATTTTTAATTCCTTAGTACGTACGTTAGGAAAAGAACGAACTCACAGCAAGGATTTGACGTACAAGTGCTGCCTTAATAAATTACAATGTACATTTAAAACTGCTTTGTAAGAAAAACCATTAAGACGTTTCTGTATTTTGTTAACTGCTCTAATTTTAGTAGAAAATAAATAATAAGAAAATCCCGTTTATTTTCTAATCATTACAAAAGTATATTCTATGTTTACTTAGATTTGTTATATAAACTCTTTTTTTCTTGTTATCCTAATATTCTAGCTTCCTTCAGTACCGTTGATAGGTAAAGGCCTCCTCCAGGTTTTTTCCAAATATACTATTCAATTCAATTCCAATTAGGTGGTTTGGCCATGTAAAATGGATGAATGACAAGCGGTTAATAAGGCAACCGTGGATGGTGAAGTCGGGTCTGGTAAGCCTTGTCGTTGGACTAACTCCGGGAAGTACTAGAGAAGGTACATGTTAAAAGTACCCATAACCGACGCGCATGAATGGTGTATGTCATGAAAGAGAAAAGCGAGAGAGTTATGTCAGGACCATAGCAAGTGGATATCGCTGGTCTCTGCCAGGGATGTTATCGAGTTCCGTAACCGTAACCGAAACTATCGGATATGAGAAATTAAAATATCTCCATAACCGTAACCGAAACTATCTGATATCCGAAATAAAAATATCTCCGTAAACGAAACCGAAACTATCGAATATACGAAATAATAATATCTCCGTAAACGAAACCGAAACTATCGAATATCCGAAATAATAATATCTCCGTATCAGTAACCGAATCTGTCGGATATCCGAAATAAAAATATCTCCGTAAACGTAACCGAAACTATCGAATATCCGAAATAAAGATATCTCCGTAACCGAAACTATCGGATATCCGAAATAAAAATATCTCCGTAAACGTAACCGAAACTATCGAATATCCGAAATAAAAATATCTCCGTAACCGAAACTATCGGATATCCGAAATAAAAATATCTCCGTAAACGTAACCGAAACTATCGAATATCCGAAATAAAGATATCTCCGTAACCGAAACTATCGGATATCCGAAATAAAAATATCTCCGTAAACGTAACCGAAACTATCGAATATACGAAATAATAATATCTCCGTATCAGTAACCGAATCTGTCGGATATCCGAAATAAAAATATCTCCGTAAACGTAACCGAAACTATCGAATATCCGAAATAAAGATATCTCCGTAACCGAAACTATCGGATATCCGAAATAAAAATATCTCCGTAAACGTAACCGAAACTATCGAATATCCGAAATAAAGATATCTCCGTAACCGAAACTATTGGATATCCGAAATAAAAATATCTCCGTAAACGTAACCGAAACTATCGAATATCCGAAATAAAGATATCTCCGTATCCGAAACTATCGGATATCCGAAATAAAAATATCTCCGTAACCGTAACCGAAACTATCGGATATCCGAAATAAAAATATCTCCGTAACCGTAACCGAAACTATCGAATATCCGAAATAAAGATATCTCCGTAACCGAAACTATCGGATATCCGAAATAAAGATATCTCCGTAACCGAAACTATCGGATATCCGAAATAAAAATTTCTCCTGAACCGTAACCGTATCCGTTTCACAAGTTTCGGATAGTTTCGTATAAGGGCGTCTAAAATCTAAATAAAACGATATGTTTCGACAGGTATTTGTGGATGGTTTCATTACTCACAAAAAGAATTAAAAAGAAAACATGTATTATGTTATACATAGGTTATAAGTTAACATGTGCAATGTATAAAGCTAAATAAATAAATGTTTTTTTACAGCTTTTAAATTTATTGTTTTTTTATTTTAATAGATAAAACTGATGACGTATATAGTAGTTACTAACCCCTATGACCCGTAAAGCCTTATTATTACATACTATTTGTTTTTATATTTTACTTCAATCTAATAACCGTAACCGAAACTATCCGAAACTAACGGATAATCCGAAATAATTACATATTCGACACCGTATCCGAAACGGGTATAATTTTATTCCTATACCCATATCCGTATCGAGATCCGAAATATCATATCCATAACATCTCTACTGCCTACCTCATCGGGAAAAAGGCGTGATAATACAAGCGATAAAATATTCACATTTGTTTCATGTACCTCGTACGATCACGAAATATCTGCGTAATTCGTTTTCGGGTTTTAGCTAAACTACAATACAATTTATGAAGATTAACAGCCGCTTTCTATACTCGATCTATAATCTCAAACTATTCGCAATTTTAGATTGATAAATGTCTACCATTAAACTTTCTAATTCAAAGATATTTTACATAAACGATCCATCGATTGGTTATTGAAAAGTATTTTATGAGAAATGGATTGAAATATCAATCTCTAGTAGTAAAAATTGGATTGGGATTGAGTATAGAAAGCCGCCGTTAGACATTTTCCACCTTAGCAAAGAGCGTGTGAGAAAATATTTTAAGAAGCTGGAAGACTGACTTCATTTAGCAGAAGTAACACTTTACAATTTTTTTTTAGTTTTCTTTTTTATCTGTTATAGTACTTAATGGACTTATGTTTTCTGTTTCATATATTTTGTTAATAAATGTAATATGTTTTGACTTTGTACATTGTCTAAGTGTTTTCTTTTATAATATGGATATGTGTAGCTGTAAGATTACTTATAAGTTATAAATAAATAAAATAAATACAATTCAAACTAATTATTATTCTTTAGAATTTTAAGTAATTCATCAAGTATAGTAATTTGTGCACTATAGTTAAAAGACTGTTGAGTTATACTTAAGCATTATTCATATGTTCAAATATTTTAATTATAATATAATACTATGATAGTAAAACATTGTTTATTTCGCAACTTTCTATGACTTCTTTCTTTTTGTGTTCGTTCAAGCATTACGTAACGAATTTGGGGGCGGGGCGGTGATTGAATTACGCGTTTATTAATATTATTTTCGACTTTCCAGTACTTTACACGACATAATGGTATACAACTTTTAGGTATAAAGAGTCACTTTGGTGGTCAAGAAACGTTTTACTAGTGGGTACAATAAAACGTTACGGCGCGTTACATTGGGGGGCGTTAATTATCTCCAAAAATTGCGTGACGTAATACTTGAACGCTCCCTTATGTAAATACAGTTTACATGCCAAAAGGAAGAAACTGGCTGCCCACAACACAGGGAATTCTAATATGGGGGCTGGTGCACTTTACCTAAATATCCTGTTATTATATTATATTATATTATATTATATTATATTATATTATATTATATTATATTATATTATATTATATTATATTATATTATATTATATTATATTATATTATATTATATTATATTATATTATATTATATTATATTATATTATAAACATAATAAAAAAATCTCTCTTTCTTTCTTTCATATGAGGTCATAAAACAAATACATATTACAAAAAGTGAATAAAAAATCATATGAATCGTGAACTATTTTTATATACCTGTTGTTATCTATAGGAGGCAGTAAATTAGCCGCACTTTGTACTTGTACCGAGAACAACGGCCGACAGTAATGGGGCAAACGACGAGCTGATGCGGGACTGCTTCTGGAGCCAGCCGCCACTAAACCGTCCATTGCTGTTTCTAAGTCTGTTTGGGTTACTTCTATCTGAAAAGCGGAGATGCAGACTAATATTGAAATCAATGTATTATTATAATTAATGTACAGATATATATGCAAATAAGGGGTTTATCATAACTCTTTCTCTCAAATTCACTTTGCATTGTGATGAAAAGAGACAGTTGAAAGATTTAGTAGTGGTAAATTAAACTGATTTTTTAGGTTTAAGAATAACTTTATTTCTCATAAGAATTGAAAATTCACTTACTGAGAAACACATATTTAAAACTAAGATTAAAAATTAGAGCGCACAGATGTAGGTACATATATAAAATAAGAAAACAGAACAGCACCAAAAATGTGGGTAGACATAAAAAACTTGGTCAGTCAACCAAGCGAAACACGGATGTTAGAATTTACAGGGCCGCGCCGCCCATGTGTGCGAAGTGTGCGGTGCACACAGGCGCTGATACAATAAGGGCGCCGCCACCGAAATTATTTATACTACACTACAATATTCTTACGTACGTTTGAAGTTTCATTTTACGCTTTAGGTTTTAGTTTACATTAATTACTCAGAGCTTAGCGAATCAAAAGAAAGGCCGCTGGTGACCGCCGTGAGTTTTTTGAGTGTGTTTATGTCTTATGATTTCAATAATATGCCGACATACCTTGATAAAATCCAAAATGAACTATTTTTTATACTCGGTAACCAAATTCAACATTTTATTTTAAATTTATGTCGAATTAATAAATATTTTTCAATAATACTGGATTGTACTACTGACGTTTCACACGAAGAGCAAATTAGTATGATAATAAGATTTGTCAACTTTAACATGTAAACTAGAAAGTTAAGAATAAGAGAGCATTTCCTAGCTTTCCAATTTATAATAGCACTTTCTGCTCAATCGTAGATACAACTGGCGCTGGAGTAACGTCATTTATAATAGAAAAACTAAACGAAATTAATTTGGACATAAAGAACTTAAGGGGCAAGGTATGATAATGGCTCAAATATGCGCGGTAAGAATATTGCGGGATGCTACGAGTAAATCTCCGCACTTTTTATGTCCGTGCGCCAGCCATAGTTTAAATTTAATAATAAATGACGCTGCACATCTCATACACGACTGCGTTTTTTAATATTGTGCAAGAACTATATAAATATTTTTCGTCCTCTACTAAAAGATGGGATTTATTACAAAGATATGTCATAAATCTGACCTTAAAAACGGTTAGATAAAAATAACATCATAAATAAACTATGTAACAATTTAATTCACGTTTTATTTTTCACGGCAATTGGCCAGCGGACGTTTTACCTATTTAAGTGGATTAAACTAAAGAAAAATTTTCTTTCAGTCAAAATTAAAAAATACATTGAAACTTGAAGATTCTTAAAAAATAGGCCGAAATATAGAAGGAGTTCCCTCAAAGGCCTGCAACACACCCGCTAAAAATGTCTATGAGATTCAATGACTGCCATTTTTTTCCGTCCCTAAGGCTCGTTTGACCCCTATAGAAAAAGGAGGCGCTTCATGGGTTTCGCACACAGGCGCTGCCGGGGGTCGGCGCGGCCCTGAGAATTTATTTTTTTCTAGATGTGGCATTGATGGCATAGTCTGATAGTCTGATTTTTTACTAAATAAACGGGTTTATTTATACAATTGTACAACCTATATTTATATTTTTTGTATGACGAGTAGTAAAAGACTTATCATATACAACTATGTAACATTAATTGTTGTACACCTTTTAAATATAAATTAAGCTTGTGATGGGAGACTCCAACCATGAATTTAATAATTCATTATTGTAAACATTTAATAACAAAGATACAGTTTGTTTAGTTAAATTACAATTTTTACCGTAAGTCAATCGAAACATTTAGCAAAAAAGGTTTGAACACACAACTAGGTTTTTGTTAACTTGAAGCATTATAACCACAAACACCGCTTAGAAGTTAAAATAAATGTGCACTGATCCGCTTTATATCAAAAATACAAATATATTTTTCTAAAAAGCTCTTATTTCTCGGAAAAAACTGAACGACTAGTAAACACGTATTTCACTTTCACTGTCTTACAGAAACGTCAGAAATCATGTTAAAGAAAATGCTGACAATTTTCTTTTTCGTTGAGTGTTATGTATAATGTAATAGATCTAAACTATATATTTTTTATTCTTATAATAAAAAAAACATTTAAAAAAAAGGTAGTAACAAAACTTTTCCTCACATTTTTGGGATCAATGACCAGAGCGTGTTCGCTCTCATACACCTGCGGATATACTCTTCTTAAAGCCTTTAGGACTGCTTCAGAACATAACGCTTTCAAATCTGAACCTGAAATAGAAATATTATTTTAATTTTTAATAGTTTTGTCATTTATACGAACTCGTCTATCTATTCTTGTTTGGTTCCAAATATGTCTGTTTCAATGTTTATTTAGCAGTTTGTTAATAATGCACAGAATTTTGATTAAAAAAAATAATATTTAATTTTTTTAGATTAAAAGCCAAAACTGATTACATCATAATAATATATACGATAAACATTATGTACTAACAAAGACAATGTACTAATAATTTGATTGCCGAGGTGTGTGTGGGAATGCGCAATGTCTGTGTATAGTATGTGTGTGTGCGCTAACATAAACCGGAACTTTTTCCCGATAAAACCGGAAGCCTTTGTAAGAAAAATAAAAAAGTGTGGCACTCGGGGACTGCCGCGGTAAAGCTATTGCATAGCATTTTTTTATCATCTTATGCAATTATTAGTTTATTTATTTTTTATTTATGCAGTAATTTTTTCCTTTGATATTAATTCAATCTACCACTCTACCAGACTAACACGCCTATATAGTCTGTCTCAGTAATACCGGCTGTACCGGCCGCGCTTACGCTACGTCACCGATCTAGTCAGAGAGATGTGAATACGCAGTATGCCCTCTGTCCCACTCTAAGGCACCTGCGCTACGTCACCGATAACGCCAGACCGATGTGAGAAGCAGTAAGCGTTCTGTCCCCCTTTAACGCGTATTAGCCGCACCTATATTACGTCATTTTTGTTACGGAATTTCTTGATTAGGTCGCCGCGCTCAAAACCCGGTATAAAATCTATGCAATAGCTTAAAACACGTCGTCGACTCTTTGGGTCTAAGGCAAGCCGGTTACCTCACGATGTTTTCCTTCACCGAATGTTAAATGCGAACATTCCATTACATACCTCCATATCCATTAGTGACCTCTGCTATATAGTTCAAAGTGTCATCGTTGGGTCGTGGGGTCCAATCTCTCGTGTATATCTCCAATATGTCCCGTCTAGCTGGCGCATGGGGCGGAGGGAAATGCAATTCTCTGTCGAAACGACCCGCGCGACGTAAAGCGGGGTCAACCGCATCCAGTCGGTTAGTTGCACCTATCACTACCACCTCACCTCTGTAAAGTAAAAAGAATGGCAAATATGATGACGACAGGTACAATAGATTCGATTGCTGGGAAATGAATTTCGACTTCATATATACAAAAGTCAGGCAAGTATGAACTTGTTCAAAAGAATTATGACAAAGAAATTTATTCTAGCTACGTATGCATTTCTACGGATATACGTGTTTACGGATGGGCCGTTACGGCCGTAAGGGTAAGTTTCAAAAATGAGACTTAAGTCTGACTCTCGTACGTCAAAGTATTGGATTTTGATATATAGTCCGGTCAATATAAACATTTAAAATAACAAAAATTCCCCATCGATCTTACCGTTTTCGAGAATAATAAAAAACTCAAAGTTTGACCTTTGACCCCGAGTAACTTTTGTAGCAAACATAGGATCGATGGTGATTTTTAAAACTTTATTTGTAATGGTAAGCCCCATTCTCCCCCCCTCTCCACCAATATTTGGCTTTCCGGGAATGTTTGTTATTTGACCACTATTTTTAAATTGACCGGACTAATACTATGACTGCCATATTTTTATGTTCGCGTTAAATCTCATTACTGAAGCTCACCCTTGGACTAAAAAAAAAATCAAGAGTAGAATATCTTTAACTAAATTTATTACATTATTATATTAACCACATAGTCGCTTTATAAACGACGACTTAAAACTCTTCAAACAAATAGATATATGTATATATTTTTTCGATTATATCCGTGAATGAAATTTTTATCAAATTTACTCGCGTAAAATACGATTATTAACGACATATATATAATATATCTTTTCTCGTGTGCTTGACATGTATGTTTTTAAATGAGAATAAACTTTAACTACATTGCAGAAAGTTTGGAAAACAAATCACATATTACACCTAGGGAGAGTTACAAAAATAAAATGATTTAGTTATTACTTATGAGTGAGAAGTTTTAGTGTAGTGGCTTCAGCGTACAAATCTGAGGTCGTAGGTTCGAACCCCGGCCGTGCTCTAATGAACTTTCTGTATACGTGCGCATACAGTCAAGGAAGCTATCGTCCCTTAGACCCAAAAAGTTCCTGATCACATGCGTATTATAAAAAACAAATGATCACCAAACAGATACAGAAATCTGAAGCCCATACCTAAAAGGTTATAAGCGCCACTTTTTTTTATAACTTATAAATACAGAAATATATTTTTTTACTCTACCTCTCACAAACTCCGTCCATTTCAGCCAATAAAGTCCCCACAACACTGGTATGCACTTGTTCCTGTCTGACACTTCGTACTGGAGCCAACGCGTCAATCTCGTCGAAGAATATTATTGAAGGCTTCATCTTGTTCGCCTGCGAATATATGCTGTTAATTTACACAAAAATATATGTTTTTTATTGTATTCTTCGTATATGGTAATGCAGGTGAGAACGCCGTTATGGGCCTGTCGAATTTTCAAATAAGATTGATATTAAAGCTATTGCATAGATTTTATCGCGGGCTTTGAGCGCGGCGACCGAATCAAAAAATTCCGTAACGAAAATAAAAACCTAACACACGATGACGTAATATATGTGCGGCAAATACGCGTTAGAGCGGGACAGAACGCATACTGCGTCTCACATCTCTCTGACGAGATCGGTGACGTAGCGTAAGCGCGGCCGGTGCAGCCAGTACGCGTTAGAGTGAAACAGTATAGGCGTGTTAGTCTTAATCTGGTAGTGGTAGATTAAATTAATATCAAAGAAAAAACTTGAATTTATATCAGAGAAAAAAAATACTGCATAAATAAAAAATAAATAAATAATTATATATACTTATGCAAGGTTAATAAAAAATTCTATGCAATAGCTTTACCGCGGCAGTCCCTGAGTGCCACACGTTTTTTTTTATTTGGCAGACGACAAATGTGCTTACAATAATATCTTAAACGGTCAATAAATATCGCGATCCAATATCACGATACCTGTCTAAATATATATTGAATCAACTGGTCGTACTACACTTTCAATAGAATATATTCCCGTTGCTATTTGTATAAAAACAGGAAGAAGGCTCACCTAATGTTAACTGACACTCACATTGGCAGAGAACTCGCACTTACGTTGCCGGCCTTTTAAAAATTAGTACGCTCTTTTCTTGAAGTACCCTAAGTTCGAACTGGTTTGAAAATACTTAAGTGGGCAACTTGTTCCACATAGTGGTGGTGCTTGGAAAAACTGCCTTAAAACACTCAGTTGTGGAACGACGGACGTCGAGGTGATACGAGTGGTACTTTATGTATAAAATACTCACGATATAAGAACTCACCTGCTGAAACAAAAGCTTCAAGTGCCTCTCACTCTCTCCAACCCACTTCTTCAAACAGTCAGCGCCTTTTCGCATAAAAAACGCGACTTTTCTTCCCCCCAGGAGGCTGCATTCATTCGCTAGAGCTCTTGCTAAAAGCGTTTTGCCTGTTCCAGGTGGTCCATGGAACAAAACGCCCTTCGCCGGCCGCGTCTTAAACTTTTGGAATAAATCTGGGTACATGAGGGGAAATAGAACCATTTCCCGGAGGCATTTTATGTGTTCTTCTAGGCCTCCAACCTGGAAAAATATTTAGAATTAAACTTTTGTGAATTTTTCAACAACCAAGCTTTATTTATAATTTATATTTTGTCATAACGAGGGCGGACTTCTCGGTTGTAAGCAATCTCTTTCAGGCAATCATCTACATCGTTCGTAGATAGTAAATAATGAGAAAGGTAATTTATGTGATCGATTTCGGGTATGCGATTTTTTTGGGACTTTCATTTTATCAAAATACAAATATTATTATTTATTTATGTTTAGTTTTTAGGTAACTTAATGAACTTATGAACGTCAGTAAAACAATTAAAACTTCTAAATTTACTTTATCTCAAACCAAGGGCGTAGACAAGAAGAACTAACAATAAACTCTCAGTCACTCAAAGATCACCAATTTTTTTTTACATATGGATTATAAGCACAACCATTGTAAAGGTTATAAACTGTATAAAAATAAGGCATATTTAAAAAAATATGTTACACAAGAAACACGTAAAATTAACATATAGAAAGATGGACAAAAAAACATTTACCGGTTTTAAAAAATTCCAATCGTATCAAAACATAGAAATCAAAGAGAACAGTTTGACAATAATATCGTATAAACAATTAAATATAACATAAAACGTACCGATGAAAACCGCACGCTACCATCTACTTCAATAGGTTGTATATCTCTTAAAGCTCTGTCAGTCTTCTTATCATCTGTGGACCTTGTCTTTTGTCTGCAATATTCATTAAAAACACATATTTTTACATCAATACCAGTATTTCCTATACTCAGCAGTTTTTTATCACATAACAAAAACTAAAAACTCTTTTGTTATTATTGCATGTTTTACTTTAAGTATTGAATTGGTACCGGGTTCGATTCCCGGTTCGAGGGCAAGATTTAATTTAAATTTGTTCTCGGCCTTTGGGAGGGTTGTGCGGTACCGGGCGAGTGCTTAAACCGTACATGAGAACACGATCGAATTACAAAAAAATAAAGACAAGCACGAATTATTAAAAATCCTATACTTGACGCTGGCTAATGCACAAATCGTGCCAGAGCCATTAAAAAAAAAAGTATTGAATTTTTTTATTTGTCCGTCCTACATCCTATTCATTCATTTATAATATTTTATTCACCTTTTGCGTTATCGTGATGTAAATAATGTATTATTAAAATTAGTTACATATTATGACAACTCAAAACACAAACAAAATACGATAAAATATAGTGGCAAGCTGTTTTGAAATTGTAGATCATTAACCGATAATACTAATTCACAAATTTCAACAACTTCTGAATGATAGACTATCAAACTTGTCAAAATAAGATTTGCTTTAATAATTAATTAAAGCAAATCTTATTTTGACAAGTTTGAGAGAGTTGAGAGATAATTATCGTCTATATTAGAAGACGTGAAAAAAAAGATTTCTCCTAGTCCAGTCTCGCGACACAATTGTATCGCTAAGAATATTTTTAATTAAATTTCATTGCTTAAAGATTGAGAGCGGTTCAGTTGAGCTACCGGCAAACATCTTGAACAAATGTCCTTGCCTGCGCAGAAGCGATTTTTAGGTATCACTGGGAGAGGGGCAGCGGGCGGTAGTGCGCGGCGGCGGGAGAGTGACGTGTCGATCGCGTGATTGGTAAATCAGTTGACGTTTGTCTCGCGCTGCGCAAACTTTCCCCCACTCCCTTGTTTTAATGCTCGAGAAGTTTGCCGGTATCCGTAACTAATGTTCGACTCCTCACCTCCCCTTAGTCTTATTCTTCATGGACACGTTGAGTTCTTCCGTATCAGAGCTGGTGCTGCTAGTGCTACTACTCGACGAAGGAGACTGAGCTGTAAAAAAATATTCTAGTTCAATATCTCTAATCTGGTCAGGTAGTCTGACAAAATCAAAAAGACTGGGGGAGAATTTTGCATAGACTTGGCGAAGGAAAAATCGAGTGATCTCGAGACGGCCTTTACACATTAAGATATCCTAACAAGTAAGGATTTTTTTATATAAGTATATCACTAACATTTTTTTTATTGTTAATTAATTATTTTATTTATTTCTCTCTAATAAATTATACAATAGCAATAATCTACCCAAAAAAAAAACTCATTTATCTTTAACCACTTTCTCAAAAACAACATTTTCACTATCAATTCAAAACTTTATACAATAACTAAGAATCTTAAGCACCATCTTCTAATAATCTAATATCAAGAATTCATTATAATAATTTAAATAGTAAATTAAAAAATAATTAATAAAAAAAATTAATTTACGATATGGTAAGTTAATATAAATTTACAATATTTTTACTTATATATATATATATATTCAATTTAGTTGATTTTTCAAATAAATGCTGTAGCTGATATTTTTCTATACAAAAGCGGTGCTAAAAAGGTGTAGTGTTGTGCAGTTTTTGATTTAAACAGGAAAAGCGAAATCTATTGCCCTCAAGAAATCGCAATATAACGTTGGATTTTTACAAAAAATACTAATTGAGTCTCCTTGTTTATCAACTTTATGTAGCTGCCCCTTGTAAATAATTTTGCGTTTATACTATATTTAGCCATTATACTAGCCGTTTCCCGCCCGCTTCGCTGGTCGAATTAAAATAAGAAATAAATAAAATTTTATGTTTCATTATTATTATTTTTTTCATATTTTTATTATTCTTCTTTTTAACTTCCCGCTAAAAAAATTTAATTCTTAACAGATGTTGACGTTTTGAGGTTCTAGCAAGCCTCCCCGAATGTTTCCGCGGTGAAGTCCGTATGTAAAAATTTCGCATCGAATGGCAGTAGTTTCATGTCGATACGATCAAAGGTTTAGGCGTGAAGGAGCCTCAAACGAATACCATTTTTCTTATATATATATTAAACTTTATAGTAAAAAATCACATTATCAGAAGGCTCGCAAGTGCGTTGCAGTTTTCATCTTTAGTTTTATATCCCAAATATTAAATAGCCTTTCTTTACTCAGTTATATCATACAACTACATATAAACATGAAAAATGTTAATGTAAATATAATAATTTTGTATGTTATTACCAATTTCATTTTATTATTTCATAATATAATGACTGATTTTCGGTTTAGAACCGGAATATAACTTAATTTTTAACATTAATTACAATATAAAGATAAATATAAAAATAAATAAATTTTATTTTTAAATATGCACATAGAGCTTTATAAATAAATCTTTCGTCATATGCGTTAACCACTAAGCCTAAATGTTGAATGTAATACTTACATCGTATCGTTTTCCTACGTAACAATTTCGGATTTCTCTCTCTTAATGAATACGGTTTTTTTCTTATTGTAAATGAATTACCTGTAAACACAGCCTTTTAAATATTCAAATATGTGGATAAAATACAAAAATTTACACTATTTTAGGTCTGAAAGTTACATAATTAGTCTTCATTGTAATTTTATTTTTCTCCTATTTTGTGATGAAAATTATTATTATTGGTAAAGTTAATGATCGATTCATGATCCTGCTACACTGTTTTTTTTGACTTTAGCCTTTAGCTTGTTGAATTTTACGGGTTATTCTTGCTGTTCAGATTTCATCATTGAACATAAATCGGCTGCTGACACGGTTCATATGTGTTCCAAATTTTAATAGCTGAGGTTGCGCGATACACCAACAGCTCACTACCAAAATATCATGTATGTGTGAATAGGTGTAATTAGTATTTAAGATATTGTTTTATAACAATAAATCAGATTTGAATATTGCTCTGTCTTGTTCATTTCTCGCTTCCTCTCAAAGTGGCGAAGACTACTTCAAGCCCTTAATTATCGTGGTGAGCCTGCCCGGTAGCTTTGAGATAATCCCACCACCTCGAACCTTTGATCCTACCCGTAGGGCTCCGTCTGTTACCTAAGGTCTCTTGGTGCAGACATCCCGTACTTATTTATATATTTATATATTCACTATTTATGTGTTAGGGTACGTCTGTAGGGCTTAGGGATCCGTAGGGTTGTTAGGTTCTTACGTCTCACCCTCTCATATATTTAGTCGTCTAGTGCAGTTTGCTCATACATACATTACATATTCTATTCAGATACTCCTGACATTAAATACATATAAATTTTAAACACACTTTTCACAGTCCATTAACTAGCAAGCTGTACACTTGCTGTATTTAAAAATACTGCTTTTGAAATTTAAATGGATTTCGGAAGATCTAATAATAATAATTCGTTATTATTATTAAAGTATATGTGTAAGCGTCACTATTATGAGCCGGTGCCTGACGTGTTGATGGTTGGATGCTGGCTCACAATTTTTTAATGCCAATTTTATGGATGGCTGGCCATGCGTCATACTCGTGAACGAGTGCTACTTGTGGTGACTGGTCGTACTTGAATTCGTGTATGCGGTGATGTTAATTATTTCGACTATGTGTTTGCGTGTTGTTCCCACGAGAATGTAAGTGCGTGCTCCTATTTCACAATGCCTCCTGCTGATAGAGGACAAGTCTTTGTTTTTAATTTATGTTATTATTATTAAGTACTTAAGATGTCATGTGGAACATGGTGTAATGGTTGTAGCTCCTTACAAACATTATGTAAAACAAAAAACATGGCGATTAAAAAGAGTGGCGGAGAGTTTATTGCCAGTTCTTCTCTTCCGTTCTACGCCCTTGATTTGAGAACTGGCACTAAATGTAAAATTAGAAGCATTAATATGTATTTCTTTACTAACAAGTCATAAGTGTATGCTACCTATATGATTAAATGATTTTTGATTTGATTTGATATAGGCCTCATATATCTGTATTATTTCCTCTTTTAGACAAGAAGCAGCCGTTTTGCCTGACATCTAGATTACTGTTTGGTTTCCTCACGATATTAGGAGTTTAAACACACGACAGGGTGGAACATCGCTAAGTCCGTAATGGAGATACTGGTCTCAGACAGGTTAATATACAAAATTTGTCAAAATCTTAGATACGTACCTCGTCCGCGTGTCTGTCGCGGTGTTATTTGAACGAAAGCTGGTTTGGGCTTGCGCGTGCGCTTCGAACGTCGAGGCCGGAACGCTAACTCACTACCGGACTCAGATGACGATGTTTCCGATACTGAAAAATTTAGTATTAGTAGTGCTTTTAATATTATGTTATAACATATATCCATCACATAAGTCCGCACGAACGCTCGGATTAAAATTGTAAATACAGGATATTAAACATGTCGTCCCATATTCATTTCCTAGGTCTAAAATCAGAAATATTTTCCAAATTCCTTCTCCAAAAACCAACCTAGGAGTTCAGGCACCTCTCTTTCGAATTCTTCGCGATGTTAACGGATTGAACACAGCTTATCCGGAGCTGGATATATTCGGTAGTGGGCTGATCGGGTTTAGAGAAAGCATTGTTAGGTGCCTATCTCGAACCTAATTCGCTGTTTTGCTGATGATTTTCTGCTTCACAAAAATTTCTGGTAACGTTATTGTATGCTTATTTTGTCTTGTATATATTTTACTTTTATTTTTTTTGTAACACTTATGTTTAGTTAAATTGTCATTTATTTTAGATGGAAGATTTTGTAAAATATACCGTAGATTTAGTACTATGTATGATCTGGTAAACTTTAATAAATAAATAATTAATTTCTATAGAAAATTTCCTGATATGGTTTATTTTTGACAGCCTGTTGTGGATTCTGTGATAATGTAATGTCTTGAAAAAAAGACAGTCAGTTTCAGACATCAATTTTTTACGACCATACATATCGTTCAGAAAAAAAACATCTATTTAGTACTGCATTTAATAATTGTCAGTAATCCGAGAGGCATTATATTAAAACATACTTTCGTCTATTATTTTCAATATGTTACTTGTTAAGTAAGCGAAAGTTACGGTTAATCAATATACATATATACAGTATAGTGTAGTTAAAATGATGAATTTATATTTACCAGACTCTTGATGACTATCTTTCTTCTGCTGTGTTCTTCCTTTACCGCGAGCACCGCGTACTGGTTTTTGTTGATTGCTGTAATATTAATACGATTATTAAGAAAACGTTTCTCCAAAGCGTCCCATAGATCTCGTGTATAATGGCAAGCTTTGGGACCTCTTCATTTTCTCTTTGATTTTCTTATGGGGTGATTACATCTACGGTAATTATTTACTAAGCTATTGCATAGATTTTATCGCGGGCTTTGATCGCGGCGATCTAATCGAGAAATTTCGTAACGACAATAAAAACCTAACACACGATGACGTAATATAGGTGCGGCCAATACGCGTTACAGCGGGACAGAACGCATACTGCGTCTCACATCGGTCTGACGTGATCGGTGACGTAGCGCAGGTGCGTTAGAGTGGGACAGAACGCATACTGCGAATTCACATCTCTCTGTCGGAACGGTCACGTAGCGCAGGTGCGTTAGAGTGGGACAGAACGCATACTGCGTATTCACATCTCTCTCACATACACTCTTAAACTTACTTTCATTTCATTCTCTCAAATTGCAAACATAAAAGTTACTTTTGCATTTTTATATTAAACTTCAAAACAAATATATAGTGTATAAATTAATCGTAAATAAGTACCTTTTTTTATTTTTAATCTAAACTTTCTCAACACGGTGTAAAAAACACACCTGAACAATACAAAACATACCTATCACTATCCTCATTGTTTTCAGTCTCTTTCGTCTCCTTCTCCTCTTCTTTAACCCGAGTGTCTGACGTATCCATCTTCTCTTCTGTTTTAACTGGCTCTGGCGGCTTTTTCTCAATAACGGTTTGATTATTCTCATGTTCTGATTCAGATCCGGATGCATCCTAAGAAAAATTAGATTCTATAAAGAGATATTCCCCTTTCATATCCGTAGGGCTAATATCGCAAACTTGGATATGTCGTACGATAACTTAGTGTGTTTAAATAATTAAAGTTTTATGTTCAACCAATAGATGTCGCCTGTGGAACCTTGAATCGCGGTATTGTTTTGATTTAAGAATAGTATAAGTTTTTCAAGGTAAATTTTATTAAATATCTCAGCCTTAGAAATGGTGTTTTTCTTGTTCATAGTAAAATCACTACCGCTAAGGAAATACAGTTAAAATCGTTAACCACGACATCGTTTAGAACAACATAGCGGTTATATGGACCAAATCAAAGGTCCCAGCTCCCAGCTGAATTCTATTGTATTAGGTTTTTAATAACAACGTCATCGGCTGTTACGACTATTGAGTATTGACGGTTTTTAATTTTTATGACCAAATATGAGTAGTCACTTCAATGTCATTGTCGTTATAACAGATTTTGACTGTATAATGTACATATAATATTAATTAATAACAGACTTATAGGCTATGGAAGAGATAATTAATGTTGAATTAATTAAATTAGTGTTGAATATTTGTGCTTAACCAGCTGTTGTGGGGCTGGATTTAAGAATCATGTCTTGAATTAAGTCCATGCATAAAGCTTAAGTCGGAATTTAAGAAAATAAATTATAATTTATTTGTATAGGTAACACAATATTCATTAATGAGCGTCAATAAAATAAATCGAAATTTAATTAATGGTCAGTTAATAAAAAGCGTAGAATGGAAAACTACAAATAATCTCTCCAAACTTAAATTGCCAAGATTTTTTTTCCAAATTGTTTGAAAGGAACTAATCCTCATGCATAACATATTAAAACACATTTTTATAACAACAAATAAACAGAGGCCTTAACTTCGATTCCTGAAGAAACAATTAAAATAAAAATTTCTAAATCTTTTTCAATAAGGGCTATTTCATTTAAATACTTTATCACAAACCTTAATATTTTTGCCTCTACCAGAGGTTCTCCTCTGTCGAGACAACTGTGTATCTTCATCTGTTATTGGGGGTGCGGTGGATCTTCTTGACTGATTCTGAAATTTTAAACATAAATATCAGTACACTGCTTCATAATCACTGTCATGATAGAAGAGAATATGTAAATCACACACTAACAACAAATGAAGAAAGCCCTGGCTGTGTTCACATATTTGTTATAAAATATAATATATAATAATGCCTTTTCCACAGATCAAGTTACAATCCATCTATTCTCAAAGACACAATTATTAATTATATGTAAAAAATATCATGAACATAAATTTTACAAAAAATAATAAACATTTCCTATCTAATAATACTCATTCCTAATAGGTGCTTAGCAACGCTTTTTTTTAAATTAACAGCCCACTACTGGAATATATCAATATATACATTTAAATGCTACTTCCAGAAATTATGACATACATCTAAAAACTACAGAATTTTTTGAAATTCAGACTATCTCTGAGTTCAAATATACTAAAATCGAGATGTCTCGGTATAATTTAAGTTTACAAGAAATTTGTCTCTGCCTTACGAAAGAGAAAACACCCGCTTGGAAGCATACATAGATCATCTTACCCAAGTATTATGCAATATGGATAACCTTATTTTTTTTAGTCGGGTAAGAATAGGTGTACCTATATCACATTAACAGTAAATAGGGAAAGTACATCATAGTAAATAAGAATAATTTATATACAAAATATATAAAACACTATGCAAAAAGGATTATCGCAAATTGTATAAAATCACTATGTTGATCAAAATAGTGATTATTATTAAATAGTGACTATAAAAGATCTTACCAATTTCCTCTTATTAACCCTAGCCTCATCACCCGAAGTGAATTCATCAGATGAACTGGTTGTTGTAGGAAACCCATAGAGGTCGGGATATCCTTTCACTTTCAATTCATTTGTGATCCAGCTCTCATTGAAGTTGTGATGCAATAGTTTCCGCTTACGGCAACTACGACGCACATCTATAAATGAAATAAATTGTGTATTTAAAAAAAATGTAAAACAATAGTGGGCAACACAATATAATATGTTAATGTCCGTGCAGACTTATTAGGTTTATTACACGTTAGCTGTGCGGTTCTCTATAACCTAACGCTTTCCTGTTTCTTTCCTTTTCCTAAACACTTAGACAAAAATCATGTTTTATTCATAGATGGTATCGCGGACTTATGATATCTTCTATAAAACTGTAATACACCACTTTGCTTGATTAAAAAATATTATATGTATAGCTTATGTTACCAGGGATAACAGGGTTCTAATGGTGAAAGAATTTTTCAAATCAGTCCTGTAGTTTTTAGAGCGAATTCAATGCAACAAACTAACAATCAAATATTTATAATATATATTAGTGTTTAAGTGTAGATTGAAGAAATTAAATAACATTACATCAGTTTAAGAAACAAACAAGTATATAGTAAGAAATATTATACTATATCTATTAATCTAATTTAAATGATATATGACATGTATAACTTAAACAGTTTGTATGAATGTACAACTTACTTTGTTGTATCGGTTTGTCTTCACTATCTTCACCGTAATTTTTACGCACACCACCATTTCTTCTTATTTTCATACTCCTATTCGGAGTATCATTGCCCTCGGTAAAAAATACACGCACCTGACGTGATCTATTGAGTGATAAAAGATTCATATTACTAACAAAGTTATCACCATTTTGCTATTAACTAATGGTGCATCAAATGATGTCTACTAAAAAAAACACAATTATAAATAAATAATCTTAAAAGTAAAGTTAAGAGGTTGTTTAACTAATAATCTTTGAAGATTACAGGCAGAATATAGCTATTATGAATCAATTTATATATTTATTACTTTGTTACATTAAAAGAAAAACGAATGATAACTGGCGGCCTTATCACTAAAAAGCAAACTCTCCTAGGCAACCCTAGTAAGGAAAAAGAGTATTTATATGAAGTGTAGCAAGAAATTCTATCTAAGTGATGGCTGTAGTTAGGTCAGATTTTATTAGTTGGTTAAGCCAGTAGCTGACCTAATATTAGACAACTGTGTTTGAAAGCATGGCAATTAATATCAGATGCATTAATAAGCCTCCATACTTTACCTTCTGGAGTATTTCTCTGGCTCAGTATCGCTCTCTGGAAACATGATGCGAGGCATCTTAATGGCTCGGAGCCTACTCCGGTTATCTATACATGAAAGTGGATTATTAAAGTTACAAATACAGATAAGTTACCTAAAATATTACAAAATAAGGTACTTTCTTTAGACCTCTTTTGCATTCTATTGGGATAAAAATGAACTTTCATGTCACATAGCCTGTAACATCCTGTGTACATGTTTAACCTTTCAACCTGTCTATCTGCTTACCATATAAATACCATATCATAAGAGGGATGAGAACTTAATTAGCGGCCAGTAGCCTACTCCAGATCAAATAAATAAAATAAATCTGTCTGGGCCAGGCCAGTTAATATAATTTTATAAATAAATATATTTTAACTTACACTTTGTTGGCCAACGTTGTATCTTCCTTTTAACTTTAATATGACTACTTCTTAATTCCCTCTGAGACCAATTGGAGGCCTGCAAATGTATACTGTATTACAATTTTGAAGCTATGGTATTATCTCAATTGTCTATTGGAAAAACAAACTAAATTCTTCATTTAGACTTGACTACATTCATGCTTCAACATTCCAGTTGTTTAAAAAAGACAAGACCTACCCAGGTCTGCAAAAATTAAATGAAAAACAAAAACCATCTACACATAAAAAGCAATACTTTCTTACATGGCTTAAATTATTATGACAGCGCAAAAGCTTTAGCAACTTCGTGCATTACGAACATACCTACACATACTGGAGGAAATTAGGACAGGAAATAGTCATTCAAGAGGTATTTCTAGGAAAGCACAGTGCAAATTCCATGCACTAACATTCTGCATTAATGGGAACTCATCACCTTCTCATCTGATACACTGGCAGCTTCGTTTGGAGAGTAATTTTCATCCTCAACCTCCCCGTTCTCTCCGTTACTACGTCTGGTTTTAACCATTGCAGTAGGCGAGTTTACACACAAAATATCACCCTTAACACACACTTAACCTTTATCTAGCTGTTCTAAAATCGTTAAAGAAGCTCATACAGTTTGTTTTAATTCAGTATCAAGTGTTTAATAGAAACAAAATTGACAAAGACTGGTCGTTATCTTCCGCACATGTCGTAACTCGTAAGGCAGCGCCATGTTAAACGACTATGTTCACAGTGACGAGTCAAAAGTTAAATGAAAACCTAATAGAGATACTGTTAAAGCTTACCTCATTTGACGTTAAATTTCTGTTAGAAAATAACTTATAAACAAGCAGTTTTTAGCAATACTTATTTTAGCGATAAAATTCGACTCTACGTGACAAAATTACGATAGCCTTGCATTGTTTTTATTGAATACTGCCAAATTTTTCCCGCAATATTGACACATGTATTATACTTTGAGAACTTGACAGATATACATACAATAACATAACCGTCAGGCGTCAACTATCATGTGTCAATATAAATGACACTTGTTATACTACACAAGAATATTAGTAATTTTGCAGAAATAAAATCAAAACCAAGAATCGTTTAAATAAAAAATATATAATTGAGAGTTGAGAAAAATTATCACTGTTATGTTTTCATCATAGTATGCAATGTAATGATTAATAATTGCAAAACATTCCTTTATTATCTGAACAATAAATAATTACTTTGTGTTATATTGCGTCAAAAAATTTATATTTTAAACCATGTCTGATATTTCCGAGGCTTCGCCAACTGACTGTAAAGTTATCAGTGATGAAAAGTCCAATGTTAATGGTGATATTGATAACGACATGTCCGCTAAAATGACCGCATCTTACAGTGAAATATCGTTTCATTCAGATAATGGACAAAATGACGAAACGAAAGTAGCAGGTCCATCAAGACCCTATGATCTTCCATCAGAGAACAGAAGACAGGACAAAATACCCTTAGATATAGATGGGCATGTTCGGTATGTTGGTGATATGACCCATTATGTAGCAGATGATTTAGAGTTCAAGATAAAACTATCAAGCCCAGTAACAAAAAAGGGTGAAACACCTGTCTTTGGCAGTTCTAGTGCCTCACGATCAAGCACACCTTCTGGTAAACTATATAGGCAAATTCTAGCACCACAGATAGGACAGATAGATATAACAGTCCTTAATGACTTAGAACATGAAGCTCAAAAAATTGCGCAATCTGTTGATAATCTTATAGAGAACTTATCTAGCATTCTACATTCTAATTCATCACTAACAGCTGAAAACATGGATGTATATAAAGATGCTGTTGGGAAAACTTGTGATGCAATGGACAATAATATAAAAAGTATGTATACAATTCTGGCTAAAGGAGAAGAAGTGTCTCAAGCCATGATTCCTGTACAGGCACAAGCAAATAGAATCACTGAAATAAAGAGATTATTACAGATATTTGAAAGTTACTTTTAAGGATACACAAAACCAAATTTAAGGATAGTCATTCAGTATTTTCATTTTTGGGTATTATTTTTAAGTTTTACAGAATTTTAACAGATTAGTATTTTTTTATAAATTAAAAATACATTTAATTATTAGTTGTCTATTGTATTATAATTATTCATGTTTCATGTGACTACACAAGAAAAGACATTTATTTAAAATACATTAAGTTCTTTAATACATTATTTTGTTGTCGGATGTAATTCTTATAAAATTAGTATTTTAAAATATCAATTGTTGTTAAATAAAAATAACAAATCTTTGTGTCTGGAATTGTTTCACACATAGTTCTAAAACTTTGCTACAGGAATGCAAGTCAAAAAAGACATGAAGGAATCCTGTAAATGGTTAAGTTAAGCCATTGTTTACCTTTAACAGTTTATGCCTAAATTAGAATAAATAAAGGCAACTATAATTAGGGGCCAAACTATAGTCGACACATTATGTACTGAAGCTTGGGTCATAAATCATATTTATCCGTCTGTCTCGCTCGCACTTATAGATTTTATGAAGAGGTGTAATGATGTAAGTAAGAATTGTTAAGGTGCGTGTGATTGTCATAACAAAAAAAATATATTTATAGAAAAACAACAGCCCTTACTCGTAACGACCAATAAGGAGTTAGAGTGTCTAATGCTAAAGGTCACGATGACCCATGGACCCCGCGTGCGCAGGTAGCTAAGTATCGATGACTATTCCTACTGTCACCTGCATCCGACCATGACCTACGCTTGCGTAGTCTTCGCGCATTGTCCCTTCCCATATCCATCGGCTACAAGTGCTTCAGTTGTCATGAATCGCGACCGGTGCGCCCTTCTACGTGAGGAGCGTCGATCTCCACCACGACCTGGAGCTCCCTACCATAGCCCAATGTTGATGAAGTTAACGTCCACACGCCACTTCGACAAGGCTCGAAGGAGGCCCCACACATACTAACGGATCCGGATGATCCAATTACGATAGCTAATGATAAATTAAAAGGTCCTCGCCTTCCCCGGTGAACCTTTACTGCGTACTTCGCTCACTCCAGTGAGTTTCCGTCCTGCCCTTCAGCCGACCACCCCGCGTCGGCCCAAACCGAGGCTCGAGTATCACAGGAGACGCTCTAGCGCTAGTTGCGGGAAAAACGCCCATTCAGGCAGAGCTACGCTCGTTAAAACAGCCCGAGCTGAGCTGTAAAGGCGCTTAAGGCCAACAGTGAGATTCCATTCCCAAAAAAAATCCAATGTCAGTGACATTTATTGCCCGACGACTCAGTTTTAAATGCGTCGACTATAGCAGCGATCAGACCTAATCCTACTTATAAAAATTCAATTTTAAACCTTGTGTTCTAATTATTCTGTACTCTAGGTTAGATTCAGATTCGAGATTTAGCGCGAACTATGACTTACGTGTGTCAAATTCGAATACGTTTTCGACGTACGTAAATCAGGCTTTACGCAAAATTTTGTTAAGCCGAATTTACATTACGAAACTAGTGGCTCGGAATTCGTTTTATGACATAAATTTCATCAACAATTTCACGTGTAAATTTACAGTTTCATAATGCATGCATCGGTTTCGCGACACTGGATAAATTTCGTGCCATGCCATTGATATACAAAAAACCCAAGATGCACAGTCTCGAATAAAAGTAACGCTCGAAAGTGTCCCGAAACACTATTTCTGTCCATAACAGTATGTTACAAGCATATATTATTGCAAAATCAACCTTACGCGAATTGCTTAAAGTTGTTATTACAACGCAGTGTATACGTACTTAAAGCAATAAAATTTTACGACCGACCGTGGTCGGTAGGACAAGGTATTGAGTGGAGTCGAACATGACTTTTTTATTTACAACTATTTAACATAATTTTAAATTTATCCGACTTTTCGGGTGCTTTACAGCGTGAGTGGTCACGGTGACTGAAGACAAAAGGTGTTGGATGTTAAATAGTTGTACATTTATAATAATACATAACATTAATCCGGTTAAAAAGTTTTTTCTTTAAATTAAAAAAAAAATGTTAAATTGGCTACCTCCTGACCCACACTTTATATAGCGTAAATATATTTGTCAAAAACTACACACAAAAAAGTTCAAGAGTACATAAATTTATTTATTAAAAAAACACAAATAAATAACATCGACTCCACTTATAGACGCGAGACTATTTGAAATGAGCGCACAATTTAGAATGTTGCGCTCATTTTTTGAGGACGTTTTTTAGACGTTGATTGTGCATCTTGGGTTTTTGTATATCAATGTGCCATGCGCATATTTTTTGTAAAACTAATGTCACGCAACTACTTTCACGATGAAAACGCGACACGAAACTAGTGTCGCGAAAGCATTTGCACAGGGCAGACGTGTGTGTTTGAGTGCATCGTGCAGCTAAATGACCGCCAAAATGGCAAACCAACGCTGGTCAGTTGATAAAAATATAATTTTCGAATTTTATATATTAACATCTGTACCACGACGTTCTGCATCGCAAAATGAAGCTTTGATGTTGACAGAGCCATGTCGTTGGTGATACTGTTGATTTCACGACACTATTATTGTTTGTTAAAGTAGTTTCACACGTGCGGCAACTATTTTCATGAAACTCATTCCAACATGCATAACACTAGTTTCGTAATGTAAATTCGGCTTTATAAAATCTGAGATTTAGTTATTTTTATCTGTGGTGCAAATGCCCAAGCCACAGGAGTCTGACTTCTAATCAAAGTAATTTTTGGAAGAAGGCGTCAAATATGCTATACATGACAGATGTTATTAAGACACATGAAACTTTCAGAACAGTGATGACTGATGACTGATGAGTATAGTAGAACACTGACAGTCGAAAGTCGACGGTATTGGTCGGAGGTCCACTCCACTGGAGTATTGACTTTAGAGTAGACTCAAGCCTGTTGTTTGTGGGGTGGTTGTGTACTAAAGAATAATTTCTGGGATTGTTCTATAAAAGCAGTATACTAAAAATATAACTTAAAATGTAAATTTAATGACGACCATGAGATTTAATGTAATTAAAGCAACAAGTGCTCGGCTTGTAGTTTCTTGACCATTTCGATTCGATCTCGTAGTCAGACCAAACGCATACCATGGGCGATGTAGTGAGTTTGTTTTCTGTAATAATAATGAAGTTTAAATCAAAGATTTATCAAAGTAATCTTTATTTTCACTGTGAGTTTCCCTGGGAGAAGCTGAAGTCTATTAAATGGAAAAACGAAAGAGCTACATCTAACAAAGCTTATATTCCCACCAAAGTAAGTTCCTTATTAATTTTATTCATTTAATTTTTTTTAATGATAATATAATTATATCATATAGTTTCCATCCTTACAGCTTAAGCTTCATCAGTAGCCATCCTGGGATCAAACATTTAATGACTAGTACTTAGTATACTTATTTTAATTAGAGCATTTTAGATACTATGTGGTTTGAGTTATATTATGGTTTAACTAATGGTCCACATATATTTTTCCTTAAAATAAATAATAATAAGAAACAAGAAATATCTTCAATCTGTATGTAAAATATATCTTAAATTCAAAAGCAATCAATATTTAACACACTTTATTTCTTTGTTGGACATTGATATAAATATGTACGTGTTATAAATATTAGGCTTTATTAAACTATAATAATGAATTCCCTATGCTCAAAAAACAATTCTCATAGCTAGAGTATTATATATATAAATGATGGTAATACAATTTATAAGATATTTTGTTTTATGTTTTAGGTGGAAAATGTAGCTAATGTTTGTACACATGCCCTTTGTGTTGCGCCTGCATCTTTTGGTGCCAGGGAACTGCTCACTCGCTCCATAAACGCACCACAAGCAATAGCAGCAATTGTCTATGGGCTCGCTCTCTGTCTTCTTTTTGCAGTTTCCACAACTTTCCACTCTGTGTGCTGTTGTGGTTCTGATACGTAAGTAATCTTAAAGAAACATGCACAGTAAAAATAATATTGTAATAACATATTTCAGTTTGGTCTACTGTAATTTGCACTAATTTAAAATTAAGCTGAGATAGTATGGTTTTTCGAACACCTATGTTTCAATAGGCATTTTAAACAGAAAATTTTCTGAGCACATCAACCAATCTAAGTCTTGAATACAAATATTTCATAATCTTGCTCAAAATCTTAAAGTAAACTTTAATGAAATTTCTCCGACTGTTGACTATACATTTATCGTTTCGTATTTTAGTACGACGAAATTCCAATAAGTGATTTGTGTATAGCATTGGAAGTCTATCCTCGTTAGCTTTCTCGATAACACTATAAATTATTCAAAAATATTAATTAATGACAGAGAAAGTACCTATATTTGTCATATTTGTATTATCCCTAGAGGAGTGTTCGAATTACTTAAATATTTGTATCTATTAACTTCATTTAATATATAGCTTATAGGTAAACGATATTTAAATAGCTTATTCAAATAGATAAATTTTTGAAACGGTATTCGTTTTGCGTGAGTTTTATTTCTTATGTCAAATTGGTATTCAAGATACATGCGACATTCAATTACTTTAGCGGATCTAGGTTAACCAAAATTATAATTTAAAACCTTAGGGATTTGATAAAATACTCTAATAGAAAACAGCTGGCTTTATACGATCGTAAAGATAATACGTCTTTGTAAGCACTTTTAAATTCTATGCAAACAGATTGAATACATTTTATAAGTAAATGGGAAAATTGACCTGTTTTCCAGTTACCAGTAAAATATTTCTTGATACTAGTATGAAAGATTGAACTTATCGTATTTCCACTAGGAAAGAATTCTTTGCTCTTGTTTTTTTGTGTAACCAGCTTAATTTATGTCGTTGATTTCTAACAAAAATTATAGACCAAATATAGTCTATATACTTCATACATTAAAATGTGAAACTCTTTCAGCAAAATGAAGCACTTCCTTCACCGATGCGATCGAGCAATGATCTATATATTCATTGCGAGCTCGTACTTCCCCTGGTTGACGGTTGGGACACTCTCCTGTTGGATGCTGAGGGAATTAAGATGGGCGATATGGTTACTAGCGATTCTTGGCATCACCTACCAACAAATCTTCCATGAGCGGTACAAGATGCTGGAGCTATTGCTGTATCTTATCATGGGGCTGGGTCCTGCTGTCGTCATTTTCACGTCTAATGTATGTTGCTTTTGTGCATGTGTATATACTATGAGTCTTCTTTTATAAGGGCTTTAATTTATAGTGTAGGCTGAAGTCATAAGTGTAAGGTTTAGAAATGAGTGGATATGTATTTGATTTTAACATACGAGTCAGACTTAGCGCTATGTTTCAAAGTCAAATCATTTATTTCAGTTAGGTCTATTAGAAAGGCACTTTTAAAAGTTAAAAATATTTAAAAAAAACCCAAAGGGTAGTTTCATATTCATATGGAGAAGTAACTCCATACTTACTCTTTTAAATTAGTTTTTTTTTTCAATATTTTGCATATTGATTGATAATAATTCCTTTCTGAATCTTACCCTAATCACCTCGGGCTTTTTGCTAGTGTTGTGTTTAGCGTTCAAATGTCTTTCATTCCAGTTTCATCTAAATAGTTATCTAAGTCGCACATAGAAATACCTTTATTGTCTTTTCATAATATTTGTTTTATACATTAGATCTATACATATATATTATGTTATAAACATAGTTACAGTTGCTACAAGAGTGCATATTCCTCGCATCTGCAAGCTACGTTAATCAAAAACTCGTAAACTTTTTACTAATAATTAAACGTTTATATACGATTAAATTTACTATTTATCCAGACTGATAAGAACCTAATTACTAAATTGGTTAATAGGGTCTTTTAATTAAATAAAAATATTAGTCTCCAAAAGGATTTCCTGATATTGGAATTTTAGAAAGCATTTTGCTGATATTTAAATATTCAAAGCGAATTTTTACGATTGAATTTAAAAAATATGAAAAGCTCGACGGGTCAACAGCCAATTTAATAGCAGACAAATTTTATTATAACAGAATTAACCTTTATATTCTCTATAAAACGTTAAATATACTGTTCGATTTGAGCTATATTATGCATTTATATTTTAAATATCATCTGGCATTTACCGGTAATACTAATAATAACAAATCGTAACCCTTCGACAAACAAATATATATGATACTAGCAGACTCGGCCAAGCGTTGCTGTGGCTAAGGTTTTTGTTATATTACATAGTAGTAAACTATTCAAAGGAAACGGCAGGAAAACAACAGTCATGGGGATCACCATGCTTTTGTGGTGGTTATGCCATTAAATTGTAGCTTATGTGAAACGTTGGTACTTTCAACACAGCGCCACCTGTTAGAATTGTGTCAAATAATAAACAAATAATTTGCAATATAATTACATTGCGGGTATAAATTGAGATGTAAGCTATATCTTTTAAGTTGGATCAAACTACTCACGGTGTGCAAATTTGATTGATATCGGTTCGGTAGTTTAGGAGTCCATAGCGGACAAACAACTTGACACGTAATTTATATAATATCTTTAGAACATCTGTGGCTCCTGACGTCTTTTATCACGTAAAAAATTGCTAATAATAGATTTGTAGGATTTTATCGTTTCTCTAATTATCAATCCGCAGTGTTCCTCATACCTTAGTAACTCGTGATACTTACTATTTTAGTCAAACAGGCTTTTTGTTGTAAATTCTCCCTTTGTAGTTCTAACAGCACGCGGCCGCCCCGATCTTTTCTGGTCTTCGACAGACGAAGTGTTGTATCTGTTGATAGAACGACGTACATTCGGCTAATAAGTAATATCACGCTTTTGAAGTGTCTGGAATATGACCGACGGCTCCATACCCACTTTGTGCAAGCCGATCACTGCAACCCCATTTTCTTTAACACCCCATTCTATATTGTAATTTTATAATGAACACGAAAAAATATGTGAAATGGCGCCAAATCTAAAGAAGTGTTCCAAATTCAAAATAATTAAAAAGTTGAAAAAAAGAAAAGTTTTTATGTAACAGTATTTATGGCCAGACAGTTATATATGAACTAATATAGAACGTGTAATTAGAGCTAAAAATACATATCCGCAGCGTGATTATCTTTAACATTTTCTAGTGCTATTCTTGACTTGACATCTTGACATGGACCCTCAAGGGCGGCTTAATTAATTCAAAATCGTTCTTATATGCTCGAGTCTTGCAAACATTTTTGTATCCAACCTAATGCGCGACTTTCGGCTTTCCGTATAATGCGTATAAGAGCTAAAATTCAAAAACACCGGAAACTTCCTTCCTCCAGGTGAAATTGTACTTCTATGGGCTTACACGACCCGTTTTGGTATCAAGTTCAAACTACTAAGAAATGGATTTGTGGTTTTTTTCGTAAAAAGTAAATGAGCTGTTTTTAGGTCGTGTTGTGAATGAATGAAGCAAACTTCAAAAACAAAAATTCTAATGTCGTAGTAGTCAAATTCTAATCTAATACCGCTATTTAACTTTTCTAATTTTTATATTACGTATTATCTGATATTCGTACTATATATTTAAAATATGTCACAGAAATAAAGCTACGAAATCGATGAAAGGTTACCTACTGACTGAAGAGCGCGATTCGTGATTCGAATTCAATTTGGCGCCGAAACCAAATCCAATATACTATAAAATTGTCGTGTCACAATGTAACGAACATACTCCTCCGAAAAGGTTCGACCGATTCTTATGAAATTTTTATGCATATTCAGTAAGTCTCAGAATTGGCTACTATCTTTCAAACCTCTAAATGTTAAGGGTCCACCCCAAAACTTTTATTTTTTAGATAAAAAATTTTGTAAAACGTTACGATGCGGGGCTGAACTAAAGAGTCACTAGGTGGTCACGAAACGTTTTACTATACTTGGGTACAGTACTGTACTTGGGTACTGAAGAACGTTATTGGGGGGGGGTCAATAATCTCCAAAAATTGCGTTACGTAATACTTGAACGCTCACTTAAACGAGATCAGAAAATTTTAAGAAGTAATTTTTCGTAATCAATATCTGCTGTTTAAGATAAGCAACAGCTGTACAGTCATTAATACGTATATTAGGAACAAGGAATGTTTCAAGCGTGAACAGTTTTGTCATATGAAGTATGAACCTTGACCCCGTGATAATACACAGTACATAATATCGTCGCCTCTATTAGAAGTAGTGTTCGAGCTCGTAATTCGCATCATCATACAAAACTTCATAATCGGCTGCATCCGTCAAATAGATTCATATTTTGGCAAAAGTCAAGGCTATAGAATAGATATATGGAAGGATAATTAAGGCACAAGTGTGTGATTAGATAATAATAATAGTTTTTGCATATATCATCTTAATATATAAAATTCTCGTGTCACAATGTTCCTTCCCATACTCCTCCGAAACGGACCGACCGATTCTTATGAAATTTTTATGCATATTCAGGAAGTCTGAGAATCGACTATTATCTATCTTTCAAACCCCTAAGTGATAAGGGGAGGCCACCCCAAACTTATTTTTTTGAAGAAAAAAAAATGTCTTTATTTTTTATGGTACAGCATACAAAAAAACATAAAACCCCTAATTTTCAACCCACTACGATCAACTATTTTTTATTTTAATAGATTGTTATTTTTATTGAACTAAAAATGTTTCCTAGAGATAATATACATGGCAAAACAACGTTTGCCGGGTCAGCTAGTTATAATATATGTACTTTGATAATAATTATAGATTTTGCATATATGTAGTATATTTATTAAAGTACACCACATCATGTATAATGCATTTACTACAGCATAAGTTACAATCTATCTATTCTTGTGTTTCCCAACGTGGGGTCCACGCCCCACAGGGGGGCAATTTATTTGTTAAGGGGGGCAGTTCGAAAATGGACTCGATGTTTTCACTTATGTTTTTAATTTGCTTATTGGGTTTCGTTAACAATAATTTACTAATGATTTTTCCTATTTTTTGTTTGTTATAATATAAACAATTCAATGTTTAATATGAATCATAAGGCTTTTTCGGAAGGCAATGATATAGCATAAAAAAGGTTGAGCAAGATCGATTATAAATACATTATGGCAAAGATAAAGTTCACAAAAAATAAAAATATTACACTTTCAACTACAAATTTTAGTTTTACTAGTAATTTCCTATTTAAAAATAATCACATCAAAATCATTTATTCAATTAGGTACAATGTACACAACAATGAACGTCACAAAGAAATACATATTAAATGCTTCTAATTTTACATTTACTGCCTAAAAAATCTCAAATCAAGGGTGTATAACGGAAGAGAAGAACTGGCAATGAACTCTCCGCCACTCTTTTTAATCGCCATTTTTTTTTGTTTTACACAACGTTTGTAAGCTGCAACCATTTCACCATGTTCCACGTGACATCTTAAGTAATTAATAGTTAATTATTTATTACTTAGGTTGATATTAAGTTAATGCTCTCTTGTGTCAAAATGCAATGATTTTTTGACATACGTCGCGCTATATATCGACTCTGAACCCTTAAGCAGGCCATAGACGGACCGCATGTTGCAGTCAAGACCGACTGCAACATGCAACTCAAGAACTGCTCGAGCGGTCTGTGTATTGCGAATATGAATTTAGTATGTAAACTGCAGATCGCCGTGCGGCGACCGCTTAGAGCAGTCGGTATCGGCTGCAACATGCGGTCCGTCTATGGCCCGCTTTACATCGATATACAACTACTTTAATCGTAATTTTAAAACCGCATTTACAGATTAATTCTTATTTAGTTGAAGTGGTTGAATGGGAAGCCTTATTCAAAAGCCATTGCAGAAAGTAGGTCATCCAATAAAAATAAGCGGACTATGAAAGAATGAACATAATCTCCGCTTCATTTTAATCTGTAAAAGACGTATACTTGGTACGGTTACTGAAAATTAGTAATATAAATTTTTTTAAACGAGTTTTTGATCGTTCGTATGTTTCAAAAACAAAAAAAATAATAAGACAACAATATCTTGTTTTCGATATCATTCAGGAGTTAAGTTCGGGGCGGTTGTTGTGATGTTCAAATATCAGCCCTGCGATTCTCCACCCCCCCTCCCCCCCCCCCCCCCCGGCCCCCCCCCCCCGCCCCCCCCCCCCCCCGGCGGGGCTCTTCCTTTTTTTTCTTTGCCGGACGGGGGGGGGGGGGGGTTTTTTGTTCCCTCTTCCCCCCCAAAACAAACCCCCCCCCCCCCCCCCCCCGGGCCGCCCCCCCCCCCCCGCCCCGCGGGTTGCTCTGTTAAATGAAACGCTTTGTTTGATACTGGGTGTTAACTGGCTTTAATCATTCAATACATGAGCTTATCTCTAAGATATCATTAGGGGTAGTGGGGTTGCGACGCTGGATTAACAAAAAACTAACTTGGGTTCTTAAATCTAAGTGGCACTTGAATATATGTGTAGTCGGCCTTTTTGGACAATATCGGAAACAAGAATGTTATATTACAATTTATGAGTGGAAAAACTAAAGGACTCATTTTGGCTTTTAGGTTGCGATGATGGCTAATATTTATTTACTAAAATATATATATATCTAACTTAACCAATCAATCAATGCAATTAATCAATCAATCAAAATAATTTACTCATATAGCTCACACAATGTACACTTGTGAACGTCAAAAAAGAAATATATATTGAATGCTTCTAATTTTAAATTTACTGCCAGTTCTCAAATCAAGGGCGTAGAACAGAACTGGCAATAAACAAATGTTTGTAAGGAGCTGCAACCATTACACCATTAGTAAGCTTACATATACATATACTAGCCGTTTCGCGCCCGCTTTGCTGGACGAATTAAAATAAATTTTATGTTTCATTATTTTATTTTTTTTCATATTTTTATTATTCTTCTTTTTAACTTCCCGCTAAGAAAATTGAAATATTTCGAAAATCGAGTTTTTAACAGATGTTGACGTTTAGAGGTTCTAGGAATCCTCCCCGAATGTTTCCGCGGTGAAGTCCGTATAGATAAATTTTCATAAAAGTAAAACAGCAATAAAAAAATGAAGGAACGTTGGAATTTAATAAATAAATAGCCATAAACCATCTAGGAAATTCGCATCGAATGGTGGTAGTTTCATGTCGATACGATCAGTGGTTTAGGCGTAAAGGAGCCTCAAACGAAGACCAATTTTTTTTATATATTATATATATAGATAGGTAACCTAACATTAGTTAGGGTCACTTAGTTTTTTTAATCTTTTTTTAGTACTTGAATGTTTTTATGACTAATATTCTAGTAAGTAGCTCAATAGCTTTTTGTATCCAGATTTGTTATAAAAAGTCTTAAACATAATCTCTACATTTGTACTCCAAAATTTGCTTTTCATACATTTTTATAGGAATATTAAACAGTTCAAAAGTTCAAAGGTCCCACTTATCTCGGCTAAACAAAACAACCTTGACCGTTCTATTTACAACAAAGCCTACGAAACCGCACAGTAATGCTAGGCACATAAATCAGTCAAATTACGTTGTTTAACTTTCTGGGCTTCTATAATCTGGATAAATGTACACAAGTACAACGTAGTCTATTACAAGATTGAAAAGTAGAGTTTTATTATACAACCTTTATGTGGAAACTACCGTCAGTTTCCTAAAATATTTAGAAACTACCCGCGCTTTACACAATTTCATAACAACAATAATATGTTCGTAGACGAATGTTACATCCGGAATATGTTATTTCGTAATAATACCACCGATATGTAGATCCGTACATATTGCTTTTGGTGAAGGCACTTGTAGGCGTAATTGTAGCTACTTGTAAACGAAAGTTTGTTATAAATTGTAATTGTAGAACACAAAGATGTTTTTTACTGAAGAACTGAAAATTCGTGTATAGGTTAATTAATAGGTTAAGTAGATACAGTATAGACAATTGTCTATATATTTTGTACCTACTGAATAATTTAGTCTTGACGTTCCTATAATTATATCGATCAGTATGTTAATTCAGTGAAGTGAATTAATCCTATTACAGAGGAACCAAACAAGGGTTTACGAAGGCTTCACTTAAGTCGTTTCAGGTCGTTAATTTCTTTTGTTTTTCGGGCAACAGAGCAAAGTTCAAGTGAATGTTAAATGCGCACATAGAAAGATATTCCACTGGCGCACATCCTACCTCAAGGATGCTGTCACAATCACGCTGATGCCATTAGGCTCTAATCTAAAATTGTTTCTTATTTGTACTTAAAAAATAATACCTACCTGCTACTGTTTTATGGAATCTGAAATACGACTTTGAATCTAAAATATTAGTGCCTAAGGTTTATTACACGGTGACACGGTATTGCCAGTGTTAAATATTTGATCTATTCGTACATGAAATGTTTAAACAAGAATTCTATAAATACTTCCTTCAAAGCTCCATTTAATTGCCGATCAAGTCGATAAGTAGAACTCACCTTGACGTGATGGACGGGCTAGTTAGGGCAATTTACTTGTATCTACTATAAGAAATATATTTTATGATGAATTGCTTGCTAAAATCCCTATCCACTAGGTTGACTAGAAATATCCCTTTTACACACGGTCTGTCTCACGTTTGTGCTCATCGTTTACTGGTGTTAACAGATTGTGTCGGTGGACATTTTCAGCAAATCCATAGGGACCTTTCGCCGAATCGTTTTAGAAACCTTGCTGTGTTAATTTTGCTATTATTCTTACATAATGATGTATTTACAGTGTATATTCGCGGATTCGTTTGGTGTAAATAAAAAACATGCGTTCAAATTTTTATGACCCATACTGACAGTAATAAGTATTGTTCACGACCGCAACATGTTCGGGAGATTAATATCTATAATTACATAATAATGAACTTTAAATAACATTATTACAAACGAAACATGACGTTGAAACGGAAGCTAAGCGAAGTTTTGCTATCGTATTATAATTTAATTTCACCTTAGAAAAATTACGCTTGCGGTGTCTACGTTACTCTATTCTAATTTGTTCTATTGGCTTAATCCTTAATTGATTTTGGAATGTCCGTCACTGTAAATTACGAAATTGTTTAGAAATAAATAAGTGATATTTATATGTGACATAGATGCTAGAGTATTGGGTTAGTATTGGAAAAACTATAGCCGTTCCGACGTTTTTATAATTTACTTGTTGAAAACGAACTAAGAAATGTGTCATTCCCAGACTATGATTATTGTAGTTATTCGTAGCAGGCCTAGGATGAAGAACTACCATTTTAGGCAACCCAAAACAAAATGCAATCATACTTAAATAAACATACATTTACTAGTTTATTTTCGTATCTGACGATACGATTTCTTACATTGTTTAAATTTAGTAACAGTGAGATTGGTTTTTATACTTCCCATTGCGTATGTAACTCGCGTCTTGCGTTGCCAGTATTCTAATGGAGTGTATTATTTTTCAGCACCAGTTTCCAGCGATGCACGATCTCAAACTCGGCGGTATGTTGTACCTAATAGGAGTGTTCTTCTTCAAATCAGACGGACGTATACCATTTGCCCATGCTATATGGCATTTGTTCGTCGCTTTAGCCGCCAGCGTACACTATCTGGCGATACTGCGACACCTCTTCCCCGAACTCAAAACCCAATAAAGACTGCCCTATTCAATCTCAATTTGAGCTCTCTATGCTATTTTTGTAACTATAACAGGATAATTCGTCTTGAACGCCAATTGGGTCTATTGAACAACGTTCATTGATCTAAGACTATTTATTCTGTGCAATGCATGTTATCGATATAAGATTAATATAGTTTTATGGATAGGTTTTGTTCTGAATTCTTTCTAGTCTAGTTTTGGTCCATGTTTATGTTTTAATCGCCATGTTACGTAAGTTATTCGAGCTTGAAGGTCTTAATATCGGTTTGCATATGGTTTCGCGGTTTCTGTGTGATGTAACGAGTCTACACGCAAAATGATGAATGACGCGTTTTACAAGGATAATATGAAACTTAATCTATTTATTCTGCGTTGTATTATAGTCTGTGCAAAACACTGGCGTAGCAGTTATGCAAACTAATATAACCTATATTGTCTATGCGTCATTTACTTATTTTTTTTAATTTAGTAGGCGATCTAATGAAGTTAGAATGTTGTTAACATAACGAAAAAGTATTTAGCTACCGCAAATCTTACGATGGTCCTCTATGGTTTAAAGTATGATATATTCAAACTTTTTGGCATTATACCAAAATTGCATACCACTCTTCTGCTCTCTCAACCACTGAATAGGCCCTTGAACATCGACAAAGCGTATCTACAAAGGTTTCGGTTTGAATGAACTATTGTTTTCATCGACGTGGGCTGAACTCGTCAAAAAAGTTTTTCGCAATCAGAAACAATATCACGATAGTATTTGTCGGGCTAGAGAAATATTTAATGAATTATTGAATCATTTGGCTTGATTATATAGAAACTACTAGCTGACTCGGCCAAGCGTTGCTGTGGCTAAGATTTTTGTTATATTACATAGTAGTAAACTATCAAAGGGAAACGGTAGGAGAACACCAGTCATGGGGACCACCATGCTTTTTTGGTGGCTATGCCATTATATTGTAGCTTATGTGAAACGTTGGTACTTTCAACACAGCGCCATCTGTTAGAATTGTGACTGTCAAATAATAATTAAATAATTTGCAATTAAATAAATTAAGCTATCCCGTCTTTTAAGTTAGATCAAACTGCACATGGTGTGCAAATTTGATTGAAATCGTTTAAGTAGTTTAGGAGTCCATAGCGGACAAACAACGTGACGCGTAATTTATATTTATTAAGATATGCCGTATATCTTTTAATGAACTTGTAATATTACCAATAATTTTCAATTTGAAGAAGATATACTCGGCTCGATTGTAACATACCTTTTGGAATATATGCTGAATTAATCTAAAACTTAAACATGGACCTAATCGCCAAATAGATGTCTAAAAGTGATTGTTCTTGTATATTTTGTAATATTTTGTTGAAGAAATCTTATTGTTGTAAAATCGTAGTTGTATTACAGAATCTTGAGACCAAACCCTTTTTAGAGAATTTAAATTAACATGTATTAGAATTTTTAGAGATGTTTATCTATACTTATACGAGTCCTAGTTTTTCTGTAAGTAATACTTTTATACAATTCGATATTTCCTTAGATTAGACTGTGTCTGTCTTAGGGTAGCTTGTGGTTTGATGTTAGTAGGGTAATGCAAAATGATTTGAATCCTCATTCACAAGGTAACTTGTACTATTCCCTAGATTTAACTAATTTAATAGCGATTGCTCAATCATTGTAGGTGTTTTAAGACTTCCATAGTGGGGGAATCCTAGAAGATGTATCTCCATATTTCCATGAATCTCATTAGTAACATTTATTTAGCTTTAATAAGAGAATTGCAATATATAAGAATCTTGTATGACAATTACGGACGTAGAAATGTATCTTTGACTTTTTAAATATTGTTTTAAGCTCTCTAATTTGCATACTTGTAGTAAGTGAATGTTGATTGTGGATGTTGAAGTATTGCGTTAACACAATTGTCTTTGTAATCTGGACCGACACTGGGGCGATGTATGTAGGTCGGATGAATATGTATGTGATTTCTTCACTGTCCCATATTTTGAAAAGAATACATTTCTAAACAATAGATGCTTGATCATGGAGACATACCGTGATTGTAATGTAAATGGAATCTATGAAATACGTTTCACCAATTACGATTTTTTTTAAACTTGATTATAATCTCCAGCTTAAAGAAATATTGCGCACTGCCAGTAGCAAGTGCATTATTGCAGATATGGATCGTATCCATTATTTCTAGTCAAATTTGCCGAATTTAAAGCAATTAGGTGTTAATTTTTACCCCATTCGATGTTTATTATACGTTAATTCATGAGTTTTTAATACGCTGTATAGGTGACAGGGTAATTTAAGTCATAGCAAAGCAAAAGCGATAAAAAATGGACCTGAGTTATTATTTATTCATTATATTATATTTCATAGAGTGAGAAATTTAACCTATTGAAATATATGGGTATTAATATTACCCCCATTGAATTTTTTATGCAGTTTTTAATACACAATATTCCTAATTTATACAGGAATTGATTACTGATAATTGCTAAATCAGACTTCCAGATAATAAAAATGTGAATTATTATTGTTTTAACATTCCTCATTTTAAATCATCAAAAAGGTATTTTTAATCCTAGTACAAAGTTGTCTCCCGTATGAAAATTTGTAGTACACCTTTCACCTTGTATAAAAAAATATTTTTGTGGTTTTAATATCCTTGCTGAACCAGTGTTATTTTAATATTTGTTATAGTAGTGATAATTCTGTATTTTTATAAAATAGTGTTACTTCATACAATCATGTTACCTTGATATGGACAGTGGTATAGTTTTTTAGAGGTTTTTGGGAACTCATTAAAACTTTTACACTTATTTGAAGTTATTTTATTCACACTTAATAAGTTAGCAGAAATATGTATTTGTATATGGAAAAAGATTTTACTACATTTTAGAAACAGTTTTAATTCCCAATATTTCAAAACATTTAGTCATGATACGGGCAGTTACTTCGCATAACATTAGCCTTTCATAGAAAATTTTGATAACATTGCCAGTTTTGTCCTTCTCAACACAGTAGCACTTATCATAAAATTCAGTAAATGTTGATGATATTTCATATAAATATTCACATAAGCTATGTAAATATAGATCATTTGTTACTTTCAAAATCACTTCTGGGAACCGCAAGAGGACTTTACCCAGCTTCCATTCAGCGTCATGAGTTAATTTTATCCCAGATTTTTCAAATTCCGTCATCAAAGTATCAAAAGAAACTTGAGCTGTTCTTGATATTGACTGAATCCTAGTCAATGCATACAATAAATAGACAGCAGTGTTTCCTTTGTCATCTAACATTTTATCAAAAGAAAAGATATAATCATTTATTCTGTTGTGTGAAAGATCTGCATATTTAATACAACCATATGCTACAGCTTCTTGTGCTTGCTTTAATTCTTCTGGAGTAAGCACCTTGTCACGGCCTTTTTCAACCAGTTTATCAAGAGCTCTCTTTAAACCTTCATCCATAAGGTCAATTAGTTTTATTGTATCACCAGATCTAGTTTTAAATTTCTTTTTGTCTTCACCCAAAACTACTCCAAATCCAACATGTTCAATCTTCTGCCCATCTTTTAGGATACCTGCCCGTCTAGCACAAGCTTCAATGGTGGCAAAATGAGTGTACTGACCCACATCAGTTACATAAATGAGCCGCTCACCATTTTCTTCTTCGACTCGTTGCTTTATTGTTGCCATATCAGAAGTATCATAAGTATATCCCCCATCAGACTTTACAATCGTTAATGGTATTCCAGTTTGTTCAGTGCTGCCCCACATAATTAACCTGCCTTCATCTTCCTCCAGCAAACCCTTCTCTTTCAATTCTTTTACTACGGTATCCATCCTGCTTTGATAAAATGACTCACCACGGTCTATAATTTTTATATCTAACCTGTCATAAACCTTTTGAAATTCTTGCCGAGATACTTCACATATAAGTTTCCATGCTGCAGTATAATCTGGGTGTCCCGATTGTAATTCAACTACACAAGCATAAGCCCTCTTTTTGAAATCTTCATCCTCATCAAACCTTTTCTTTGATTCTTTATAAAATGCTTGTAAATCAGATATAGGTGGTGAGTGAGTTTTATAATCAGGGAACTTGTCTTGTAAGTGCGCAATAAGCATACCAAACTGTGTGCCCCAGTCACCAAGATGATTTATACGAAGGACATCATGGTTTAGGAATTCTAAAACACGACATATACTGTCCCCAATAATAGTTGATCTTAAGTGACCAACATGCATTTCTTTAGCAATATTTGGTGAAGAGAAATCTACAACAATCCTGTTTCGCTTTACAGGAGGTGGTTTCACTCCAAATCTAAGAATGCTATTCAGAACATGTTCTACAAAAAGTTTATTTAAATATATATTTAAGAATCCTGCACCAGCTACTTCCAGTTTTTGAATAAGTGGTGATGAAGGTGTTCTTATCAATATATTATTTCCAACCTCTCTAGGATTAGTTTGGATATTTTTAGCTTTTAATAATTGTGAAATTGGCATAGCAGAATTACATTGGTAGTCTCCAAACTTAGGATTATTGCCAGAAAGAGTGATTACAACAGGCGGGTCTTCTAAATCGGGATAAGCTGACTCAATCGCAATGGTAAAAATTTTCTTCAATTCATCAACGACACATATGGTGCCTTCAATCGATTTAATATTAGTAATTAACGTTGGTCGATTTTTGGGAGCCTTCACGACTCCACTTACTGATTTAATTGCATTTTCGAGAATCGCCAAGCGATGTTTCAGTTTCTCGTTATCAGAAAGTAATTTAACAATTTGTGGGTGAGACGTATAGTTGAGATCCCCTCGTACAAGTTTATCGAGTTCTTCCTGTATAGCCTGAGCTTCCTTTTCAGCTACCAAAGTTCTTGCTTCAATTGACTTTAAATCGGTATCAGACATCGTATATGTAGTTCAACTATTCATATAAAATTAATAATTACTGAGGAACGTAATGTTGAGGTTATTTTACTTTACTATTTCTTATAGTTATTTGCCATTTGGTAGTCACTCGATCAGGTAACAGGTTGTTGTCAGTCGGCGGCCGGCGCACATGAGTCATGACATCTGTCAGCTGTTATCTTTTCTTTTTTGGAGTTGTCAGCTGTTATCACTCATCTAAAGCCACAGATAACACAGAAGAGGAGCACTGGAGGCTGATCACTAAAAATTTGTCTATTAAATTGACAAATGATCATGAAACAGATACAGAAATCCAGACCTAAAAAGGTTGTAGCATCGCTGGTTTATTCAATTTTTTTCAATCTATCTACTTTAAAGATATATATTAATTGTTATTTTCCATACTGCAGTGATTTCAAGTGTCAAAGGTATTTTTTAAAGATAAATTTTATATTAAGTTAATATATTAGATACAGGTTCAAATGCAACTTTAAAATATCACTTATATTAATAAAATAATATAATTGAATAAATAAATAAACTTAACATAAATAAAATATTATTAAAAGGAGTCCCTTTAGGCAAGGTTCCGAAGATACTGGCAGCGTTCCCCCTTTGAATTGCTAGACTAATTCTTTGTCCCAGGTAGCTGCCAGATCTTCGGTCTCCTGTGATGTCGACTAACCTTTTTGAAATTTCTTTAAAAAGCCTTAAAGCGCTAGGACCAAGGGTCTCGACACCGAATGGGACAAAATCATATTCTGAGCCTAGACCCCTGTACTTGCATGCTTTATTTTTTTCGGCCGCTTCACAAGCCGCACCAGCTTTGTAGTTGATTCCATGTAGATGGGAAGGGGCCAGCGTGTCTGTACAGGTTGCAACCCAAAAGTAAGATAATAAGTAAGATCATAGATAAATAGATACCAGCTGTTGAACAAATGTTTGTTAATGGTTTTGCCGAAATAGATTTAATATTATTAGGGCTTATAAGCTATATCTAAATATCAAAATTGAAAACCCTTTTAACGGTGCATAGCTTAAAGTTAAACGTTTTTTTAGTTATCTGGGAATAATGCTTGTTAGATATTCGACGACAACACATTGCTCTGTGATTATGTCGTTATAACAACGAAAGTCAAACAAACAGCGCCAAAATTATGTTTCAAACGTGGCTTGTGTTCTTGGTATAAGTTTAAATTAAACATAAAAATCGTATTTCTTTTTGTAAGGGCTATTTATATAAGCATTTTAATGAAATTTTACTTAAAAAAAGCAATTAATTTTTTTGTTTTTGTTTATGAAATTATGAAAAACTTCTGTATTTAAAAAATCTGGATACAAAAATGGCTCAAAAGTATGAATATTCCTACAAGGACACAGATTTACCATTTTGGCTTGATGAATTAACTAAGTAAGTTTTGAATATTAAGTATATGGTCAAGCTGTTTAATTATACTGTAATAACATTTTTAAATCGTCTTCAGAGATGTGAAAGAGACGCATATAAATGATTCATTAAATGAACCCATTTATGACCCATATAATCTCAAATATGATTACGGGACAGATAATCAAAGGTAATGTTAGTTAATTACATATAAATTTAAGATTAATTTTATCTACAAAAATAAATTGTATATTCTAAACATTCCTAATAAACATCACATTATGTATGAAAGGTTTCATACCTACATTAGATAGCTAGGTAGTTTACAATAATAATAAGCGAATCTTGGCAAACATTTCGCAAGTAAAGTTATATGTTCTACGCAGTAACTATTACTTTCACTCTGCTATTTTGAGATAATTGAATAAAAGTATGTATCATGCATTGCATTCCCACATTAAGTTTTGTTTAAATTTGTTAATGTGTGTATAGATAATTCCTTTACTTAATGTAGGACCCGAAGAACGTCATTAGATCTAGATTTGCTATTGAAGTCTGAATCGAAACCTATAGCACATTCGGCGGGAACGTTACGATACAATCAAAACAATGGTACGTTTAAATAAAGGTTTTTTGAAGTGAAACTTCTTTGTCGACGTATGGGTCTTTTTCGGTTACGCGCCATGTTGCTTTTTGAAGTCAAACTTCTTTAAATATTTATTATTCGACACTTAATATTTTAATGACAATTAAATTCATTAAATTCCTAACATATCTTCCTTTTTCCGTCCCTCTAAATATCGGAAATCTAAACTTTTAGATTTGTATAAATATGAACAACTCTTAAAGATTAGTTTGCCACAGAAGTTTCACTTCTGACATGTGTACTTTGTACACACACTTTTTTTTAATTTTTTTGGTTAATCATAAAGAATCTCCACGCTATCACAAACAAGGTGGCGCAAGTGCGTTAGACAAACCTTTACTTTAATTATTCCAGGAAATATTTTTTATCATAGTCATATAACAAGCTATATATCAAAGGATATCTTTTTCCAGTACATAAACAAAATGGAAGAAGAAAAAATTCCACAAGTAAAACGGAATGGGGAGACGCAAAAGATGAAATAAACACCGATTTCCTAACAGACCTTTTACCGCACTACGTTACACCACGCCACAAGAGAATGAGTTTGGACAACGACTTCAATGACGTCATTGTTGGACCGCGTAAGTGAAACTTCAGTAGTATTACCTATCTATTATATAACTGAAACATTAATTTAAATGTTTTAAAGTAACCCATAATTTTGTTGATTTTTTTTTATCAATAAGGTTTGTATTTTGCTATGATTTGAGTAAAAGTCTGGGTACGTAAGGTGCCATACACTCTTCACCTTTGCCTTCGTTGTTGTGTGAATATTCTAGTTTCAGATTTTTCTTAATTTCACAACCACTGCTACCATGAATCGAGTTACTACTGGAAAAAGCCTTTAACATTCTTTAGCATTGTTTTGACTTTTGTGTCACTATCTTTTAACACGAATTTATTACCACACTGTCTAGTAACTAGTTGGTTCTCGTAGACCGACAACTGTCAAGCACTGGAATCGTCATGTTACGTTATTGAAATTCGTATTTATGTTCATAAAATACTAATTAACCGTAGTATTTAACACAGTTATATTTTAAAGCACAGTTAAAACTTCTAGGACTTCAAAATGCATCAAAAAACCTTAATAAATTTGCGAAAGATACAAAGGTCACAAATACAAAATCTAATTATACGAAAGCTAGTTTAGAGGATGATAGGAAAAGTGAATTTGTGATACCGGAGACACCGGAGGGACGATTGTTGGAGATAAAAATATATTCCAATTGGGGTGACAAATATTTGGTTGGATTAAATGGTATTGAATTGTTCGATTGTAAAGGTGAACCGGTAATAATTGATAAGGTAAGTTGATTGGATTGATAAACCTAGTGACTTCAGAAAACATCCTAAAGAAACCATGCAATAGACCCAGAAAGTCGACGGCGTGTGAGACCGATAGACCAAAAGGCTGATCATCTGTTCATCATCAAACAGACACAATTATCTGAGGCCTAAAAAGTTGCCACAGTTTTTGAAGTGAAACTTCTTTATCGGGGTTGGAAAAAAATTTAGTTAAAAAATTAAAAAAAAAAAATTTAATAAAAAATTTTTGCGTTACGCGTCACAGTTTTCCGTTACGCGCCATGTTGCTTTTTGAAGTCAAACTTCTTTATCGGCGTTAAAATATGACATATAGTATGTTTTTGACTTTGAAGTTTGACAACGGATTACATTTTCGAAGTCAAACTTCTTTATCGGCGTTAAAATATGACATATAGTATGTTTTTGACTTTGAAGTTTGACAACGGATTACATTTTCGACTTGAAATTTGCTAATCGCAATTTGCAGCAATTAATTTGTAAATTGTATGCTAGGCAGTGTATCAAAATTTACTGTGTTTAAAGAAATAGTTTCTAATAAGGTCATAAAGAAGTTTCACTTCTTACGTGTGTACACCTAGTACACGCACACATTTTTTTTATAAGCATTTCTATTTCTTAACATAATTTGGTAACAGAACCAACAATAACAACAGAACAATATATATAATATTTGGGTCATTTAGCAAATCCCTGCTCTTGAGCTAGCAAGAAAATTAATTCACAAAACCAACAGTGTTATATACATAGTTGTTTTTTTTTAAAATAAATAACACACAGTTGACCAAAATACAATAAATTTTCTTATATAATATAAAAAGAGCCAAGGTAACTTTAATTTCGATTTTATAAATATTAAAAAACTTATCGCATTTGGACCCAAAATTTAATGAAAGAGGATGAATATCAAATAAGATAATGTCGGAGCAATGATGTTACTGTCACCAAGTTATCACACTAAGAAACTACTAGCATTACATTTTGAACTGATTTGATTTTGACGTTGTTACTGTGGCATTGGCAGCTGACAGTTACGTCATTGCTGACTAAGTATTCATCCTCTTTCTCAAATTTTGGTCCAAATGCGACAAGTTTTTTTAATTTTAATTTAACCTCCCCCTCTCTTTTTTTTATATAAATTACTTGGAGTACTTCCCCCTTCTAAGTAAAAGCCCCTTTACACATTTCTTTCGTTGAAAACCGTATGAAAATATAAATAATTTAGCTGTTCTTATTATTTAGATTTGGACTGATTCAGACACCGGTGACCACTCAAAGTTTGGTCACATAGATAATATAATAGATGGTGTTGTAAGAACTCGAGATGATAAACACGCGTGGAGTGCGCCTGCGCCTCAAGGATTGCCCATTGCGTTGACCGTTTTATTAGCCAGAACCACGAAATTGGCTTTACTTAGAATTTGGGTATGTAACATGATTAAGTATGTTTGTATGTGCATTGCGTAAAATAGCGGATATTGATGTGATTTTCTTTTGGCAATTTGATAATCCTAAACTAATTTGAGCAGCGCAGTTCTATTTGGATCTAAAAATAGATAAACATACATCGCTCAAATTTATTTAAAAATTAAAGTATGCAAATATAAATCTATGTTTGATCTGTGAGAAACTAACACTTTTGACAGCTCTATCAACTATTGAGAAGTTCATGCTAATGGGTAGAAAAGTTAAATTGAAAATTTTAATGTGCTTTTGTAGAATTACAATAAATCGCGAATATATTCAGCTCGCGGTGTTCGTTTGGTTCAAATAAAGTTGGACGATCAAGTTATATTCCAAGGAGAGATAGCAAGAGCAAGTGGTGAACTCAAAGGAAATCTACCCACACTAGGAGACGTAAATATACACTTATAAATGACCCTGCACTTTTAAATCTTGTTTACCTAAAATGATTTTTAATTAATAATTTAGGAAATATATTTATTTTTTACCTTTTTATCATAAATATTGTTAATACATAGACATTTCAATCTTTATAAGTTATTTTCAAAATTGGCGTTAAAAATGAGGGTAGAGGATAAAACTTGTAATTTTGTTTATCATTCCTGCCACTAGATGGTGTTTTCCTCATGTTCCTATTTAGGGATCTTTTAATTAAATTTGTAGACGATTCTTTTCACGAAAGACGTGGCGATATTGGAAGCGATTTTTGAAAATGATAAGAATTTTCAAGCATTACTAAAGGATAATGATCCGTTAGTTGAATTAAACACAGCTGATCGTCCAACTACAGCTAATGATAGTAAAAATAATTCACCAAAAGTTATAGAAGAACCAAAAGCTTCCGAAGAAAATGAATATTTGGCAAAGGAGATAAAGTTGACTTTAATGTCGAATTGGGGTCAAAAAAATTTGATCGGATTAACAGGTATACACTTTTTAAACGATATAATTATTTCAACTGAAATCGAATGTATACATGTATTTTTGATATTAGAAAACCTTATTCTATAATAAAATCTCCCTATATAAACTCGGATACATAAAAAATATGCTAGCCAAATTCTATAGAATCGAATATACTGTCACGAACACAAACATACGCACACATGCACACACACAGCCAAATTCTTAAATAAACACACTCACGCACCACATGCACACGGCAGTGATTTAAAACTTTTAGGAAATTGATTAAATAGTTTGATAGCCATGACGTAATTTTTTTTAAATACATCGTGGTGCACGTAGGCACCCACAGCCGTGTTGGATCCCTCGGTATAAAACTGGTATCAGACCAAAGCAATTTTTTTAAGGAATCGATATTCTTCATAATAATACACCAATTAACATAATTCGGAGTTATGCCTATACAACATATGCAGCGGACGATAAAAAGCTTGAATATGGAGTTATTGATTGTAAAAATCTATTTAATGGAAGAAATATAACAACAGAGTTTGAAGATATGTGGTGCACTAACTTTACGCCTGAGTCAAAATTTTGTCATATTGTCATGGAGTTGCCGGATCATACTAAGGTAACTGGTGAGTATTTTTGAATTTATTTCATGATTCATCAAACTATAATGTAATCAAAGAAATAAATATGATTTACTAAAGGAATATGTATGTCACAGCAAACGAACTTAATTAGCCGTTCAATTAATCGTCTGATCTCTTTACTAAACAGCGCCGTTCAACTAGCGGCATAAATTATATTCAGCTATTTGATCAAACACAGTGGCGTAACAATAGGGTGGCAGGGCTGGCAAAATGCCACGGGCCCCGGAGGGCCCCTGCCCAAGGGATATTATGTTCTATGGATGAATGTGAAGTCTCCAATACGCATTGGGCTAACGTGGGGACTACAGGCCATACTCTCTCGCGTAAGAGAGGAGGCCTATGGCCATTAGTGGGACATATACAATGTGTAATTGAGTACTTGAGTTTTTAAATACAGACTCTGAATAACACTTTATTTTTTATACTGTCAAATAGACTACAATATCTACTACTTACGTATCAAATTTGTTGTACTATAAAAAAGAGCAATGCGCCTTATAGAAATATAGACATAGACATAACATTTATAAAACAACAAACACAAACCTTATTAATTAAAAATTAAAATTAAGAAATTTTATTTTGCCATTCGGTTCGCTTCCCGGGTGGAATTTTTTTTTTTTTTGTTTTGGTGGGGCGGGGGCCGGCCCTTTTTGGGGGGGGGGGGGGGGCCGCGGGGGGGGGGGCGCCGGCCGGCGCCGCGGGGGGGGGGGGGCGCCCCCCAAAAAAAAAAAAAAAAAAAAAAAAAAAACAAAAAAAAAAAAAAAAAAAAAAAAAATTAGAGGGGGGGGGGGGGGGGGGGGGGGGGGGGGTTTTTTTTATATAAATTAAAATAAAAAAAAAAAAAAAAAAAAAAAAAAAAAAAAAAAATTTTTTTTTTTTTTTTTTTTTTTTTTTTTCCCCTTCCCCCCCCATTACGCCTTGTATTTTTGACTATATCCAAAACCAACAGGGCCCTAGAAGGAGCAACAATTTTTAAGTTTTTTACATTTTTAGGAATTCGTATATGGAACTACAACGCTAACATGGAATTATCGTATATCGGTGCGAAAGACTTGGGCGTATCACTAGATGGCGTTTTGCTAAATCAACGTCCGATTCTATTACGGCGTGCGCCTGGCGATACATTTTACGATTATTTGCAGCATATAGATCTCTCTGCAATGGATGACAGGTTACTACTTATTTTATTTAAATTGATTTTAGATTTTTGTATGGAAAACTTTAGCTTGATATTTAATACGAAAAGAAGATATATTCGAATAAAATTCCCGGTGATACAAATTGTATGGACAATTTTATTAGTTGTCTTTTTAATAAAGGATGATACCAGTGGCGCTACCTGATAGGTTTGAGCATTATCTATTTCGTAATCATTTATTTCTCTTAATAGGCAAATTGAAGGTAGACAAGTAACAAAAATAATCATGTGGCGCAAAAATCTATATGGATCTTGTCTGTAGAATGCATCGTGCATCCGTTAGATGGCTGACTTGTCTATACAAAATAGATTATCAAAAAAAACGCAAAATGCAACATAATGTTTAAAGAACTTTATTTCTCATTACAAAAAAACGTAATTTATTTACATGAGAAACTTAATATACATATGAACGAGATACAGATCGCCATCAGCCGTCCCAATTCTAGCCTAGGCTCATTCTGATATGTATCTTTATAGTCCGGTCAATCAAGACATTTGAAATAACAAAAATTCCCGGAGATCCGGTGTGCATAATATCATGTGTAATTTTAATTGAAATAATTTTGATAAAATTACAATTTTTTTTGAGAAAATTTAAAAAAACTACAGATTTTGACCTTTGTCCTCGAATAAATTTTGTAGCACTTTCGATGGGGATTTATAAAACTATTTGTAATGGTAAACCCCAGCTCTTCATCCATTTTTGGCTCTCCGGGATTTTTTGTTATTTGACCACTATTTTTATGTCTAATTTGACCGGACTATTAATGCCCTTTTGAATTTGCTAAAATCTTACGATTTTTTGACGATAATTGATTAAATAATTGCACACCCTCATAGTCTTAATAGACTTCTTCAAATAATTTGTACGTGGCTTCGGCAAGATAAGCAAACTCGCTTGACGAGTATTGCGTTTAGTGGTGTGTTTGATATTTTTTAATGATAAGCTACTATGGAGAGAGTTATTTAAAAATGTTTTAATACACAGGAGCTATAAACATATAGCTGTTTAAACGTCATAATTTTGGTTTCTTGGTAGATTTTATTATATGCAGACAAGACCCATATAGAATTTTTGTGGTACAAGGGTTAGTTGCCTACCCTCAATTTGGTAATATTAACTTTTCGATATATTTTAAGGACAAATTACGCTGACAACTTGGACCATGCGTTTGAAAGTAATTTGAACTCGGGAGCTCCGACAGGTTTTGTTTTGCAATTGAATATATTTTCAACTTGGGGTGACCCGTACTATGTTGGCCTAACTGGGGTAGAACTTTATGATCCGCAAGGAAATTTAATTGAAGTTACTGAAAGTAGTGAGTATTTTAAATTATTTATGTAGAATATAATAGATATATACTGTCGCTGACTTTTTTGTAGGCATTATCAAGCTCTACAGCTTGTCTTTAAAACTCAAACATTCTATTTTTTTCTACCACATTTCAAATCTTATGACCAATATATGCCACTTACAAATGGCTTTTTATTGGTGAAAGAATTTTCAAAGTTGGCTCAGTAAATCCAGTGATTACCCCCTACAACCTAAAACTTTATAAGTTAATAAAAGTAATCTAAAAAAATTACAACTGACAACTTAAAAAATAAATATTTACGTAGGTATCCCTTCTAGTAATGTCTACTTATCTATATATCAAAAACTACTAAACTGATATTGATGAAATTTTACCTATCATTTAGTCAAGTCAAGTCATATCAGTTAATTGTCTAACTGAAGGTACAACAAACACTTACCACATTGAGCCACGTCCTTGGAAGCCTAAACAGATCATCATACTCCAACGTTGCTACATACATACGGGTTAAACTGATCGCCTCCTTTTTCGAAGTCGGTTAAAAACACGTAATACTTAATAAATACAATTTAACTTTTAAATAGCTTCAAATACTTCCGAAAGAATAACATCTAATATTATTTTTAGATGTTTGCGCTCAGCCGGCAAGTGTAAATGTTCTCGACAGTGTCGCTAGGGATGTGCGCACGCCGAGTAAACTTATCGATGGTCACAACACTAATGCAGCCGATGGACAGCACTCTTGGCTTGCTCCTATTCTTCCAGAAACTCTTAACAGGTAATTTGTGTATAGTTTATTGAAAATATTCATAAAGAAAATTATAGGAGCTATACGCAAGGGAACTTAAATAATAACTGATTTGGATCTCAATCAGTATATTTGCACTCTTCTCTTTCGTCTCTTACTGTTAAATTGTGTTTACGCTGTCATAAAAAGAGATACTCTAACGATAAATCGGTAGAACAGAGCTGGTAAAGTGCTAAGACACATCCAACAACATTTATATATAATTTCGAAATTATATCAATTTATTGAAAAATTTAATAATAAATATTATATTAAAGTGCGCAGTGTTAATTTGGCTTCACTCGCTGCACTGATTTTCGTACAAACAACAGATACAATAGATGATATGTTAGTGAATTAAATAAAAAAATATCAAATATGAAGGAAGTTTGATAACGTGAAACTACTAGGTACTTGGTCTTTGCGTGTACAAAACTTTTCTAATGAACTTTTTTTTTACGCCCATGGCGCAGGCTATAGTCTTTCGACCGTATGGTTCCTAGTCTTTCGTAGAATTTTTCCTTTAATTCTATATTAGGTTCATAATGAACATTGTAATTTCGCCCAAAGGGCCGGCTGGAGTCTTTCGCCCATACCGCCTTGTCGTATTTCGAATTATTAACGAAATTATTACATTATTAACAGACTATATTCGATAATGAAGTTTATACACAAAAGTTTCATTGTATTTCCAGAGTTTTCTTTGTTTTCGATGCTCCTGTATCTGTTTACGGTATGAAGATTTGGAATTATGGTAAAACGCCAACTCGAGGTGTTAAGGAATTTGGGGTAAGAATTAGTTATTAATATTAACAAAAACATTTTATCAAATTTAGGCCATGTAATACATAATTCAGAAATTTACAATATTACTTCGGATTCAACATGCATTTTCATTAAATTAAAAAAATTACTTTATCTCCAATGTGACAAAATAAAATTTAATACTATTTCCACGGACATAAACGTGTTAATTTAGAATATTTTACAATTAAATTAAATTTTTAATTGGTATATAAAATCTAATTAAATCACTGAAATGTGATTAAAATTTAAAGATAAAACGATACCTTCATATAATTTGAACTATGTATTTTGAATAAAAAAAAAGTCGGACCAATCATCCTGGAGGCGATGGCTGTGTTCAATTTTTCCCATGTCAGGAAGTGACAATTGCGAAAAACTTGTAATCTATTGGAGAAAAAAGAAGAAAATTTGAAATGAATGACGGTTATTGCAAATACATGGTAAAATAAAGAATTTGAAGATTTGAGATTTCAATCTTTTACCAAATAGAGCTTCGATGCCAAGAAAGGCTGTACGATTATAGTTTGCCCACCACCTTTTAAACTTTATAAGTAAAAGGCGAATTCCGAATGTCGAAGTTATGTCCAGATAAAAAAATAACTCTCTGGCGTTATCAAAATTGGTATAAGAACGAATTTTGCAAATATAAAGGGCATTATATGAATATAGGAATCTTTTAAAAAAAGTGTTATAGGCATCGTAGGTCCAAAAGCATATTTTCCTCAGGATTTATAATCTTATAAATATGTAGTAATATATAAGGTATATATAAATATACTAAGGACTTATTGAAATAATAGCTTTTAGTACATAAATAAGGCATAATTGCTATGCTGCCCCGGGGACGGTTGGGTTTTTGGGGGGGAAAAAAAGTTCTCAGTGCGATGTCTTTTGTAGGTACTGATAGATGATTTGTTAGTTTTTAACGGAAGTCTAGACATGGTCAAGGGTGATAAATAGCTCCGCAGTGGATTTGTTTCCAAGATGTCGATATAGACAATTTGACACCGAGGTGGGTAAGACATTATGCCGAATATTTCTCAAACGCGTACTTTTAGATATGGCGTTCATTATAACTTGGAGTTCCTGAGTTCGATTCATGGCGAAATAATATTCGAGAATGTTATTAATAAATATAGTCTTACATGAAATTAATTAAACCGAAGTGTTAAATATGTTAACTAAATTTTATCAAGTTCACAGTGCCTTTTGGTAAGCACCAATGATTTGATACTTTAAAATATATGGTAAAAAAGGTGATACGATAGTACCCATGGACTTATGTCCAAGACGTCGATATAAGAATTTGAAATTCTAATTGGCATTATTTCTCAAAAATAGTTTTTGATATGCATGCAAATAATTAATTACAATTAAATAATCAAAGATTCTGAAGAAAAGCGAAGTCATTTATAGTGCAATTAAAGTTAATTTTACAATTTGAAAGCTAATTTTATCAAATAAATAAATATTTGTTAATTATTCTCTTACGCAATTTTTGGAGATTATCCTGTAACATAAATTTTTTTATCTATTCGAATGTTGTTTTTAAACTTTCATGTCCACCTATGTGAACCCTTAGTTACATCTTCATGTGGTGCAATTTCAAAATTCTGTTAATATTGTGTCACGGTGCGCCCGCATCGTAACGATTTTCAAAAGGAACCCCTCCCAAAATCTTTTTCATGAACGCTCCCACCTAACACCAAAATACTAAAAATCTTCAAAAATATTTCTCGTAACTTGACTGTTCTGGATTCGATTTCTAGTGAATAAATTTTGCATCTGTACGCAGAAGGCTGATCTATGCCTACATTTTGTAAAATTAGTATATCATATTTATATATTTGTATTATTTTAGTCCATCCGATTCAAGTCAACTAACAACGACAAGTGGTTCATCACAATCTGTGGATCAAAACGACAGACCGTACACGAGCGTATACGCTGTGCGAGCGAGAAAATATATTTAATTTTAGGTGAATTGTGTGTTTCGTATGTGTGTTTTGTAATATTCAAACTAATAATGGAGTCTAGCGTCTGTCAGATACATTCAGTTGTATGAATTTTTGTTAACCGTAAAATTATTTTTCTACCATTAATATTTTTAAATTACCAAAAGAAGTGACCTGGTAAAAGTGTATTGTCCTAAAATTTGGGCCTCTTTCATAAATTAATCTAATTACACAGTTTTAACTAAACCACACGCCTCCTGCTGTCAATTAAAAATATTGCGCGCGTTAAACAACATTTGTCATCTGTCATAACTTACGTGATTTTCGTGACGTTTAAATATTTCAAAGTCATGATAGAGAGCTAAAATAGGGGCTTGAGACAAAATCACTTTTCGACAGACGTGTCCCACATAAACGAATTTGTATGAAACTGGTCACGTGATAAAACGTGAGCTAATGTCATTCCCATAACGTGAGCTAAAGTCATTGACCTTAGCGCAAACTCTCTAATAGTTTCGTAAAGTATAATACGTAAATACAATAAATATAGTTCGAAAGTATCGACTTGTCATCGAGTATTCGAACGATGCGTGAATGCTTTAGTTCCGGTTACCCCAGGGCCTTGAGTCACAATCATGTTACGAAAATAATGACCCACTCACGCCAAACGAATGTTTATGGGAATGACATTAGCTCTCGTTTTGGTCACGTGACAAAGCGTGAGCTATTCCCATACAAATTCTCGTGGCGTTAGTGGGTCATGATTGTCTAAAAGTTATTCTGTCTTTAGCCCCTCAAGCGCTCCTTGACGTTTTCATATAAAAAATGTTTAGTGCGATTTCTTTTTCGTTCATTTCAATCTACATATTGTTCGTGCTTCTGTTATTAGTAAAAATAACTAGACTGAATTTGTTTTTTTTTTCATGTCATATGGTGAAAATTATGAATCTTAGTAGACTGCACTCACGCCAAATATTTAGAATAATTTATTTCCAATGTTATCACTTGTTGACTTTAGAGCGCTTGTAAACATCATAAGAATTGATTTCGTGGTTCGTGTAAATTTTATACAGAAATAAAGGTATTTTGTATGTATGTTTGTTTAATTTTCTTGATCTTAAGGTAGGATGTCAATTTGAAATAAACATTTCTTGCTTCAAAATACCCGATAGTATATATAATAATAAAATAATGCCTAGTACATTTAATGATATTACTCATTGTCTTCATTCTCGATATCCACGACTGTAAGCACTCGAAACACGTAAGCAATTCGTGTATGTATTTGTTTCTTTTTTTAAATAATAAGTTAATATTATAAACAGGAAAGATTTTGTTATTTATATTATAGTAACAAATAACAACTACTGGGCCGATTAGAATGCTTCATTATCATGGAGTTACTAAAACAAGCCGCGACTCTTAAGTTATAGAAAAGATCGAAATTACGTTTAAGTTAATAATACGACCTCGCCAATTTACGGAAATAATATTACTTATATATTTAACTTCCTCTAAGGTCGGCAACACATTTTTATTTTTTTCATATTTATTTATTTCCACATCATTTTTCTATCTTAACACCTACTACTAATGTGATAGAAAGTACCCACACCGATTATCCTACATAAAAAACATTGAAATATCTAACCTAAATCTTATAACTAACGAACTAGTAAGCAACTCTTGTGATAGAAATTCTGTGATTGTAAAATTTTGTTTATTAAAAAAGTTTAGACTTCCGTCTCAGGTTTGAGGCCAGTCCGTAGAATCTGGTTTAGGAATTTTAATGGGATAAAATGAAACGAGAGTTAGAATCAACTTATTATATTGTTAGACAATCACAGTTTGTATCTTTGCACTACAATAATACTACAGCATTCGACAAACTACATCAACTTCGCTTGTTTTTAAGTATAAGCATAAATCATATTTTTTCGGATTTAACGAGTTATTTTGCGTAAAATGGTACACTAGTTTTAATCCGATTACATATTTATTTTAGAAGCTAATTAGAAAATTACAAGTGTAATGTTATTTAATTCGTACTACCTACATCAGTCTATAATTCCTTGTCATACCCTCATTTGCTTTACCGTCACAGTCTACTATTATCCTTCATCATTAACAATTGGAGTAGTTCTTTTTTCGTTCATGTACGTACGTAACGTATTTCGACTGATCATAAGCAAAATTTCAAGGCTTAAAACTTAATAAATATATCCAAAATACGAGACGTAATTGCTATGAGGCGTCGATTTTCTATAGAAACTACAGTTGACAGCCTCCAGGCTGAATTCTTTAAATAAAACTTGTATAACGTTTCCAATACAGTAGTCAGCAAGTTCCATAGAAAAATCTCATACTTTGTATAATTCAGAGACAATGTTGTATATTTGTGGTGCCAAATAACCAAACAACACAAGATTTAATTCATATAAACACAAGGGTATTTCAGTTTTATGCGTTCGTATATTTTCTAGATCATTTAACGTATACGTGCACGTACAATAAACCACAAAAAGCTAACTTTTTGTCTTTATCACTTCTATATATTGTTTTGCGTAGAACAATGAAGGTGTATATGACAATTTAAGATTATCTTATAAGAGGGCGGGTAATCATCATTAATACAATTATTAATCTTCGCCTGCGCAGAGCTAGAAGGTATCAACCCATAGAACTAAAAATTATTTATAGGAACTTAACTGAAAAAGTACACAGATCTTAAAACACTATTAATGTCAAAATCTCCTTTTTCTGGCACTTTTTGTAGTAAAGCATTTACGCGTTTCTTGTTTGAGATACCGACAGCGCCATTTTGTATTTCACTGAAAAAAATTGTTAAGATTCAGAAAATCGTTATGTTTTTAAATTGCAATTTTTAATTACATATACAGTTCAAGGGACCGAGCATTTTTATTCGTTATAGAGAGGTTCCGTTATAGGGAATGAAGAATTAATGTATGGGTATTGGATTAAACCAAATAAATTTAACTCATTTTTACGTTGTAAAGTGTTGTTCGTTATAACAAAGAACGTTATAAAGAGTTTACACTGTATGTATTTTACATAATTTTGACTAATACAAGATCAAATGCAGCCATATTGAGTTCGATTAGTAGTGAAATTACTATTGTTTGAGATACACAGAAGGATAATTTGGTTTAAACAACAATATGCAGAAATATACATTATAAAACTTTAAATAATGAATCATTAAATAACTTACTTTTCTGAGTAGCTGTATCGTTTGACCATGAATTCCGACAAATCATTGAGTATGGGCTGTGAGTGAAGTGCAACAAATTGTTCACGGCATATCTGAAATAAAATTAAAACGTTTAATTTAATCTTTATAGTCTGTGATAATACTACAGATTTTTATGTTTTATTACTTACTTATTAATACATAACACAACAAAATAAGTTACAAGTATAAAGCGTCCATTGTTTTATAATCTGATTTATAGCAGAACGATTATTATTCGTAAAATATATATTCACGTTTTTTTTATTGGAGAGTATGGTGTATGTAGTACATTATTTATTTTATTGTGTTTGTGCATGATAAAAAATAATAATATTAGAAAATACAGACAATAGGCAAAACTATATACATACAATAAAATAAGGATTCAAGAAAATTACACGGAAATATAACAGGAAACTCTTTCAGTGTATATATTTTTCATGCTAAGAGTTTCTGGAACTGTCATTAGAGAGAGATTCGATCTAAAAACTCCGTAGCTTTGACAGCTACGTTTTTTACTTGTAAAATGTCAAATTACCAAATGTCACTGTCACTGTCAAAGCATTGCAAATATGCTTTTTAATCATGAACATATGGTTTAGAACTGCACTCTCATGTCCATTATCATACCTGGTTCATTTGGTCGACGGTATCAGGGTGCGTCCAAAAGCAGTCATGCACCGAGACGAAGGTCACCCCCGCAGCCTCACAATGGAGTCCCGTCAGCATCATGTGGGACGAGTCCAGGGAATGGATGAAATTTGGCGGAAACGCGTTCCGTTGCTTCATTGTGCATGGACGTCTGAAGACAAACGTATAATCAGAACTTTGCTTTAGTCAAAGGAGTGCAATTAGACTAAGGCGGCCCATACATCTACAATACGCGATATAGAACTAATTTGAGTGTACGACCAACCAGGCTCCAAAAGATAAACCACTCCTTATTTGAAAATTGTATTAGTTTTTACAACAAACTCCCAAGCGAAATTAGAGTATTATCACTAAATAAATTCAAAGCCCTCGTTAAACGAAAATTAATCAATAAAGCTTTTTATAAATTTGAGGAATTCCTAAATGATCCTTGGGATTGATTTGCTCCAGTTCAAACAATTTGTATGACAATCAAAACAAAAATAGAATATGAGTATATAATAATGGGATAAAAGGTCCTTTTAAGCCAAAATCAATCAATCAAAATCATTTATTCATAGGTAACACAGTGTTCACTTATGAACGTCGACAAAGAGATATACATTAAATGCTTATAATTTTACATTTACTGCCAGTTCTAAAATCAAGGGCGTAGAAGTAGAAGAGAAGAACTGGCAATAAACTCTCCGCCATCATTTTTTAATTGCCAAGTTTTTGTTTTACAAAATGTTTGTAAGGAGCTCCAATTATTACACCATGTTCCACATGACATCTTAAGTAATTAATAGTTAATAAATCAAAAACAAAGATTTGTCCTCTATCAGGAGTAAGCATGGTGATATAGGAGCACGCACCTACATTCTCGTGGGAACAACACGCAAACACATAGTCGAAACAACTAACATCACCGCATACACGAATTCAAGTACGACCAGTCACCACAAGTAGCACCCGTTCACGAGTATGACGCATGGCCAGCCATCGGCCCCCCGTATGTAGTATTTTGGCAAATAAATAAGGAATAGAGAGTTAAAAATACATACTGGTGCAAGTCGACAGGCGGCGCGCAAGGGGAGGTGCTAGAGTTAGCACGACGGTAGTAGGGCTGCAGCACGGGAAGGCCTAAAGGTGTTCGCCATTCGACACTTTCCCCGCACACGCCCGATATTAACCTGAAAAATATCGCCTTTTATATTTTGTTTTTATATTTATTAAAAAAAATATACAATATTAACTTAATAAATTTATTGCAATTTTTGTGACTTAATATTATACTAGAAACAAAAAGTATTCTGCAAAAATTAAAAAAAAATTTTGGATTTATGGGTAGACATGTTTCACAGATGAATTAAAGACATATTCCGTTGTCTTAAAGAGCGTGTACGATTTGCCATATACATAGTTATAATGTAAAAAAAAATCGATCTTAAAATATAGATTGTAATTTAATATTTCCAGCTGAAAATATTGTATAGTATACAACTTATCTCATCAACATGATCTATTTAAAATGAGTATAACTATTTTTTTTTGTGTTGTGTGTTGGCTTAGTGGCTTCAGCGTGCGACTCTCATCCCTGAGGTTGTAGGATTGATCCCCGGCTGTGCTTAAGATGCCAATATACTTTCGGTCTATGTGCGCATTTAACATTCGCTCGAACGGTGAAGCAAAACATCGTGACACAAGAATCCAACGGCATGTGTCAAGCACTGGAAGCTGATCACCTACTTGCCTATTAGATGACCATGAAACAGATACAGAAATCTGAGGCCCAAACCTAAAAAAGTTGTAGCACCATTGATTTATTTTATTTTTTTATAACTATTTATTCGTCCAATATTTAAAAAAAAATTTGGCTTTACTTGGCACAATCGGTGAACCAGTCCTGTATAAGTTTAGTTGAAGTGAACATCTCCCGAAGACTGTCGAAGGTCTTCGTCGTGAGATATTGGGAACAGGACCAAACGTGCTCCTTGGGGAAATCGTCTATATCTGTAAATGAAACGATTAAAAATAAATATTTTGACGATTAAAGAGTTGTATGGTGGAAAAGATCTTAATTAAAAAGAAAGAAGTTTTAAAATTAAATAAACAATCAGAGTGAACATACTGTACTGTAGTCTGTGTAATTTTACAATGCAGTAAATCTTATGCTTGCGTAATACTTGAACGGCCCCATAAGTATGAACTAAGTCAGCGTGTACAATTAATTTAATTATTAATAACGTACACATTGGTGTTCATAGGTTAAGATTTTTTTAACGTCTTAGGGAACAAAAAGTCATGTCTAGTTTATATCTCCACCGATTTATAAACTTTGTTAAAATAGCTTATACACAAAGGAATGAACATAGTATGAAGCAAACTTTTGTATGTTTGCCTTCAGAATATAATAATATGACGATTAAAAGTTATATTATTTGTTCGGCGCTTGAAATCACCTGCAAAAATTGCTAAGAAAAAAATACTCATTAACATATTGTTATAACTCTTGTTTTCCTACCTTTAAGCTGCTTAGCGATCTGCAGCCGGGCCCCGAACCTGGTAACTCCATAGACAGTGGTCATAACCGTCTGTTTGATCACCTTTCTTCTGACAAACCCGTCCAAGATGATCGCTGGCTGGACACCAGCTTCAGCATCACGGATTCGCATTGTTTCAATCTGCAAATAAATAATAGGTAGTCTAGTTTTCTCGCGCTCGCGGACAGAGTCTATCAAATATGTATAGTCTTTATATATATATATATATATATATAAGAAAAATGGTCTTCGTTTGAGGCTCCTTCACGCCTAAACCACTGATCGTATCGACATGAAACTACTGCCATTCGATGCGAAATTTGCATGCCTAGATGGTTTATGGCTATTTATTTTTTTAAATTCCAACGTTCCTTAATTTTTTTATTGCTGTTTTACTTTTATGAAAATTTTTACATACGGACTTCACCGCGGAAACATTCGGGGAGGCTTCCTAGAACCTCAAAACGTCAACATCTGTTAAAAACTCGATTTTCGAAAATTTTCAATTTTCTTAGCGGGAAGTTAAAAAGAAGAATAATAAAAATATGAAAAATTAATAATAATGAAACATAAAATTTTATTTATTTCCTATTTTAATTCGCCCAGCAAAGCGGGCGGGAAACGGCTAGTAATAATATAAAGTAAATCTTTAAGAATTCTTTTTATGTGACAACGTGTAATAAATAGGCTGCACGCACGAAAAAGCATGACTCATTGTCCCGTTACGCTTTTTGTACGCTTGCGCATCTATCTCTCTTCCACTCGATTGGCCTATGCGTCCGAGGATTCACTACTTTGATTGCAAACAACATAGTGGTAATTCAATAAAAATTATTCAATTTCATAAATAGTATGCAGTCATTTCATCATACAATGTCTTGTTATGACGTTGCCACGTTAAACTATTTTCCGTAAACCGACTTTACAGACCATTTTTTTTAATCTCATAGAACATAGAAAAATGTGATTGGTGGTGTAAGTGGGTTCTGGATCTGAGGGTCACACTTGTCAGAAGTAACACATCAGAATTTTATTAAAAAAGAAAAAAAGAAAACTGGAACCACAATTTTAGAAATTCCAGATTATTCATTTATTCACTTTCAATTGATTACGATCAATTTTAACTAATTCGATGATGGTTTAAAAAATCACTTATCTCGTAATACTTACCAATGCAGCGACTTCGCTATAAACATCTTGCGGTCGATCCAAAGGCGCAAGATTAACAGCCGAGGCCCCGGAAGAGTCTCCGCCCAAAGCTGCGTAATGTTGCAGGCCATTGCAGGATCCGTCTTGGTGTACGGGGAATCCACACATGTACTCTGCGAATATCATTCAAATAGTAAATAAAATTATCCCAAACCCAATAGACCCTATGAGAAGTGAAACTTCTTTATCGGCGGTAGAAATGTTTCTTTCCTTCGTCACATTTTTCCGTTACGCGCCATCTTTTTCTTGTCCTGCGATTTCGGATCCAGTTTATTGATTAGTTGCAAGATTTGTTGTTTGTGATGTTTGCCTACCTCTGAAAACTAACTTCAGGCTTACCGCAACATACTGTTATTTATATTGGATTAATTTTTCACGGTATATAATATTGCAGTATTATGTTTAGTTATAAATAGAAATTATGCTTTTAAATCATTATTAGTTACGTCAAAAACCGTGTAGTTCGTTCATAAAATGTATAAAATTTATATTAAGAAAAAATATATAATAACGATAACAACGATAGTAATAATTATATTATTAATGAAATTCTGTAATAATCTTAGTAGTAATAAGGTACAATGAAATAATTGTATTATTTGTATTCTATTTATTTATTCTATTCTATCTTTGTCTATGATAGTAAAAGCCTTTTTTAAAACTTTATCTAATTTAACTTTATTTAACCAATTTCTGTAAAGTTGCATATAGTAGATCATTTTTCGTAAAATAAGATCATAAAGAAGTTTCACTTCTTACGTGTGTACGCTAGTACACGCATACATTTTTTTAAATAATAATAACTAAATCGACTGTGTCATGGGCAGACTGCGGCTGGTGCCAAATGTTAGTTTCTTGGGACCTACCCAAACGCACGTTTGAATTTTCTTTTAATAAATAGGCAAAATGTAGCGAATGGTGAAAGCATTTTTGAAAAAGGATGAGTAGTTTTTGAGTATATTCATTACATACATACATCTTTTAACTCCAACTTAAATATAAATTATAATACCTTCGGGGTTGGGTGACCGTACGGCTTTGGCTATCTCCATACAACAGGCCAAGGTTTGCCAGGGCTCCTCAGAATTCTTCCACCAACCAGCGCCATCTAACGGATTGTCTGCCGAGTCTAGGATCTGGTCAATTATGCTGTCTGCGTATTCTATCCTAGAATAACAAAAAGTCTACGTAGAATTCAACGTACACAATCTTATTAAATAACTATTAGTTTAACAAAAAAATACTATTTAGTTTCTAAAATAAGCTAGCAGACCCATGTCTTAGATACAAACATTTCAAAGTTATTTGAATAAGATGTAGCAGGTCCAGCCTTTTTGATGAAAATTTGAATTAACTTATTACAATAATCGACCAATGTGTGAGTATGTGTTTACTATAAGTTAATTTATTATAAAATCAATGATAAAAATCTCTAATAATAAATAAAATGATATATAAATGAACAAAACAAAAAACTCAATCAAAATATGTATAATTACAAAAACTCGCATACATTTATATTAGTCTGGTCAAATTAGGTCAAGCTACCAGAATTACGATCAAGCTGAAACTGAGTAAACTTGTTTACAACACAATAAAAAACAACTTTTCAAAATTCCCAATCGTTATGACCGATGGAAAAAAATAGACTCGAGGCCAAAGGTAAAAAAAATGGGTTTTTCGCAATTTTCTTCAAAACCGCAAGTTTTATCGTAAAATTAACTCAGACAAAAGTTTGTTGATCATAAAATTATCTATAAAAAAAGGTATCAATAATTATTTTCCAAAAAGCTACAAGCTACTAGCTAAAAGCTAGTTAGTTTACTCAGTTTCAGCTTGATGGTAATTCTGGTAGCTTGCAATGTATAGATTGACCGGACTATATATAAAATTAGGATTATTTTTTTGTTAATTGGGTGTCGCATCCCCTTTATCCTTAATTTCTTAGTTTTTAACAAAGTTCTATCATTTTACTTGAACTCATAATTGCCGACAAATTTAATCATAATTTTTGTAAACAAGTAAAAAACATTCTTCTATTTATATTTATATGGACCTCCCACGGGTTAAAGCTTCCCCAAGGAATTCCAGATGTTTTTTTATTACAACAAAATAATCAAAATATATTTAATATCATACCTCTCTTGTACCGTACTCCTTTTTTTAGTCCCAGTTAGGTTGATAGCGTGTAGTTTAAGCCAATAGAGGCCACGTTTGCCCAGCGGCCTTTCGCGGGCGAGCATGAGAAGCGCACGTGCCGCGTCCGCACCTAGAGCGGACACGTGCGGGCCGACTGCGTATACGCGACCGCGGAAGTCCATGTTGTGTGGTAGCCAGAACATTCGTTCCCTATAACATAAGATTTAATTATCACGATGATTAATAATATTATTGTTTTTTTTACAAATTTCTTGGAAGCTAAAGTCCCGACAAGTCAGATTTCATGAAAATCTATTTTTTTTTGAGATATGGGTATCTACGCATTTTTGATAGGAATACGAATACGTATATTGTAGATAATATATAGTATAATATTAAATTTAAAAAAAAACATGGTATAGGTCCCGCCTATTATTATATTTGGTATTAATTTGTACACTTACAATACTGTTTAATAATTTATTATTTTTGTCTGCAATTATAAAGATTTACTTTTTGTTTATAGAACACGGGACAAACGGGCAGGAAGCTTAACTGATGCGTTGCCGGCCTTTTAAGAATTGGTACGCTCTTTTCTTAAACACAAAGTCTAATTAGTTCGGAAGTACTTAGTCTAATGTTTTTTGAAGAAATAATGATTACTACTTATACGGAATTAGAAGTCTATCTAGAAGAAATACAGAAAATGGTTCTGAAGAAAACTAAAACAGCGAAATGAATATAAAAATCACCTGTAATGATTGGCCAAAGACAGCTTGTACAGCGAATCGCACCACAGCGAATGCATATCTGCGCGTGCGCGGTTCAAGGCAATTCGTCGTTTGTATGAAGCGCTGGCCTCCGAACCGTTTGATGGCGCTTCTATTTCTGATAACTGTAGAGAGGAAGCGGGAGGTGGAATGTCTAGCTTTTTATCACCGCCCGATCTAGAAAAATATTTTTTTATTTATCATTAATGCAGGGTTGACACGAAAGTTGATAAGTCGTTGGATCCTTTGCTTGGAAAACATTAGGTTTTCCATTAAACGTTAGGGTAGAGAACGTCTGCATCAAATTTTTGTCCAAAAATGTTACACCACCTGTGGTAGTTACGGATAAAACTAATTTATTTTTATTTATTTATTTAACTGAGAAATATAAAATATATATGTATTTCTCATCCAAATATTTGTCGAACCATATAGCAACTTTCATCCCTGAAGTCAAAAGTTCAAACCCCGGCTGCGCACTAATGTACTTTACTATATGCGCATATAGCACTCATTAGACCCAAAAATTGCCTAAGGAATGTCAGTTTCCGTTCCGGTACATTACAACAATTTTTATTACGAATTAGATACGGAGGTCGCTGGCCATGCTCATTGTAGCACTACTAATTAATTATAATTAAAAAATGGCACAGATAGCAATACTTCTATTAAAGATAGAAAGAAGAATTTATTACTCTAAAGACTAATTCAAAGAGAACTTACCGAAACAGTTTCAGCTGCAAATCGAGTATGGGTTGGTTTATGACCCACGGGACTTCACCCAATTGGTTCAAACTATCAAGTACTGGGTACAAATCCGCCTGAGGGGCCTCTTTTAGTCGTTGCATTTGACTCATCACATAAATTGGCATTCTGTAATAATTAGTATAATTAAATCCATGTATTATTCCGCTAAGAAAGTATTTATTTATCATGCCTCCTGCAAGAGACAACAGTCTTTTAAAATCTGCAGGAGTTGGTATTATCGCTTATAAGATCAATTTCATGAGGCAAACCCGTGCTAAAAGTTGCTTGCGAGCAAACCAAAAAAAAGTCAAATATCCATATTCCAACAAAATAGTTACACAAAAGCGGAGAAGTATGGTTGATACGATTTTGTGCTTGAATGACAGGTATGATATAAATTTATACATTTCACAAGAGTTTAAAGAAGGGGGGAAATAATCTTACTAATAAACTTATCTATGGTGTAATGGTTGCAGCTCCTTACAAACGTTGTGTAAAAAAAAAACATGGCGATTAAAAAGAGTGGCGGAGAGTTTATTGCCAGTTCTTCTCTTCCGTTCTACGCCCTTGATTTGAGAACTGGCACTAAATGTAAAATTAGAAGCATTAATGTGTATTTCTTTACTGACAAGTCATAAGTGTACAATGTGTTACCCATATGATTAAATGATTTTTGAATAGTCACTTCTGAGCAAAATCAAATGAGATGAGAGGATGAGATTTGTCTAGTAAGAGTCCAGAAGCGAACTACACGCAAAGACAAGTGCGTTCGTTCTTGACGAGTGCGCTCGTTAATGTTCATAGCGATAACTCGACTTAGACTCTCTCGCCCTTAGATAATCTTTAACGTATTCTACAATGCTACTTTTTTAGTTTGTACCAACTGTGACAGCGACTAAATAAATTTAATAAATTTAGAAAAACTCCCCTCCCCCTCTCCCCCCCCTTTTTAATTTAAAAAATTACCCCCAAAAAGCTCTTTTTCTCCCCTGTGTTCCCCCCCCCCCCCCCCCAAAACCCCCCCCCCCCCCCCCCCCCCCCTTGGGTTTGTTTTCCCCCCCCCCCCCCCCCCCCCCCTTCCCCCCCCCCCACACACAAACCCCCCCCCCCCCCCCCCCCCCCCTTCCCCTCCTTTTTTTTTATTTTTTATTTTTTTTCTCCCCCCCCCCCCCCCCCCCCCTTTCTTTTTTTTTTTTTTTCTTCTCCCCCCCCCCCATTTAATCATTAAAAAATGCTGTCTGTATTACTAGAATTTTAATTCAATCTTTTAAAAAAGTTCTGTTGCATCAAAATTTTTAAATTTGTAAGGACTGGGATTGTTTTAGTGAAAGTTGAGTTTACCCGCTTGAAAATTAAATAAATAAATATTTCTATTCCATTCCTCATGGAATAGTTATGAGACTATTAAAAATATTTTATTCGAAGTTGTATTTACATTATGTGCAATGTACGTAGCAACTTCCATGTAACAACTTCGTTCCATTAATATAGGCTGTCAGGAGTGATATTCGCATCGTACAATTTGCTTCATCAAATTTGTGTAACACGCCTAAAATTTACGAGTTACTTCAAAAACTTGTAAGAAGGTATAACGTGGTAATTAATACCTTACTAGCGGCGTGCCAGTCAACAAATAAGCAGCTGGCGTAGTGGCAGTGAGCCAAGGCGTGGGCGGAGACACGGTGGGCGCCAAAGACGTGCGCATACGCAACGCCGGACGGGACGTGGCCGCACAAAGACGTATGAGCACGGGGTGAGGTTTCAACTCCAGGCGGTAATAACGACCCCACGGACGGTGGACTTTATACACCGCTGGGAGTTTTTTACTGTAAAATTTTAAATTTTTAAAAAATGTTACAAATAAAGTTCGCATGTCCTGCCACACATAATGGCGTGCAATTTGGCCTTAAAAGGTAGAATAGAAGTTACAATTTCATTGTGAATCATATCATTATAGTCAATTCTTATATCATTTGTAGTGATAAAATCTCACACTATTAAAACATAAGTACGTTATCAAATAATCATTAATATAATAATATATTTTTTCAAAAGTAGTACATTAAGTAGATTTTTTAACTCTAGTAGGAAGATTTTTTAATGTGTATGGCAAATTATATAGACCTTGTTTGCAATACAAAAGGTGGTTTTCCTATACAATTCCAGATTAATTTTTGTACACCCAATTTCTCCCCATGTCTACTTCGACAGTCTATTCCCGTTGACTTGAAAATATTTATGTTTTTGTGAATGAATAGATTATACAATAGGGTCACCGATACGTTATGAAACATTATATTTGTCAGTTGAAATTCTTAAATACAATAATAGATTGGTACACACATACGTTCTAAAACTAGGTAGGTACACAAGCTGCGTTCGAGCTAATTTAAAACTTACTTAAAACAGTGGAATTATTCTAAAACTAGGTAGGTACACAAGCTGCGATCGAGCTAATTTAAAACTTATTAAAGACAGTGGAATTACGTTCTAAAACTAGGTAGGTACACAAGCTGCGATCGAGCTAATTTAAAACTTACTTAAAGACAGTGGAATTACGTTCTAAAACTAGGTAGGTACACAAGCTGCGATCGAGCTAATTTAAAACTTACTTAAAGACAGTGGAATTACGTTCTAAAACTAGGTAGGTACACAAGCTGCGTTCGAGCTAATTTAAAACTTACTTAAAGACAGTGGAATTACGTTCTAAAACTAGGTAGGTACACAAGCTGGTTCGAGCTAATTTAAAACTTACTTAAAGACAGTGGAATTACGTTCTAAAACTAGGTAGGTACACAAGCTCTTCGAGCTAATTTAAAACTTACTTAAAGACAGTGGAATTACGTTCTAAAACTAGGTAGGTACACAAGCTGCGATCGAGCTAATTTAAAACTTACTTAAAGACAGTGGAATGCATATAGTTCTTGATATATGGAAAGGCAATTTACAATGTATGGACAGAGAAACCAAAGTAATATGACGATTACGAAGAATAATTTCGACGATTATGGCAAGCGTGAGTGACGTTAACTAAACGTCAATATCTTGACTAATAGATCAATAATAGTTTTAAATATGGTTTGCGGTCTTATTAAGTGGCAGCTAGGTGAGGGGTACCGGGTTCGATTCCCGGTTCGTGGGCAAGTTTTAATTTAATTTAAATTTGTTCTCGGCCTTTGGGAGGGTTGTGCGGTACCGGGCGAGTGCTTAAACCGTACATGGAGGGCACGGTCGAATTTCTAAGGCAAGCAGTGAGTATGCTACCTAAGAAAGGAGACTGTGAAGGTTTAGAACGTAGCAATACGTTCTAGGCCGAGGATGGCAATTACAAGTGCGAATTATAAAAATCTTATACTTGACGCTGGCTAATGCACAAACCGTGCCAGAGCTATAAAGGAAAAAAAATATGGTTTATATTTAAAACTATTATTTGTTTTAAATGCTTACTTACACTTTGGTTTTGGGCTTAAAGAGATTCACATCAATCTTGATATCATTAATAATGATATTGTAAAGGAATTTGCCAATATTCTGTCGGATTTCCTGCGACCATGGATTCTCTTCTATATCCTGAAAAAGATTTAAAAGGCACCTCTATAAATGAAGCGGTATTTGGAAAGCACCTCAGAATACTTCAAGACTAAGTATTATTATTAATTTTAAGGCCAGCTTAAACGCCTACGTAAAACCGTTTCACTGGGAATTGAACCTAGGATCAGAGACAGCCCTTACACTGTCTTCCAATAGGTATACTGATCTCAATAATTAATCAGTTTTAGTTGCGCGCGACATCTACGTATATATATATATATATATTTTATAGAACAGATGATGCCATGGACACTCTCAATGCAAGAGGGCTCGCGAGTGCTTTGTCGACCTTTAAATAATATATATATTTGTTGTATACAAAAATGTAGGGATAGATGTAGCTATTGGAAGTTTCAAAGTAGGACTAGTAAGGACGCATCTCTGATCCAGGAGGTCACTTGAATCGGGAAAATCGCGAAACTATTGTTAGATCTGACATTTTATAGACTTTTATGAATTAAAAGTAAAATCTGTGCCTTACTGGATGTAAATTTTTTGTACACTAACATATTTTCTAAACAAACTTACGAATAACTATATTTTAACTAGTAGACGCGGCCAAGTGTTGCTGTGGCTAAGGGTTTTAGTTATATTACATAGTAAACTATTCAAGGGAAACGATAAGAGAACACCAGTCATGGGGACCACCATGCTTTTTTGGTGATTATGCCATTCAATTGTAGCTTATGTGAAACGTTGGTACTCTCAACACAGCGCCATCTGTTAGAATTGTGACTTTTAATTAATAATAAACAAATATTTTGCAATATAATAATATTGCGGGTATAAATTGAGATGTAAGCTATCCTATCTTTTAAGTTAGATCAAACTGCACACGGTGTGCAAATTTGATTGAAATCGGTTTAGTCGTTTAGAAGCCCATAGCGGACAAACAACATTTTTATATATATTATAAAGTAAATCAGTGGCGCTACAACCTCTTTAGGTCTTGGCCTCAGATTTCTGAATCTGTTTCATGATAATTTTTGAATCTAATAGGCAAGTAGGTGATCAGCCTACAGTGCCTGACACACGCCGTCGACTTTTTGGGTCTAAGACATGTCGGTTTCCTCACGATGTTTTCCTTCACCGTTCGAGCAAATGTTAAATGAACACAAAGAAAGAAAGTCCATTGGTGCACAGCCGGGGATCGAACCTACGACTTCAAGGATGAGAGTCGCACGCTGAAGCCACTAGGCCAACACTGCCTTTATATATTATACATAACTAAAAACTGTTTTACTCACCAAACTAGCACCCACGCTGTTCTGATGCACTATGATTTGCCAAGCCTGACGCCCATTGTACGCTCGCCCCGTGTCATCCAGAGGAAATCTTTCTAAATACCATTTACAGTATTTCTCGTAGACTTTTTCGATTTTCTCAAGAACACCATTCCTTTTATATTGATCTATTTGATATCTGAAAGAATTTTTGAAGTGAAACATCTTTATCGGCATTGGAAAAAAAATTACCGTCACATTTTTCGGTTACGCGCCATCTTTATTATTTATTATTCGACACTTAATATTTTAATGACAATTAAATTCATTAAATTCCTAACATATCATCCTTTTTCCGTCCCTCTAAATATCGGAAATCTAAACTTTTAGATTTGTATAAATATGAACTCTTAAAGATTAGTTTGCCAAAGAAGTTTCACTTCTGACATGTGTACTTTGTACACACACACTCTTTTATAATAAGACCAGTCTACCTTTAAGCTTCTTCATCAGTGTAGCTCAGTTGCTCAAAATGTTAAGAAAACAGGAGCGTTCCAAATGTTAAGTTGCGTTTCGAAACGAATTAAAAGTGTCGATGATTTAAATGCCTGAACTAAAAACCATATACATACACACAGACACATTAAAATTAATACAAATTTTTGGAACGAAGTTCCTTATCGCGCGTTGTGAAAAGGGGCTAGACGGAAAAAATTCTTACGAAAAGTTGTCACGACACTTTTTTGCTATTTGCTATTGTAATACACCGGTTCTCGTCCGATCACCGAAGTTAAGCAACGTCGGGCGAGGTCAGTACTTGGATGGGTGACCGCCTGAGAACATCTCGTAATGTTGGGTTTTTTTGTAGGGATAAGAAATGAAAATTATTTTTGGAATCACTTAACTAAATTAGTCTTGTTGGACTTTTTGCTATAGTTGTTATATTTTACATTTTCGATTTTAGCTATTAGCTATCGCCAACGTCCATACCACGTTGAATACACCGGTTCTCGTCCGATCACCGAAGTTAACCAACGTCGGGCGAGGTCAGTACTTGGATGGGTGACCGCCTGGGAACACCTCGTGATGTTGGCTTTTTTTTTTCGTCGTAAGATTGGTGTCGAGAAAATCTATCATACTGTTATGATACCAATTAACATATAAATTAATCGAAAGGAAATTCGTTCCATCCGGGTGTCCCTTGACACCTCTAAAGTTTTTTGCTCCTTTGAAAATCAAATGTTCCTGAGGTTTCCTCTGCGTTATTCGTCATAAATATGCGCGTGGATATAATAATTACTATGATATCTTCTAAGATATACATTGTAATTATATTTATAATTAATTACATAATTCCCGCTGATAATAAATGTAAAGAAAACAAAAAATACTAAGGGTAAATTGCGTGCGTAACTAAATTTAAAAAATTAAATTATAATTGTAGACTTATACAATTACAAAACCAAGATAAAATTAAAAAAAAACTAAAAGCTAATCTTCAGAATCATACCACGATGCTAGGTTATAAAAACTAGGTAACCAAGTATACCTTTAAACGTCAACAGAAAAGATGTTAAATTGATTCTAAATTTACATTTACTACCAGTTCGCAAGTCAAGAGCGTAGAGCGGGCAAGAAACTGGCTTGAAACTTTTCGCCACTCTTTTTAATCGCCAAGTTTTTGAGTCATACAAATTGTTTCAAATTTATATAAAGCCTTATGATTAATTTACGTTTAACGAGAGTTTTGAATTTATTCAATGATAATTCTCTATTAGCTCGGGAGTTTCTTGTAAAATTAGTTATTAATTTTAAATTAGTGTAGATTTTTTAGATTCCGGAAATATAACGGAGCCGTTATATTTTTAAAGTGAAACTTCTTTATCGGGGTTGGAAAAAATTTAGTGTAAATTTTCGTCGCTTTTTCCCTTCCCCGCCATTTTTTCTTTTTAATGATAAACTTCTTATGAAAATATGACATATAGTATGTTTTTGACTTTGAAGTTTGACAACGGATTACAGTTTCGACTTGATTTGCAGCATCGCGGAATTTGCAGCAATTATTATATTATGTAGGCATTTTCAAAATTTACTGTGTTTAAAGAAATAGTTTCTATAAGGCAAGAAGTTTTACTTGTGTTATATATTTTTATAGACATACTACTGCGTACAGAATAGAATTGCATTTAGAAGTCTTACTTGCTGTACACCTGAGCTCCCAAGTCTCGCTGGAGCAACTTGAGTGTGGGGCTGTACGTCTCACTTCCATCCACCAACTTCGTTATCTCACCCATTACTAGATCCACTATCTCGTCTACCTGAAAATAATACATAATTACACTTTCTACTATCGAAATCGAGTTAATTTTATACTCATAAGAAGATATTAGGAAAATACAAAAAATCTCCAAAAATACTAGATTGATTTCAAAAGTTTCTTCAGAATATTTTATCCAAATAACATATTTATTTACAACTTTAAAGCAACATCTAACCATGACATGTTGCGATCAATTGGCTAATGGCATTTTTTTAAATATAATTTATTTATTTACACTGTTTGCATAGGAATTACAAACAGTACACGAAAAATATGGTGCAACGGGCGGCCGTATTGATACTAAACGGTCTCTAAAAAACAGTAAAAAAAAGAAAATAATTGTGAAACAGCGCAAGAGTGCATGCAGTCAATGAAATCTTAATATTAATAAAGACAACTGGTAATTTATAATAAAACAGGGAGAGAATAGAAAAGCAATTTAAATATAAAAACATGATTTTTAAAAATGACACCAAGTAGAAATACAATACTGACAAGAAGAGCTTAATTCTAAAGATTTAAAGCCTCCGCAGTGAAAGATTTGCTATAGATTGTGTGCTGTTAAAACATTCTATAACAGCTTGGGTCCCATTGATCACAATTTTTTATATAGTTATTCTGGTACATTTATATAGATACAGTATTGAATTATTATACATATACATTATACATACATATATATATATATATATATAAAGATGCATATATATATATATATATGCATCGCTTGATAGCGAATCTTCAGTTACTATACTGTATTTGCTAATCACTTACAGTTTTCATTATAACTTTTTAATAATATGTATTTAAATTGATTAATAAATAATGTTATCAAAATAAACCCAGTTAAGAATAGTAAGTTGTTTACCTCAAGCACTTTAAGATATGGGTACAACGTGATAGCCGAGTGCGAAGCGTTGCTTCGTGATTTGAGAGTTCCCAAATTTCGTATAAACGCTTCCCTTATAACTTCACGCCATTCCTTTTCTGCATCGTTCCATAATTCCCGCTAAAATAAAGTTTTTATTTGATCATATAAAATAATTATCAAACTTTTTTTTTATACATGTGTCTTTCCTAAGACATTATAATCTAGCCTAACTTAATACTAATAAGTTATTTAAGTCTAATCTAATTTACTAAAAAGGATGATGAACTTAAGAATTATTTAATCGGTTCCGAATTTCTAAACATTATTTCATAGAACAAACTCACAAATTATATAAATATTAAGTTTAAAATACATTGTTCTGAATTCATTTGAACAATTTGTTACCTTTTATCGCGGGCCTTGAGCGCGACGACCGAATCAAGAAATTCCGTAACGAATATAAAAACCTAACACACGAGACGTAATATAGGTGCGGCCAATACGCCTTAGAGCGGGACAGAACGCATACTGCGTCTCACATCGGTCTGGCGTGTTCGGTGACGTAGCGCAGTTGCGTTAGAGTAGGACAGAACGTATACTGCGTATTCACATCTCTCTGACGAGATCGAACTATATAGGAGTGTTAGTCTGAGTTTGGTAGAGTGATGTATTGAATTAATATTAAAAAAAACTTGAATTATAATTGCATAAGTTGATAAAAAATGCTATGCAATAGCTTTACCGCGGCAGTCACCGAGTACCACACGTTTTTTTTAAATTTATTTTTTCACTATTTTTAAAAACTATAACTGTTAAAGCCCTCTGTATCTAAATCCATCAAAACCAATATAACATATCACAATTAAAAACATTATAAAATACTTACATATACCCGAACACTAGCGGACTCATCATCTTTTAAAGCAATATTCTCGACATCAATTTCTCCGTTCATCTCCATTGCTATTTGTTCTGCACCTTTTGCCTTTAATTCTTCAAAGGATAATAAATCTTCTGCCGGTGATCTAAATAACCCTTTTCTGTCATCTACATTATCCAGTTTTAGTTTATTTAGTAAGGGACAATTATAATCCAAAGGGGGCGGTGTATATTTGGGTTCAAAATGTGGTTCAATACGTCGAATAGCTTGTAGGACTGTTTCACGTTGATCAAATAGGAACTTTGATTTGTCGAGTAGGTCATTTAATTGTATGCCCTGGGAAAGATTATAAAAGTTTGTGATTAACTGGTATAACAAGTGCATTGTTTGATGTCCCTAAAACATGTGTGGCGCTGACTGTATTTTAAATCGTTTTTTTTTTTCTTCAAATTAAAATTGCAATTCAAAATCATTTATTCATATAGATAACGCAATGTTCACTTTTGAACGTCAGAAAATATACATATATGAAATGCTTCTAATTTTACATTTACTGCCAGTTCTCAGATCAAGGGCGTAGAACGGACGAGAAGAACTGACAATAAACTCTCCACCACTCTTTTTAATCGCCAAGTTTTTTGTTTTACAAATTACACAATGTTTGTAAGGAGCTGCGACCATGTTTCACATGACATCTTATGTAATTAATAGTCAATTAATAATAAAAAAAATTAAAAACAAAGATTTGTCCTCTATTATCAGTAGGCATGGTGAAATAGGAGCACGCAGTTACATTCTCGTGGGGACACACGCCATTGATGTTTGGGCCGTAGGCGTTTGGTTTCCTCATTGTTCTCCTTTACTGTTGCCTTGTTAGTGGCTTCAGCGAGCGACAGTTATCACCAAGGTTCTGGTTCGAAACCCAGCTGTGTACCAATGGTATTACTGTACACTCGATCGTTCGGTGAATGAGCACAACGTGAGGAAAACGACATGCCTCACGACTCAAGAAAAAATTATCACGAAACAGATAAATCTGAGGCCCAGACCATAAAGGTGGTAGTGCCACTGTTTTTTTTCTTCTTAACTATGTTTTACCCTTTTTTTATTTAATTTAAATTAATAATTGATTCATAAATTTTTTTTCTATTTTAAGTATTGTAATGAATGTCGACGCTTCGTTAAACCAACCAACGACCAATTCGTGTTCCACTGGTACATAAAATTATGTATGTCTTTTAAAATAAATAAATAAATAACTGTATAAGCGTCAATTTTACACATTGATGCTTTAGTTAGAAAGGATCAAATAAAAATGTAATTTTAGTAGCAATCTATCACGAATAAATTTCTGCATAAATCTTAAATTTGTATTACTGTAATATTGAATATAAATAGTAATTAAAAAAAATAAACAGAATTTTGTGAACAATATCATTTTTAGACTTAATAATTACTAACCTTTTCCTCCATTACTTGTCTATAATAACTCAAAACTGTGTTCTTGTCCTCAACCTCGCTTCGCTCCACACACTCAAACATAGCGGCAAATGTTTGTGCATTAACAGCTACATCATTGTCAAGCATTTGTGATAGTACTGATTTTGCATTGCCTAGTTGCCCCTATAAATAAAATATTATCTATTATATTCTTATTATATCGAATACTTAATAGCTTCAAGTGCAAGTATTTCATTTTTGATCTTCAGAAAATACAAAGTAACACTAAATTTCTTTTTCAATAAATTTTAATTCAACTTAGTCCAACGAAAGCTTCAGTAGAATCCAATGGTATTTAGTCCACAAACATATGAACAAATATCTACTGCTTCTATGGAAGAGTAACCTTAATAGCACATTTCATAAGGTATGACGAATGAATGGTATTTTTTGAAGTTATACTTCATTAGGCGCGTTATGAAATATTGATGAGAGTGAAATTTTACAATGCGCGCGCACCGTGACACAAAATTATCAGAATGAAGTTGCCCACGGAAGATGCTATAGCATTGGACATAATTTAAAAACAACATTCGAATAATAATAAATATTTATTTATTTAATTTTTCAAATGTAAACTGAACTTTATTGACTATAATGACTCCTTTTCCAGTCTTTGGTTATTTAATTGTAATTAATTATTTGTATGCAAAAACTATTTTTAATAATGCTAAAGAAGTATAACTTCTTACGCGCGTACATAAGTACACGCACCCTTTTTTTGTCAGTTGTGAAGTCAACTGTGTCTGTTGTTGCATTTCAGCTATTTGCTGCTAGCGATTAACAATTGAATCCATGCATGAAATTGATTAAATAAAAATTATTACCAAGGAAGCATGTCCATGTAAGAGAATGTTGTATATTTTAACATTGTTCACTTGTGGCAGTTGGGCATTCTTTGAACCTCTCATCATATAATATTTTAGAACTCGATCAGCCTGAAAAACCATAATAGTTCTACATAATTTTTTTTTTCATTTTCTTCACTTATCTAGAATCAACCTCTTGGCTTTTATCAGATTGCAATTACAAAAATGCAGCAAGTCGAGATGAGTTGCTGAAGTCTCCTTTTGTATTGTTTTATTAATCTTTTAATGTCAAATGCAGTGGTAATTCCCAAATATTTATATTTAAATTAAATCTAATATATTTAAATTAAATCTAATATATTTAATTTATCACCTAAGTAAAAAGTTTTCACACAGAATTTGTTGACTCCCCTTAAATGTGTCAAACCTTATCTAACACCAAAAGATAAGAGATGGGAAACCAGGACAGTGTCCAAATTTTACTAGTTAACAACTTTTATATACAGAAAGGAAATGCTAAAATTTTGATAAAAGATGTGTCAGAGAAGAATAAAAATAGCAAATTTTTAGTCCAAGCTCATATGTATTTTGTACATATATTCATTATTTGTCAGAACTATACAAAATTATTCCTTAATAAAACATAAAATTCTCATTATTTTATACATACTTAGATAAGGTCTCGAATAACTATTGAAATATTTAAATTTATGTTTATCTTTTTATTACGGCAGGCAATATATATCATGTAATAATATATATAATATGTACTGATTATTATACATAATATTATTTATACTTATTTAGGGGTTTGTTATAATGCTTTACCTCAGCCACCATATTCAGTGAACAGAGAAGTTGCAAGTGTGAAGACAATGTCCTTTGCAATCCTTCTTCTTTCCCTCTCCGCTCCAGTTCTTTTATATCTTCTTTCATGTTAATTTCCTGCACGGCTCTTCGCTTGTCACGTAATTTTTTACGCTTATCTTTCAAAGCCTTTTGCCTGTGGAGTCATATTATCTGTTAATAATAAATATTTAAAAATTGCAAAAGTATAACCATAAATCTTTAAAACATACTGCAAGATGTTAAATTATTGTTCATTATTTAAAAAAAACTCATGACTACTTAAATACTTACGCTTTTTTAATATCCAAATTCTGTATTGCTTCAATTTTTGAATTTACTATGTCATCACTCTGATTAATATCAGCTATCTCATTCTGCAGAGCTGGATCCTCACAAATTTCTTCTAGTGCTTGATGTGATAAACCTTGTAATCTATAAATATAGGTACTTAACTATAAATACTAAACATTGCAATCATAGAGTATTCCTAGTAAATTAGTTGGTGATCTCTACAGAGAAAGTAAGTAATGGCTCTTACAGAGAAAATATCTTTTCTTCTTTCTCATTAACCAATTATAAAGAAAAACAATTGTCTTAAAACTTACTGCAAAGTGGTCAAATGGCCCATGAGTTCCTGATCATAATTATCCAACAATTGATTATCAACAAAAAGTTCTCGGAATACTGCATGTGGACTCTTTGGAACTGTGACTGAAGATTCAGATTTGTAAGGCTCATTATAATCAAATTCTTGAGTGACACCTTCATTGATGGCATATCTAAGGTCCTGTAATCTTTGGTCAAATAATGTAGCTTTTCTAAAATCATAATAACTCTGTTTGACCATATCATTATACTGTTTTGTTTTAAATCTATTTTCTATAGCGGTGATTTTGTGATTTGTAAATATTAATGCACATTTATCATCTTCTAGAGTATTTTCAGATGGTTTCTTTAGAATTTTCTTTTTCACTGTCTCCAACAGCTCAGGATCAACTTCAATATTGTTTACTTTCTGTAAAGGCTTTGTCAGTTGATGCAGTTGTCCTAGAGAAACTGAACTTGATGCTAATTTTGATAAGTGAGAAGCATGTAATTTACTAATTGACACTTTTGATTCCAACATACTTCCATGATTAACTGAAAATTTAATGCCCATTTACAGTATGCTACACACAAAATTATACATTAACATCATAAATTTATATACCAACCTTCTAAAAGTTCCCCATACTTTTTATAAGCTTTGTGTTTGATTTTTTTCTTATGAGTCTTAAGAGCACTGGCTGTTTTCGTAGATTGATGTCTTATAGAATAGACGTTTTCTACAACACAACAAAAAAAATTCACGTTATGCAATACTACATACTATATATAGGTTATGATTATTTAATTGTTGAAGTAAATGTATTATGTATGTATACTGTGAAATTATAACTTATAATACACATTATTTATGAAGTTAGGCAGTAAATTACCTGGAGTAGAGGATGATTGTAGGATTCTTTGGCAAAATGAGCATTTTACCTCTGTAACCAATGTGTTTTTCAAAACAAAAAGAGAAGAATTATTTAATCCTTGTAAATTGTTTTGATATATGTTCCGGGCCGAAATTAACCGGTGCATTTTATATATATATTATGTTTACGACCCACATAAGAAATTATTAAATCAATTTCTTCAAAAAACCATGCCGAATTCTTATTTAGAAACACAAATTTATAAACACCAAAACACGTGAAATAGGTAAGAGAAAGTGCAGGATATAAATTGTTAAATGTCAGCTATCAATGTCATCACAGACATGTGCAGCATACTCTTGATACTTGTTATTTATTTTACTATAATTTTACTAGATTAATCGAAATATGGACATTCATTTTTTTATTGAAACCTTAAGTCACGCTTTAAATTCTAAAATCGCATCGCATCAGATTTTAGAATTTATAGTATGAGTGCAAAGGCTCACGCTCTCGTTGATGTAAATTTTTCGCCTGGATGCCTCTTGATGCTAGAGTATGTTATTTTATTATTATGACGTCTTAGGTCCATATTCTAATTCGTATCTCAAGTCACAATCTCGTCTTCAGAACTCTCAACTTAACTTAAGACTTCGTACAGAAAGAATTGTTTGATAGCTCTTGAAACTCGATTAAGTTTGATTGACATTCCAGAATATGGGCCGTAATATGTCAAGTGGAACTTGGTATGGAACATTAATCGGTTCCTTACGATTTGCTTTTAATCAAATACCCAAAAACTTATATGATATTATTAGTTTCTTGCTAGTTCTATTAGCCTACTCTGCGCCCTTGAACTGGTAATATATAAAAGTTGAAACTACAAATGGTCCTCCTCCATTTGTTTTCACACTGACGTTCAGACTTCAGAACTTCATAACAGTATATAGTTAGAGTTAAATATATCATTAATTTTGATTTTGTATGTATGTATATCTTGAAATACAAACGTCAAATATAAAATATCCCTCATTTATTGTCTGTGCTCTGTATTCAATATTCAGTATTCTGTACAAAAGTCAAAATCCAAAATAAAAAGTTGAATTAATAATATTTTTATGTTTGCGTGTATTGTGTACATGGATTGAGTTCTCTAAATTCCTAAATTAAATTACGCAGTATCTTTTTTTTTTATGCAGCTGTTTTTCAAATATGGAAGATAAAACATATATCAGTATGTAAAACTTATTTAATTTTCTGCTTGTTATAATTAGGTAATATATTGCAGACTAATGATTAACATTTTAATTATTATTTCCTGAAACAGGTAACGACGAGCTCAGTCTAAAACTCTTTAAGTTACGTTTTAAGTATGATTGGCTATTTAAGAAAAAGAAACAAGCTTGGAGGTAAGTTAATTTTCAGCTTACTTTTTAAATGGAACATACGTTCAGCTCTTATTTAGCTATTAAATTTTATGTTATGTTACCTGTCATCACTGTACAAATTCATGTTATTTAACCGTGAGCTTTGGTTATTAGCAAAATAATTGGAGATTAACTTGAAGGCATATTTCTACAATTATTTACATATTTTCCCTCACCTTATTGTGGGATAATGCGATTCTACATAGTTTCCCATAGTCTACAGAAGTATAACATAGTATATATTGTCCACAAATATAGAAATCAAAAAAGAGTAAGATTAGTATGTTATGTATTTTGTTTATATAAATTATACAAAACTTTTATTTTCAGTGAATTTTATAAGATATTACTTGAAAATGGATTTCCAAAAGATATGCCTGTGTCATATATTAGGAAAAAGTGGACATATACTTATGATGTGAGTTACCATTGTCGTAATATAAGGTTCTGTTATAAGTAAAACTTCTGTAGTTAAAATATATTCATTTCTTAGACACTACATATTTAAAATTCTATTTAATCACTTAATTCTCATAAAACTGTTAAAAATATTAGGGTAACAATACTTATATTTATGAATAACTAGAAACCAAAAATTTACAAATTAAAGACCTACTTGGCACTAATTTAACCTATTTATTAAAGGAAATGAAATGATATTTTCTTTTATAATGTAGCCAACTAGCTTAATTAGCCGTTCAATTAATAGCCTAGCCTTTTAACTAGCGGCCTGTAAGATGTTCAGTCAGTTCATCAAACAGCTAGACAAATGACTTGGATCAATAATGTTTCATTACTTGCCTAGCCTGTTGACTGTTAATTTAAATTTAATTCCACTTTCTGCGACTCTCAAACTCGAAATGAAACTCTTCAATTGAACGGCTGTTAATTGAACTGCTAATTAAGCTAGATGGCTGCGACATATGCACCATATAAAATATGAGAATCAAGTATAGAGGTTGGTCAGTATTTACTTTTTCAGTGTTATAAAATAGCAAAAAGGGATAAGAATACTAGTTGGAAGTACTATAAAATGTTTGATAAACATTTTGGTAAAAAAGTTATTTTGGACCCAAAATACCAATCTTGTAAGTTAAAATTATACTTTTTTGATAGATATTATAATAGCTTGAGGGTGGTCACTTTTGTAAAATAAAGAAAGATATCAAGGCTTGTGTCTAATAAATAACTCGACAACTACTTCTAAAGTGCCTACAAACTAAACTAGAACATATAAGAAGCAAATAGAATTTTCACTATATGCTAAAGTCATATAATGTCAATGTTATGGAAATGATGGCTATTTAAGCTTAAGAGTTTTTGTGTAATTAATTATGATTCACATTTGTTCAATTATAGAACTAATTTGTACATGTACATATATCTTTTTGAATAGGCCATGACAAAGTTATGTTGTATATTGAAAATTCAATCTTATACCTGGATATTAACTGTTACATGTTTTCAGGGAATGACGAATGGCGACTTAAATTAATAATATGTATAACTGAAACTAAGCAAATGAATTTTGATAATTTTACAATGTGGAGGTAAGAATTAATATAGAATATTTAGCAAGTTGAATATATTTGTTATGAAATTATAAATGTTTAAAAAAAATTAAGTCCATTCATTTCAAGGGTTTATTATTTGTATCCAACGCGGGTTCTTATGTTAATAACATTTATTTTAACGTAACACGAGGTCATGGTATGAGTTTTCATACAAATTTAATGAACGAAATCTGATAACCGCTAAGGTTACGTAAAAATAATTCATGGTATGAATAAGCGATTCATCTTAGTTGTCCTAACATGGCTCATGGTGCCCCCCCTGAACAAACTTATTGATAGTTTTAGTAGGTATTTGAATACAGCAGTAAATGTAAATTTAGAGGCATTAATTTTTTTACTGACATTTAAGTATACATTAAGTTACCTACACGATTAAAGGCCGACAAAGCACTTGCGAACCTTCTGGCAGAATGAGTGACCATAGGCGGCGTTATCACTTAACATCAGGTGAGCCTCCTACCCGTGTGCCGCCAGTTATATAAAACAAAATTAAAATTATATATTACTTGAAACAATCGTGTCTAGGCGTCCATTTTATGCATCATGGTTCGTTAGGGATAAGTTTTCCGTACATAAAAAAATACATGAAATTTTCTTTAGTATGAAAGCTAATATTTACGTTAAATAAATTATTTTATGTAGAACTGTGGAACAGGCTATGCGGTCCCAGGATATGCCGAGTGCATGTTGTGTTCAAGATATGAAAGGGCTTTGGCACCATTTGAAAATGACATTTAACGTATGTATAAAAAAACTCGAAAAATAAAAAAATAAATAAAAAGTTAGATATTAACTTCTAATACGACTTGTTTTTGTAATTTTACAGTTGGATTGTTTGAAAATGATATTTATTAATTATTTTTTTACATTGAACATTATATTAGGTCCTTACATATGAAATTGGCGTTTTGTATGGGAGGAACAAAAATTAAAGTCCCTCGAGCCTTTTCTGCAGCACTTGTGCTACGGTGGAACTCATACTCGTGAATAACGCGATATTTCATGTTTTCCATTTTATAAAAAGAGTGACGCAAAGAAAAAAAAATTAAACGCGAAAATTAAATGTATCATGGTTTTCGAAAAACAAATGCACGAGTAAATAGCTGTCAAATTTGAATTTGGAATTCCTAAACAAAGAGGAGATATTTGATGCAAAGTGGCCAGTACGACAAAACGTAAATTTTATTTATACTCTGTAATCATGATGTTGTAAAAATATAAGTGTTTTAGATTTTTTAAACAGGCAATGCTATTAAGGAACCTTTGAAAAAGTAATTAGAATTATTTCATACATTGAATAATTTTGATTTACAAAACTATATATTTTTACAGCGAAAACACAGGCTAAAACTAAAGAAACAAAAATGCGATTGGGCTTTATATGATTCTGTGTTGGAATATTTCAAGACGTCAGAACCGGAATACTTAGTTAGACTCGAAACATTGCCAGCGAGGGAAGTTCTCAAAACGTTATATAGGAAAGGCCATACGAAAGTCAATGACGAGAACGAAGATTCAAATTTTCATTGTAAGTATTATTACAGGCTATAGGATCGGTAGCTAGTAGATCAGTAAGAAACGCCGTAGAACTCATGAAGGGTTTATTTTAAATTATTCGTTAAAATTGGTTATTAATTGTCATTTAAGGTAGTCTTAAATTAACGCTTTTACACATATTCACTCACAACCACTCATGCTTTAGGTTTATTTTGTCTATTACTTTAATTTAGTCATAGTATGTTATATTATCTGACCGCCATGGAAGGCTGGTGATCTGTTAGGGGCCGTTCAAGTAAGCAGATTTACTGCATTTAAAAGTAAAGTAAAGAATCCTCGAAAATGCTTACTGTTGACGTAATCATGAAAACCAAAAAAGCCTCATCCCCCCCCTATAGTGCTTACGTAATACTTGGACGGCCCCTTACCACTGGACTTGAATAGTCCTATTATACCAGCAAAGACGGCTAATACCTGCAGCATGTAAACCCGGACAATGCATACGCATACACCTTAATAACTGTCAATAACTATTTCAAATGCGCACTTGACGGTACTTTATCACTTGTCTTCACTATTCGATATTAATCGGAATCGCACTCGAAACATAATAGGCTTCTTAGTCCATTGAAAAGTTACATTTGGGGTTGCGTTTTTTAGAGGACGCAATTTTATTTATGGAACATGTAGGGGGGGTCAATACAAGCTTAACTCCAAGTTTGTGGGGTTGGCGTGCTTGTACCCCGGCCGCCATCTTGGATAAAGGGGTCCAAAAACCACGTTTTTGGCTATATCTCCTAAACTATTAATCGTACATAAAACTTGTGAAGACACATTTTGTAGCAAATCGCTGTGTCTACGATTATGTCTATGTAACTTTTTATCATAAATCCAAAATTCAAAAAATTATAATTAAAAAAGTGAAAATATTTCCTATTTCTAAAGTTGACTAGGTGCGTCAATGCTCATGACAAGCCGATCAAAATAGCAGTTTTACCTTACTTTTAAGATCTCTCGTTTATTTTAAACAAATTTTCTAAATCATTTTTTTTATTTTTTTTTATTCCTACAATTTTACTTATTGGTATTCCTAGTAGGCCTATTCCACAGACAACTTGCTGATATGGTAATCTTCGACATAATTAAAGAGACGACATAAAGAGACATAATTGTAGACACAGCGATTTGCTACAAAATGTGTCATTACAAGTTTTATGTACGATGGATAGTTTAGGAGATATAGCCAAAAACTTGGTTTTTGGACCCCTTTTTCCAAGATGGCGGCCGGGGGACAAGCACGCCAACCCCACAAACTTGAGGTTAAGCTTGTATTGACCGCCCCTACAGTTCCCATAAATACGAGTAACATTGCGTCCTCTAACAAATGTTAAGTTTGGCCCTCAAATTGTTACATTTCAATGGACTATCGGAGCGCTGTAAAACCTTAGCTATTAACTTAATGAAAAAATGATGCAAATAAAAGTTGTTCCCCAAAAAACGATCTACAAAAAAGGTCTGATATTATTTTTTCGTAAAATGATAAAAAAAAAGTTATATCGAAAAATATAAATTTTTTTCTCGAATTTCTGAAGATTTTCGCTTATAACTTTTTTATTTATAGTTTTACGATAAAAAGTTACTGGACCAAAGTTGTAGAGAATTCAATTTGCAACAAAAAATGTTAACAAATTTTTTTTATCAAATAAATAGTTTAAGAGATATATCATAAAAACCGTTTCAACCACTATTTTCAAGATGGCGGCCGTGGGACAAGGGTGGCGACCCCACAAACTTGGTTTTAGCTTTACACTGACCCCCCCTACACATCAAAAAAATAAAATTGCGTCCTCTAAAAAACGCAAGGTTAGGCCTAAAATATGTAACATTTCAATGGACTATCTAGAGTTCGGGCCTGAAAATAAATGTGAACGGTACTCGCGAACTTTGTGGGCAAGAGTGGTACTGTATAGCTGGTGTTCTATCCTTATCGCACAATTCTGTAACGTACGTGCTCTCTATCTTTTTTGGACAATACTCCGTCCTTACGGCGTTCTGGAATGGTCGCTTCGAGAAGATTCCGATCTTCCTTCCCCGTCCTTTTTGCGTCTAAAGCATACCGGTTTTCTCACCATGTTTTTCTTCACCGTACGAGCAAGTGTTAAAATCCCTAATTTTATGTTTACAGGGACCAAAGATATAACGGAGTCGCTCATACAAATACGTCTACAGAATGATTGGATTTTCAAAGAATCAAAATGGGCTTGGAGGTATGTAAAATATTAAAAAAATATATCAAATCAAAGTTTATTTGTTCACATCACCATCACCATTATAAACGTCAATATTAAAAATATATAAATTCTAATTCAACTTAATGCGTCAATTATTTGTTTAATTCGTTTTTTACATGACTATATTTACTTAAAAAATACAGGACTTCTAAAACGAATAGCGATTTCCGATATTTGGTCAAATACATCATTACGTATTTATTTATTTACACTTCGTTACCTCAAACATACACTTAAAAAATACAGGTTACATAAGTTATAAGCCAATGGGTGGCCTTATCGCTAACGATTTCTTCCAGGCAACCCTAGTATGCAAAAGAAATACTTACTGAGAGTGAAGAGAAGTGCTTACTAATAAACAAAGAAACATAAAATTACATATAACACTAAAAATATACTAACTACAATATTTAAAAAATATGAATAAAAATATATAAGCTAGGCTTAGGGTTAATGAGTCATAATTAATTAGAACGATTACAAATTAAAATCATGTGTCAGTTGTCAAACTGTCACTAAGACAGCGGCAGATTGTAACGCGACAGTGATGCAAACTTTGGGGTTTCCCCCCAAATTTAGGAGGACATTATTTAGGTTCTACTTAATACAAGATTTTTTTTAAACGCACGATTCTATACAATTTATATTTACCCAACAAACTAACTAAAACAAATATAAACACAAAGCATGGCTATAATTGAAATATTAAAAAAAAAAAACTATAATACTCTAAGATCAAAATTAATAAAGAAATTACATCTGAATCTGAGTACAACAAAAAACTTTAGGAGTTTTTAATCGATATTTTTGAAGTTAGTTCTAGGGGGAACATTCTGTAGGAGTTGGCACCACTGTTAGACCTATTGATTCTACATTTTTTAAATTTGTTAGAATAATAATAAAAAGTTATTTTTTGTCGTAGCAAAATGCGGAACGTACTGGTGGAGGAAAATGGTTTTCCAAGTTCACTAAGAGCAAGGGACTTGCGTAAGAAATGGTCTTCGTTATTTTTTGTAAGTTATTTAAACACTGGTCTAGTTGCAGCCCTTACTAAAGTATATAAAAACACATAAAAAACCATGCATATTTTGACTGGTGTCAGATTTGATCCACTTTTTGGCCACCCTGTATATATATATATTCATAATTAAACGTTAAATAACGTGTTTTTAACGAAACAAAATCTATCTCGTTTTATCAAAGCGTAAGACAATTTGAGAGAAAGAGACGAAACAGTTGAGTGGTACAAAAGTATGTGAGTGCAGTGACCGATTTCGTTTTTGTATACATAATTCTTCTGTACGTGTCCTTGTAATTATACTATTGCTTAAAGGCTGGACCGATTTTAATGAAGTTTTGTGGATTCGAGAATGGTTATTATTGACAATTGGTTTTTTTTTAAATATGTGTACAGGACGACGCCAGTCGAGTCCGCCAGTGATGATTTGAAAGCTATATATTTGTTTTGAAGCTTTTATATTTCACACAGGACTACCAGAAGGCAAAGGCGACTGAAAACAAATCATGGTTATATTATACGTTATTTGAATTATATCTTGGAGAAGGGAATCTCAGCTTGAATCCACTATCAGGATGTAAGTAAGTCCCAATGGGGCTTGGGGTAAAATATCGAAATAAGATCTATGACAGAGCAATATTGATAGAATATTACTGTGCATTGTTTAGCACTGTTATCACAATTAACGAAATTAATAACCCTCGGAACCAATTCGACTTAGAATCGCGAACCCTCTGTCATTGACCATGGGCGGTGGTATCGCTTAAGATCAGAATGACGACCACCACCACTATGTGGAACCAGCTGCCTACTGAAGTATTTCCTAACCACTTCTACTTAGGATCCTTCAAGAAAAGAGCTTACCAATTCTTGAAAGGCCAGCTTCTGGCAATGTGAGTGTCCATGGGCAGCGGTATCGCTTAACATCAGATGAGCCTCCTGCCCGTTTGCCTACTATTACATAAAAAAAAGATGAGTCTTTGCCCCGTTTATTCTTTGTTCTATTAAAATATTTAATGTATTTCTTTTCAGGGGAAGAGGAATGGGTCAAAAACTTTATAAAAATAAGAGTTGATTTAGATTATTTGTTTGTATCGGAAAAGAATTACTACTGCGAGGGATGGAGGTATATTTATTTCAATATATTCCGTGTATTAAGACATTGAATACATTTAGGATATTTGCAAACTTCGGCTTTAGCTTTAAGGCTTCAATTCGCTTGCTTCGAGAGGATTTCATTTATTATTTGCCAAAGTCTTACATATATTTTTTTCTCTAGAAAATTCCACTATCTCTTTTTATTAAAATGCTAAATATATTGACATATAGTATCTTTAATGCGAGACAATTGAATAACATTTACTTGCGACATCCCTTAGGTTCGAAACATGCCTTAGACTCAGTGCTAAGCGTATGTCAGGCACAGAAGGCTGATCATATAAAAATATCACGAAACTTCCAGAAATATATCCAGACCTATGTAGCGCCACTTTTTCTTCAGCTTCATTTTTGACTGATTCATGTCAATTGTCGCGACCAGTGTTGGCCTAGTGGCTTCAGCGTGCGACTCTCATCCCTGAGGTCGTAGGTTCGATCCCGGCTGTGCACCAATGGACTTTCTTTCTATGTGTGCATTTAACATTTGCTCGAACGGTGAAGGAAAACATCGTGAGGAAACCGACCGAAAAAGTCGACGGCGTGTGTCAGGCACTGGAGGCTGATCACCTACTTGCCTATTAGATTTAAAAATGATCATGAAACAGATTCAGAAATCTGAGGCCAAGACCTAAAGAGGTTGTAGCTCCACTGATTTTTTTTATGTCAATTGTCATATTAAGGTATTCATTTATTTCAGGAAAGTGGAGCAACAGTTAAGGGCAATGGGTTTACCTTTAGATCATAGTTTGTTAGGTCTGCCCCAAATGTGGGATCATTTGACGAAAATATTTAAGGTATGCGAATGTCTATAGAATATTTATTTAACAAACTGCCCCCACGATATTTGTTTCGCCTTTTTTTTTCCTTAGCATTTCCCGCTAAAAACCTTCCTCAGAGTTCACGGAATAAAAAAAGGATGCGTGTACTTATGTAAGCGCGTTAGAAGTCATACTTCTTTGGCTTTCTTTATTTTTTTAAAATATTAAATAATTAATAATACATATTTAACGTTAATAATTTAATAATATTTAATATTTAGTATATTATTCAATTATTAATTAATATTAATAATAATAATTATTATTACTTATTATTTTATTATATTATTCATTCAATTTAATAACTAGGTATGTTTCATAACCTTTTAACTAAGTAACAATAGGTCTTTGTGAAAAAGCATTGCTAAATTTCTTTGAAAAAATAATTAAAACGCCTTTATTTGTTTAAAAGGTACTACAAAGGTCATTATGGTCATTCAAAATTCTTGGCATAGCTGCTAACTTCACGCATATTCTATTTCTTTTTACTTGTAGATTGTCTTATTCCCATCTCGCTCGCGCACGCTATAATCACACTGAAAACTTTGTGTCTCAGGTGCGCGCGCATCGTAAAATTTCACTCTCATAAATTTTTCATAACGCGCCTAAAGAAGTATAACTTCAAAAATATAATATAATCGGCTGATCTTTGAGTTAAGCAACATATTTTGTGATTAATTTTATTTATGTAGACTTATGTTATATAATATATATACCTGTACACTGCCCTCTATTAAATAAGCTAACGGCACATACTGCTAGAGGTGCTAAAGAGAGAACCTTCCGGACGATTGTTCCCTATGCCGAAAAGAACCTCTTTGCTATGTACTGTACTCGTACAGTCTAGTGTCAACTAGCTCCCATTACCCGCTTGCTCTCGCCTTATAGTTTTTTCGACGAACAGCGATTTGTGAAGCGTACAGGTGTATACTGTGATTGAAAAATGTACTTAAAAAATTAATCTATAACAAAAGGTTTTCTAGTAAATAAATAAAATATGTTTATTATGGAATATAAAATACAGGTATCACTTATTCCACGTCATTAAATTGTTACGGTAGACATCCCTACTCATCGGCTAAGAAGAGGGTGTAGGCCTAGAGAAAAAGCCGGCGTAAAAACTCTCGGTACTCTTTTAAAATAGCAAATCATATAAAATGACTATGTCAACGCTTATTTTTAAACAAATATCGCAAATCATTAAAAAATAAAAATAAATTATTAATATTAAAAAGTAAATTGCATAAAACTCACCTTTAATTAATTTGTTTATTGAAATACACCACATAATATATAATAAATTTTCTACATTACAAGTTTTCTATACATGACAATTACGGTGAACATAATTTTAACAAATAATAAAAATACATTTATTTTACTCTTTCAATTTTAGTAATTTTTTAAATTTTTAGTAAATTGCCCTAGTAATTTTACTTAATTGTATAATGTATAATATTTTTACTTAAATTTGGCCTATACAATATACATGGTGTTAATAAATAATGATAGATTAATAAGCAACTCGGATATAAAATTAAGAAATAATATAGACATAGGGCAGTGACCTTTAATAACTTCTGATAATAATTAGTGGTGAACCTATTTAAATAATTTTTAGGACCTAACCTCTCAATGGTCCTTAGGAGGTAGGTTACCTCCTAAGGACCTCCTTCCTACCTAGGAACCTGTTCTAATTATGGGTGGTAGCCATTACGTGATTTTTCGAAAAGGTTTTTTAAGTTTTTTTGTTTTAAAAGTTTTAATAGAAAATATATTTCAACTGCGTCCTGATTCAATATCCTTAATACTAGCCGTAAGAACTACGAAGCGTAAAGCGGTTGATATTTAAATTTTTTTCACAGTGGAAAAGAAAATTCTTCATCAAAGGCATGTTGACGGAACAATGGCCATATTTCGATTTAATGCATCAATTCACGGATGCGCAGGAGCAGAAACAAAAAAATGACATAGATGATGATAATCACGATTATGATGATGATATGAAGTTGATTGATATCAAAAAGCTGATTAAACCTAAATATGAGGTCTTGGAACCAAATCATTGCAGATCGTGTTCCAATGATGAAGCATGTGTGAGCTTGTTTGATCATCGCGATGACGATGGAGTGGATTTGGCTTCGAAGCTACGACTTATTGGGGGTGTTGAGGTAACTTTGACAACTCTCCTTATTTTTTTTATTATAAAACAGAGCAGCAGGCTCACGTCATTTTAAGTGATACCGCCGCTCATTGACACTCTCAATGCCAGAGCGCGAGCGGGTTCGCGAGTGAGTTGCCGGCCTTAAATTAGTATACCTAATAAATTTAGATGTCTGGTTTTTTTTAAAGTTTTTTCCTTTATAGGGTTTTCTGGATGAGATCGCTTGTTAGCGATAAGCCCCCCCGTTGCATCCCTAATAATTTGTTATGTAATGTAACGAAGTTTTAATACATAAATAAATAAAAGAATCTATCACCTCATTTCATATGGATCTGACTTAAATGATTCATTAAAATATTTAATTTAAATTTATTTTTGAAGCTCGGATAAAGCAGTTTGTATCTGTTCAAAGAGCACTTCAGATTTTCAGTTACAAACACAAATTAAATTAATTGGAGACATTCATGAATTAACGATCTTATGTTTTCAATATCAAATATTTTAATATATTTATTATAATTATGCTTAAGTACATTTACGTACAGACATTTTCTTGTTCAAACGATAAGTGTGCCAATGCAAATGTGCCACAGGGTTACTGTGTTCTCCAGCGTGTACCAATTCCCAAGGTCAGTCTTGCTCAAATGTCTAGAGTTGAGTACAATAGAAGAAGATTCCTAACCTTTGACCCCAAATAACTTTTGTAGCAAACATAGGATCGATGGGGATTTTTAAAACTTTATTTGTAATGGTAAGCCCCAGCTCTCCACCAATTTTTCGCTTTCCGGGAATGTTTGTTATTTGACCACTACTTTATGTCTAACTTGACCGGACTAAAATTTATATTCTTATACTACCGTGTCTTAACCATGATTGGTGTTTTTGTTTTTTAGATCGAACCATCAGATTCCTTACCATATAACATATGTCTTACATGCCTTCAAGAACTGGAAACAGCCTACAAATTCCGACGAAAGTGTCAAGAAGTAGACAAAGAGTTGCGTGAAAAAAATAAACACAATGAAAATTCTGTTAAAATAGAACTAACCATAGACAAAGATATACCTCAAGATGAAAACGACAATTTCGATAATATGGAAACCGATATGGACTTCGAAGTACCCATAGAAGATATATCCAACAAAGTCAAAGCGAAACCAGTGAAAGTGAAAAAGATTTTGGTTCGAAAGAAATATCCGAAATATGATTATTGGAAAGTTTGTGAAATATGCGGAAAGAACACGAGGAATCTCGCAACACATTTGGAGTCGCACTCGACGGACCGGATCTACTCCTGCTCAATTTGCCAGAGGACGTTCAAGTTCAAAAGCGGGCTGAGTCTGCACAAAGCGACCCACGAACCACCAAAGAAAACCTGCGAAGTTTGCGGAAAGAAATTCCACATAGCCGCACAATATCGCCGCCATTTCCAATACCACGCGAATGAGAGGAAGTTTGAGTGCGAGACTTGTGGGAAAAGGTTCAATTCGTCGGATATTTTGAGGGTACATTCGAGATCGCATACGGATGAAAGGCCTAACGCGTGTCCAGAGTGTGGGAAGACGTTCCGTACAGGGGGCTGTGTGAGTCGACATAGACGGATTGTCCATCATATCAGAAAGAAGCCACAAGAACAAATAAATAGTTAGTTGGTTAAGGAATAAAGTTATTTTTACTGAAAGTTTTTTAATATATTATTACACCACCAACTGGTCCCAATGATACAATTTTAACCAATTTTTCAGAGGTATTTAAGGTACTATCCAAGAAAATCGGAGCCACTTTTGTTGAATAGTAAAAAAAACTGTTAAATTACAAATCTTTAGTCTTAAGTGCATGTTCGAAATTCATTTTTTTTATAAATTTTGTTAAAAGTGATCCATAATATTTTAACTCGGCCGATTGTCACATTTGATTATTTCTTCTTTTTTGTTGCGCATGGCTTATGCTAGACGCACGATATGATTACCATGATTGAATTAGATTACACTTTTGCAAATTTTAATTATTAGTTGATTAACACGTTGAGTGCGAAACCAGGTTCTAAACACCTTGTATACGTCTACGCTTACAGCGCGGCTAAGAAAAGTATAGACTTCCTTGTCGCGCGGAAGGCCTAACTTTAACTTGGTTCGGTGTAGGAAAGAGATGAATATATATCTATGATGTATTATTAAAATAGAATACAATGGTGTACCTACCTTAATACCAGGTTTTTATACCTGGCACCGCACGGAAACAATAAAATTTCATTATAATGCGAAACCAGATCGAAGGACCTTGTACCCCGCTTACCTGGTACCGCACCCCGCGTTAGCTTCGCGCGACTAGTGTTGCCTTGCAATCGTGAGAAACGCACGTGTCGATATGGCGTCCAGACCAACAAAACGGTGCCGAAAAAATATATTAAATGATGTTAGCGAGGACAGTGATGCAGTGAAAGTTAAATCTAATTATAGATTGATTTATCAGAGACAGGTGAGTCATGATTACTATTTATTTTACTTACCTAATTACGTTTCCCGTTTAGTGCGTATGTAATAGCTGTGAAATAAAGCTTCTTAGATAATAAGGTTACAGATGCTTTTTAACATCCAACGCGATTAAAAATAATACTCTTCTTTCAGAGTCCACCACCAAGTGATAATAAGTCTACTATAAAAGATGTAGAATCGTCTAGCGATGAAGAAATATTTCCGATAAAACGTTTTAAAAAAGTTGATCCTATAGAAATACCGACCACTGAAAATTTACTTACTGATAATTTTTCAAGAAAAAATCAATCCCCTGTTGAAGAACAAAAACGAGTCATAAATAAACATGCTAACTCTATAATCATTACAAATAAGAGAACAGGACTAATAAAGAATACCAATAATTTGGTGTCCCCTAGTGGACACAAGCAATCAAAAGAAATTATTTTTGTCAGTCCCAGTACCAGCAAAACATGTCATATGTTACAGAATGTTACATTTTCCCCTTCTTATTCAAGTCAACAACTTCAAAAAAATAAAAGTTCTTCTATTCCATGTTTACCATTATTGGACTTTCCACACTTTCAAGAGAGCAGAGCTGGTTCTTTATCAGAAATATCATGCTCTAATTTACTGGACTGTGACATATCGCTTACTGAAGATAAAATAAATGAACTTCTAAAAACACCTCAACGAAATAGAGAAAATCAAAATTTTACATCTAAATACGCTCAATCTGAAAATTCAGATACCAAATCTGAAAAAAATAACGTTAATTTTGAAGTTTTTGTTTCTATTGAAAATATTCCGGAAAATATAGAAGCAAAAAAACAAAATAGAGATAATAAACTGCCAGTAATCTTCAAATCGTCTCATATTATCAATGAAGATAGAATTAGTTGCGACGAAAAGGATATAGCTAAAAACAGAATGAATTCCAAAAAAATATCAAGTGTTAAGTCGTTAGATTCTATTGACCAAAATAGTATTTCTAGTAATGAGAAGAAGGCCATAGAGAAAATCAGATCATTGCGTAATAAAACACCAAGTACTTCCAATTCAACTGATTCATTTGATTTTGATAGTGTTGAAAATTTATGTGATAGTAATAGTGATAAAAATTACGATTTTTCTAATGATGAAACATCTGATTCAGAAAGCGATCATTCATTAATATCTTCTGAAGATAATTCAAGTTCTATTCCTGAGAGAAATCAAGACGTAGCAAATGAAACTTTAGATACGGGAGAAACACTGCGTGGCTGCCAAACCAATAAAAACGATGAAGATGAGTGGGAGGATATCTCTGAAAGTCCCGTGAGTTTTAACGAATTTGTGGAACAGAATGCTTTGAAGGTACCCCCATTCGCAAAATCTCCTGTAGATATATATAAGTTATTTGTAACAGACGACATGATTAACGAAATGGTCTCTCAAACAAATAATTACGCAGGAAATTACTTACAAACAAATCAAAGAAGTATAAAACGTAAATCACGCATGAAACAGTGGAGTGATACTAGTTTTGAGGAAATGAAAATATTTATGGCAGTTTTAATGGCAATGGGATTAAATAAGGTTCCTCAGATAAACTTGTATTGGAGCAAGAATAAATTGTACAGAAACGAGTTTATTAGTTCGGCAATTAGTAGAGACCGATTTTTACTACTACTAAAATTCTGGCATGTCAGTGATATCTCGAATTATGATAAAACTGACAAACTACATAAAATCAGATATATGTTTTCAAAGATTATTGAAAAGTTTCAGCAAATCTTAAAACCCGGTAAATATGTAGTCATTGATGAAACAATGATACCCTGGAGGGGCCGATTAGGTTTCCGGCAATATATAAAAAATAAGTCTCATCGGTTTGGCGTAAAACTGTATAAGCTTTGCACTCCCGAAGGTTATACTTACCAAATAGAAGTTTATACAGGTAAAAAAGGCGAGAAAAAAGAAGTTGATCACAGTCAAAATGTAGTGCTGCGTTTGATGAAAAATTTAACAGGTGAAGGGAGAACCGTAATCGTAGATAATTACTATACTTCGGTGAATCTAGCAGAAAAACTCCTTTCACAAAAGACCTTTATATGTGGAACTTTAAACGTAAGAAGAAAACATTTGCCCAAGATAGTTACTCTATCAAAGATAAACAAAAAGGCGAGGTTATTGGAAAAATGAAGAAAAACGGAGTTAAAGTATTAAAATGGGTTGATAAAAGACAAGTTTTAATGCTAACTACATGCAGAAATCACGACGATAAGCTAATAGATACAGGAAAAAAAAAACGAGGCTCTGATGAAACTGTTAGGAAACCAGGATGTGTGCTCACGTACAATAATACTAAAAAAGGAATTGATTTCAGCGACCAAATGTCCTCTTACTACACAACATTAAAAAAAGGATTGAAGTGGTGGAGGAAAATAATAATGGAGTTGTTATTTGGTACAGCTCTTGTTAATGCCTGGATTGTGTATAATTTAATTAATGTTGGGAATAAAATACCAAAACTACAATTCGTGGAGGAAATTGTCAAAGATTTTACAAAAAAGGACATTGACAATGATACAGGTAATTTCAACGGAGACGTAAATGAGTGCACACACTTACACATACACATATATACATATACACATCCAATCCACACTCATATGCGCACACACATACACATACAAATAAATAATAATAAATTAATAAATTTATCTTTTCAGAACCCGCACGAAAACTTGACAAACACACTTTGGTAAAAGGTGATAAGAAGAGGAATTGTGTCGGATGTTACGCAAAACTCCGAACCTTTTTAACCAGTCGCGAAGCTGACAAAAAAGTAAAAAAATTTTTAACTATATGTGTTCAGTGCAAAAAAAACTTTTGCTACCCATGTTTTATTGAAAAACATTAATTTCTGTTTGTTTTTGTTCCATTGTATTAAAACTTAATTACAGCTATCGATATTTTAATTTCACATCCTTAAAATACGCACCAGACAACCCTTATTCAGTGCGGCACAGGGTGATTAAGCCCTGTATTTTGAAAATAGCTATAATTTTTAAACTAAACAAGTTGTTAACGCCTTCAGGTGTATGTCAATTAATTCATTATTATTAATATTAAAAGCAAAAAAAACATATATATTTTTACATGAAGCCCAAAAAAGGATTTAAGTTTCTTAAATTTTACGGGGCCTATAAGCCTTGTGCCGCCACAATTGAAGTTTTATTACCAGGTGTATAGGCCTTGTACCGAAGTAATGGAAAGTATTGAAAAGTTACAGTCGCAGCAAACGTGTTAAATGTCCCTAGATGGGTCAGAGGGCGTCCACAAAAAAAATCAGTAGCGCTACAATCTTTTTAGGTCTGGACCTAAGATTTCTGTATCTGTTTCATGATCATTTGTCAATCTAATAGACAAGTAGGTAATCAGCCTCCTGTGCCTGACACACGCCGTCGACTTGGATCTAAGGCAAGCCGGTTTCCTAGGGATGTTTTCCTTCACCGTTCGAGCGAATGTTAAATGCGCACATAGAAACAAAGTCCATTGCTGCACAGCCTGGGATCGAACCTACGACCTCAAAGACCTCGTACGCTGAAGCCACTAGGTTAATACTGCTAAATTATTAGTTACGCCACCAATTTTATGATTGTTTAGTGAGTATTGTGATGTATTCAAATGCAAAGTATTAGTTACTATATTATCAGTCTTTCCTCTCTCATTATTCCCTTACTAATTTGACAATTGTGTGCCTTTCTTCGTGTTAAGGATATATAGAGGCGAGCTACGTATTCAGGGTGTATTATTTTAAGATAAAATTGTGTAACAATGGCCACCAATGAAGACAGAGTTTGTAAGCCGAGAGAAAAAGCCGGCATAAAAAAACTCGGTACTCTTTTAAAATAGCAAATCATCAAACAACACTTGTTTTAAAACAAATATCGCAAATTAATTAGAAGTACCCTGTCTAGCACGATTCCCAGGCCCTTTTAACTTTATAGTAAGCCTTTTTACGCAGCTTTACTTTAATACATTTCTTAAATTATAATATTAAAAGGCAGAGATAAAAGACAAAAACACTAGTATTAAACGAACACTATTACCTAGACTATTTTATCAACGTATATAATAAAATTTGTCAATATGGGTCAAGTGTGACAATTAATATAATAATAATAAATACATTTTGCCAGTGGACTTAAGTTTTAAGTTCGTCTATTTCCACACCATAAGGAAACACATAAACGTATTTATAGAGTTCAGAATAAATGATGTTATTTGTCATTAAACAGCGTTGTGCTGTCGACGTATTTAAATTTTTCGTTAAAATATTCAACTGTTAGATAATTTTTGTTAATAAATATAAAACTTAGCTTAGACATTGCTTTTTATCTTATAATTTTAAAAGCGACTACGCAATCAATTCGCGTTCCTACAAGAATAGTGAAATAGCGAATGAATAAATAAAATAGCTGTTTTCCGACAAGTTGTTACTCTATAAAGGGCATACAAAAATTATGTGTCTGTTGATAATTGAAGGGGTCACATAGACGTCTAACGCTGACAAGCAAAGAGATCTTTTATGTCGGCTTTAAAGTGCTCAACGATTTAAAACGCATTTCAATAAAGTTTTAACGAGCCTATAAAGTGGCCCGAATTTGACATTTACTAGAGATGCACCCGTATTTTGAAATCAAGTTTTTTATTCGGCGCTTTTCAATCCCTTCTTATGACAACGTTTTTGTATGAGATAAAGTCTACAAAATGAACACTAATCAAAACATAAACGTTTCTGATTACTATTACCAGTGGTGCTACAACCTTTTTAGGTCTGGGCCTCTGAATTTTGTATCTGTTTCATGATAATCATTTGTCAATCTAATAGGCAAGTAGGTGATCAACTTCCTGTGTCTGACTTTTTTGGGTCTAAGGCATGCCGGTTTCCTCACAATGTTTTTTTACTGCTCGAACGAATGTTAAATGCGCTCATAGAAAGTTCATTGGTGTACAGCCGGGGATCGAACCTACGACCTCAGGGCCAACACTACTCACTAATGTTGATTTAAAACCGTTCTATAAGTTTGCTTGAGAGCGCCCACCTCAAGAGTTCGAACTTAAAATAATTTTGTGTTAAATATTCCACTTATTAAGGAATACGATATTATACATACCTATGGTCATTATTAAAAACTCTGTTAATAAGCGTACATTGTGTTACTTATATGTATATATATATAATGATATATTGAAGTGGTTTAAAATCAAGAACCATGCGCGCATTTACAGCGACAGCTGGTCATATCTTAAAAGAAACTACATATATTAAAATCAGTCATATTAAAGCAAGCACATTCTTTCAGTGCCAGTCTGATGATACAAATTGTTACATTTTCTTATTTTGATGTCAAATCGCTATTCTTAAACATAGTATGTTGTTTGTTGCGTAGATACTGTATTTGAAATTTCAGCTAGTTTAATAAATTAACAATGTTGACTGTCCGTAATTAGTCAAACTTTTTCGTGTAGGTACATATACTCGTATTTTAGGAATTTAAAAACCCATACATCACGCGTTTTTCTAGGTTTTGTCCAGTTGTTTTGTAGTATGTGTGAAAACTTAGAGCTAAATTGTAGTTTTTAGGTAAATGGTAATGGTACAACCACTTAAGTATTCAATTTAATAAAAAACTCGGATTTTTGAGTCCCAAGTTTTTTAGTTTATTCACCTTCAAATGCCTTCAATTACGATGCAGGTAATAAAATATGAATAGCCCTTTTTTCTTACCGCTTGAAACCTGCTAATTTGTTTGCAAAGTACTTATAATGTACTCATTGAACCATTCAGCTTATGTATTTTTACGAAAAGAATTAAATTGTTCGCACATTATGTATAAAATATAGGAGGTAAGCTTTTATCGAGCTTTCTAGTAACATTTTGCTATACAATTAATAATTAAAAAATAGCTTTTTTTTTTAAAGACAATTCACACCAATTGACCTAGCCCCATGCTAAGCTGGTGAAGCTTGTGTTATGGGTACTAGGCAACGGATATACATACATATTATAGATAGATAGACGTATAAATACATATTTAAACACCCAAGACCTAAGCAGAACACCAAATGCTCATCACATCGATGTTCGTCTCAGCCGGGGATCGAACCCGGGACAGTCGCAGTTCGCAGTCAGGGGTACTAACCACTAGACCAATGAGTCGTGTTTATAATAATCTTTTTAATAAAACAGATATAATAAATAGAAAGTAGTGTTTTGTTACGACTCTTTGCTTATCCACACTCATCTTTAGGTTCATTTATTAGATGAGAGTTTTTATATAAACAGATAATCTTAGACCTGGATTGGAGCTCAATTCATGTTCATGAATACGGGCTATGGTGACATGGAGGCGCTAATGGATGCGTCATATATAGATAGTGTATTTAACCGAAATATTAAGATCAACGTCCTTTGGCTTTGTAAATTTACTTTATGATAAATAGTGACGAAGAAATTTTACTTTGTGCCAAAGGAGGTTTATAGGAACTAAGCCAAATTAATACTATGTGTTACAACTTAGCGTCACTGTAGAATAATAACCTCGTATGTCAAAAAACCAATTCTTTTTTATTCTTAGTCATGTCATTTAACTGGTATCAGTTAAATGACATGACTAAGAATAATAATCATGAAGACGTAAGGAGTTATTTATGTTATTAATAAATAAGTCCTTTTTTACCATCTAAAACTATGGACAAAAATAAAGAATAATATTTTAACGAACATTGACGAAATGAAACATTTTTAGATTCATGTAATGTTTGGTTCTCTGGACATACGAGGTTATCACTCTAAGAAAGCGTCTTAGACCCAATCGACCTATACATGAGGCTTATTACTACTTGCCTAAGAAGTAGCGAAGAAATATAGGAGATAGGAACACATTATCTCTTTATAGTACCACTAAATTATTGCAATTATGATAAACTCTGACGATTAGATAGAAAATTAAGTTAGAGCTACCTTCATGCTACCCACACCTTGCTTACTGAATCACGTGAAACTGTCTTAAGGTAAGATCTAGAAATCAGCATTGCTAAGTGCCTATCTCGAACCTAATCCTCTGTTTTGCTGGTAACTTTTTTGTGCTTAGCAAAAATTTCTGGTATTTTTAACTTGTATATATATGTATTTTAATTTCGAGCAGTGTATGCCTAGGGCTTCAGCGTGCGACTCTCATCCCTGAGGTCGTAGGTTCGATCCCCGGCTGTGAACCAATGGACTTTCTTTCTATGTGCGCATTTAACATTAGCTCGAACGGTGAAGGAAAACATCGTGAGGAAACCGACATGTCTTAGATCCAAAAAGTCGACGGCGTGTGTCAGGCACTGGAGGCTTATCACCTTCTTGCCTATTAGATTTAAAAATGATCATGAAACAGATTCAGAAATCTGAGGCCCAGACGTAAAGAGGTTGTAGCGCCACTGATTTATTTTTATTGTATCTTTTAATTTTTTTTGTAACATTTATGTTTACCTTAATTGTTCATCATACATTTTAGATAAAATAGTTTGTAACATTAACATATACCGTAGATTTAGAATAAAATAGAAATACGAATAGCTAAGTAAGAAAGCAATCTTTAATTATACACAATAAAAAATGATGTTTACTTAAAAAGAAAGTGCACTAGCCCCCCCACACTAGGATTCCTTAAAAGGCCGGCAACGCACTCGCGCGCCCTCTGGCATTGAGAGTGTCCATGGGAGGCGGTATCACTTAACATCAGATGAGCCTCCTGCCCGTTTTCCCCCTGTACGGTGTTTGTATCAAAAAAA